GGGTTCCAACAGCTTAAAGGGAGAGGTAGTGGCAGCCGCAGGCAATGTTTTTGGGGGGGGGGGGGGGGGGAAGCTGAGAGGGTCAGAACCCAGATGTGGGATTTATAGGACAGTTGGGAGTCAAACAAGACACTGAGGTTCTGCACTGGCCCCATGAGGTGGAGTGTGCATCTGTGCAGATTGATGCTGTAAGCACCTGAAGCGAGAAGGTACTGATGGAAGCCAAGCAGGAGAGCCTCTGTATTGTCAACATTCAGAGTTTATCCAAGTTCTGGATGAGCTATGAGAGGCAACTGGTCAGAACAGCAGTCGACCTTGAGTCAAGGGTGGAGACAGATAGAATGGGCGTCATCTGCATACATGTGGAAGCTTAACATCATGTCTGCAGAAGATGTCACCAAGTCAGAAGGTATAGATAGTGAAAAAGTGAGGATGGCGGATGGAGACCCGAAGAATAAAATACGTGACATTGTAGGGGCAGGAGGTCAAAGGGTTCACTGTGATAGGTTGGTGTGAAACCAGGAAATGACCAACCATGAGGTTGAAGTTCAGAGGAGGTGGAAAAGGATAGAGTGGTTGACAGGATCAAAAGTGGCAGAGAGATTAAGGAGAACAAGGAGGCAGAGAGCATTGCTCACAGATGGAGAGAATGTCATTGGTAACTTTGACCAGGGCAGTCTGTGGGCAGCAAGGAAATTGGATTGGAGAGGTTCATACAGGGAGTGCCAGGAAAGGAAAGAGTAAAGCAATGACTTACTTCAGTACCTTCGACAGGAAAGGCAGGGTGGAGATGGGACAGTATTTAGGGAACAAAGGTGGGTTGAGGGCGGTTTTTTTTGATACAGGGGATGATAACAGTAGTTTTGAAGGAGGTGAGAACTGTACCAGTGGGCTGGTAGACATTGATGTCCATTAGCAGTAAGCCAAGGTGGAACTAGCAGGTCAGAGAGGGATTTGAGGGAGCATGTGGTGGATATGACGCAGGAGATGGGGGAAGAGAGAGATGCAGAAGAGACAGGATCGAAGGTGTTGGGGGAGTGGGGGTGGGCTAGAGAGCGGATCCTCTCGATTTCTCAACCTGAGGAAGTCCATCTTTCCTTACATTTGGAATTGGAGATAATGGGCAGGCATCAGGCGGGTGAAGCACGTGATTGGTGGCGGAAAAAAGGAGCCTGGGGTTGTCCTTGGCCTCCAGGATGATAATGGAGTAGAATAACGATTTGGCTGAAGTGAGGGTCAAGATAGTTTTTTGTGTGATCTAACCAAATCGCAGGTGATTTAACATAGCAGAGGTGGTTATTGTACCTTGGGGTCTTGTGGAAATAGGAAACGGAAGGTGATGGCAAACAGGCGTGGCAAACATATTAAAGAAGGAGTTGTGAAAGAGATTGACCAAAGAGGTAAGGACATTGTGAAGCTGAGTGAGCCTTGGTCTAGAGAGAGAGAGAATGTGATTGGTGACTTCGACGAGGGCTATCTTAGTGTCGTGGGCAGAGCGGAAAGTAGACTGAAAGGGCTCGAGCAGGGAGTGGAAGGAAAGATGGGAGCAGAGCTGAGAGGTATCAACACATTCCAGGATTTTGGATAGGTAAGTACCACACCTCAATGAGTCCTTACATTACTCAGTGTCCAGTCCCAACAGGACTCTGGAAAAGTGGGTCTCCCCCCAGGCACGCGCAAAGAGGTAGCACTACACCCCCACCACCCCCACCCCAAAACTGTGACCCCTCTGCACAGTGCGGACCATGGGGAGTGAGACTCCCTTTGGTGGTGGTATGGCCCCATTTCCATTCCCCTTCATTCCATTCCCTTCTGAGCAATTATTTTGTGAGGACAAGTTAATGTCTGAATTCATGCCCTCAGTAGATTCCTCAGTCTGAGGCTGCATTTGCACTCAGGACCTGGCGGTGAAGGGGCAGCTGAAAGGCTAATCTGATCCATGCACAGCCCAGAGAGAGAGACTGACACACACGTATACACACACACAGGTATGTTGTGAATCGATACACAGGTATAGATGGGTTTGGGAATAAGGACAGAATAGTAGGTTTGAGAGTGGCTCAAACTTGGGGACAAGGGTCAAAATAAAATAATTGAGTGAGTGGGATTAGGAGTGAGGGTAGAGTGATGGATTGAGGTTGAACGGGCAGGAATGGGAGCAAGGTTTTGGGAGCGAGCTTTTGGGAGTAAGGATGGAGCCATGGGATTGAGGATGGAAAAAACGAGATTGGGAGTGGGGGCAGAGTCTCTGCTGCTACGACTACAGTAATGTGGCAAACTGCTCCAGGATGAAATAACTCTTGCTCCATTTTAAAATAGCTAGTGCACTTCTTATATACTCTAGAATATGTACATTGCATAAACACCCCACCTCCCGGACATCTCCTAGTTTCCCTCACAGAAACATGCAGTGATGATGAGAAAGGATAGGGTGAGTCCAAATCGTTCACATTGCCTCGGGACTGAGATATTTCAGATACAGCGTGCCTGTCGCTGCACGAACAGCTCGACACACAAAGCTGAGGCTAGGCTCTAAATCCTACTCTTAAGTCTGTAAGACTAGTTTGTCTTAAAATGCGAGTCAGCGCAGAATTGTGATAAATTCCTAAATTCAGACTTAATTTGGAAGTCGGGGCTTTTTAAGAACTGCTAGAAATGGCTTTCAAACGGAGACTGAATTCAAAGTAGATCTTGCAGTCTCTTGTGCACGGAGCCACATGACTTATTGCCTGCGTGAAGATGGTTAAAGCATTCAATGTCCCCCCCACTATCCCGCACCGGGAGGGTCAGGTCTTGGATACAAAGCGAGACCAGACCTGCTGGAGCTGTGTCCGGGAGATGCGGAGGACAGATGGCACGAGTCTGTGGTTGCCCGTCACCAGGGGCATGTGCCTCCGTGAGGGTGCACGAGCGGGACTGCTCTCTGCCGAGCGGCTTCGCTGTAACAAAGTGTTGCCAGGGTGCGGGTATTGCTCGGTCTCCAGAGAGGATGAGGAAAAGACAGACGACGCCAAGCGGCGGAGAGGACTGTACCTCGGGAGCGAGTGCAGGGGCACCCGGTGCTCCTCGTCCAACTGAAAGAGACCAATATATGTGGGAACGGGCCAGAGACTGTGAGCGCATCCTGCACACCAATAGTGAGACTGCAAGCACCCCCACCCACCTCCAGCACATCCACAAGACGTTTCAACAAAGCCCTACCCTCTTCTTCCACAATACTTGCCTATTAAAACACTAGGCTGTTTCTTATCCGAGTCCAGGTTTCTAGCCTCTAACATCTGTCCTGATAGTCTGTTCCTGCTGTCAATTTCCCCTCTGTGGAAAGGAATATTTACTGGTGACTGCCCTAAACTTTGCCCTTCGAACCCCTTGTCATCTGTCTTGGTGTATCTGAAGTATTGTTCTGGCTTTACTTTCATTGTTGCTCTCTTCTACATTGCCTCCAATACCTGGGCAACTCTGCAATTTGGGGGCAAATGAAACTGAACACAGCGCTGCGGGTATGGTCTGACCAGAGCTGACTTATCAATGTTTGCCTTGATAATTGCTGTCTTACATTGTTTCAACAATGTGAGCAGCAAGTCAACTAAAACTTCTTGCTCTCCTTCAACTTGAATTTACTGACACAATTTGCCCCCACTATCTAACAGGTTTGCCTTTACTATGGACTGTCTGTTCAGAGTTAGCGCTTTCTTATTGTACAGTCTCTGCCTGTGTTAAACATCACGAGGGTTCACTTCTTCTGCATATTTCTATATCGTATGTATGCACCTGTTCCTGATGCAATCTCACCCCGCCCACCACCACCTCTCATTCTCTCCCGACTGTGTGACGGTGTGTGTCTCTCCCTTTCTCTGTGTGACGGAGTGTGTCTCTCCCTCTCTTTCTCTGTGTGACTGTGGGTGTCTCTCCCTCTCTCTGTGTGATAGTGTGCATCTCTCCCCTCTCTCTCTCTCTCTCCCTGTGTGTGATGGTGTGTGTCTCTCCCTCTCTCTCGCTCTATGACAGTGTGTGTCTCTCTCTCTCTCTGTGTGACGGTGTGTGTCTCTCCCTCTGTCTGTGTGTGACGGTGTGCGTCTTTCCCTCTCTTTCTCTGTGTGACGGTGTGTGTCTTTCCCTCTCTTTCTCTGTGTGACAGTGTGTGTCTTTCCCTCTCTTTCTCTGTGTGACGGTGTGTGTCTTTCCCTCTCTTTCTCTGTGTGACGGTGTGTGTCTTTCCCTCTCTTTCTCTGTGTGACGGTGTGTGTCTTTCCCTCTCTTTCTCTGTGTGACGGTGTGTGTCTTTCCCTCTCTCTCTCTGTGTGACGGAGTGCGTCTTTCCCTCTCTTTCTCTGTGTGACGGTGTGTGTCTTTCCCTCTTTCTCTGTGTGACGGTGTGTGTCTTTCCCTCTCTTTCTCTGTGTGATGGTGGGTGTCTCTCCCCCTCTCTCTGTATGATGGTGTGCGTCTCTCCCTCTCTCTCTGCTTGATGTTGTGTGTCTCTCCCTCTCTCTCTCTGTGTGAGTCTCTCCTCGCTCTGTGCAGCTGTGTGTGCAACTCATAAGAAATGATAGCCGAAAAAAGACCAAGGTCCATCTAGTTCGGCTTCCACCTTCCTGGTGGTCGCACGCACATATGTCCCAAGCTACCTATGTACTATTTCCCATAATGTTATTCCCTAAAGGAAAACCATGTTTGAAAGAATCAACACTTTCTGCTTCAACCATCTCCATAGGGAGCATGTTTCACAGGTTCATTATTCGCTCACTGAAATAGTGTTTGCGTAGAATCATTCTGAATTTACACCACTTTCGTCCTCTCTTTTTCTGACTCTCCCCCTCCCTTAGATGTCTCTTCTGCTCCCTCATTCCCTCTCTCCAAGTGTCTCTCTCTCCCTCTCTGCATCTCCTCTTCTCTCTCTCTCCCCATTATGCTCTTGCTCTCTGGGGCTCTCCCTTCCTCTCTCTCACCCTCTATCACTGCTGGTGTCATGTTGTGTGTAGTCTTTTGCTGTTACTTACCGGTCTGTGCGGGCCTGTGGGATCTGACTCCCGTCTCCTGCTGCGGGGTGCGGGCTGTGACAGCTGGGAGTGAGAGTGGCCGGGGCTGGTAGGTTGAAGCTCCCTCCTGCTCTCCGACACGGACGGACATCGTCCCAGAACATCCTCCTCCTCCTCGGCTGCCTGCAGCACCCTGGTCCAGCCTTCGTGAGTCTTGGGCCTGACAGCCGCCTCAGCCCCCAGCCTGCTGCTGTCCCTACGGCCCGCCTCCTCCTCTAGGGGCCGCAGCTCCTCGGGCTCCTCGTCGGTGGTCCCAGATGTGCTGGCTTCAGCCCCGGGGTGAAAGTCCTTGAGCTCCGTCTCCTTGTCGATAATGACCCATTCCTTGCTGTCAAAGTCCTCCTCCTCGGCCAGCGGCACCGATCGGAAAGCCGCGCTCAGAGCCTCATGCTCCACCGAGGCCTCCATGGGCCGCTCTCCCTGCCTCTGCCCCGTCTGGACAGACAGCATCTGTGCCTGCTGTGAAGAGCAGGCCTGTCTGGACGGGGATCCCATATAGTCCATCCGCGATCTGCAAGAAAAAAAACAAAAGATCATATACCATTAACTGGGTATAATAAATAATAATACTTGCATTTGATATAGTGCCTTATCCCGTCATTGAAATGTCTCAAAGCGCTTCACAGAATATACTGTAAAGTGAAGTGACTGGATATTTTATGGACGAAACTCGGCAGCCAATTGCACACAGCAGCGTCCCATAAATAGTCGTGGATCGAGTGACTTTATTATTATTTTTCTTCTTCTTACTTTGCTAGTCAGTTCTTGAGCCACACTTTTTGGGGACAGGGATTCTTCCCACTCAGCTCTTGTTAATCCTGCAAGCCAAAGCCCTAACGGGTACAGTGGTCCTAGCTGGGAAGCTTGTCAGACAGTAATCTCAATGGCGGGTTTGTATGTCAGCTAGGCTGAGTTGGTAGCACTTTTGCCTCTGAGTCAGAAGATTGTGTGTTTAAGTCCCATGTCAGGACATGGAACTCATATAGTCTATATGCTGACAGTACTGAGGTGTGCTGCATTGCCTAAGGTGCCGTCCTTCAGATGAGATGCTAAACCAAGGTACCTTCTGCCTGTTCAGGTTAAAGATCCTATGGCACTATTTGAAAAGAGAAAGAGTTTCTCCCATTGTCCTGGTTCAAAATCTTGGTCATACACTTCACGGCTTCTTGTGGGACATTGGGACATTGCTGTTCGCAAACTGACAGTCTGTTCTCTCAAAAGTGCAGTCAACATGAGAGGTGCTATATTAAGTGCATTATTATTAAGCTATGTAGTTTTAGTTGAACACCAGCAGTTCCCAATCACACTCTGGTCTTTTGTCAACTCGCACTTAATACTTTCCAAAATTAGGTAAGCAAGGTGTGTCCCTCCTGGAAGAGAGTGCGTATTCCATTCCAGACCCTCAGTGTGTTGATGCTGACTGGGGACAAGGATTCTTCCCACTCAGTTAATTCTGCATGAAGGGATCTATATAAATGCAAATTCTTGTTGGTGTTGAATTTCCACGCGTAGGTGGCATACAGGCAACTCTGTCTGGTTTGGATACTCAAGAGCATGGTGATGAGTTTCTGCGTGTACCAAACACCCAGCTGACCAAAAGAAAATCATGTGGGAATGTCTGAACATGCTTTACAGGAATTAGGCATGTGTAGTGACAGTTTGTTTTTGTAGACATGCTGCAGGCATTCTACATATTGCAAGATCCTACAAAATGGCTAGGAGATGAAAGACTAATTTTATCCAGGGATTGATGGCCAGGACACCGGGAGAGAAACTCCCTTCTCTTCGAGTTGTACTATGGAATCGTTAACATTCACTATGGTTTTAAGCTACTAAATTACATTTGCATAGCGCCTATCACTTCAAGATGTCCAAAGGCCCTAGAAAGTCAGGGATTTGGACCCAAGATGGTGGTTAGGATCCAGAGGGGTGAAAGGCGGGGAGGGGAGGATAGGAGTGCGACCGAAGGCACGGTCGAAGAGGAGTGGGGGCAGAGAGGCTGAAGGCCAGTCCGCCAATGGTGCGGCGGGCAAGACGGGGACATGAACCAGGCCAGAGTCCACGGAGTGGAGAGCTTGGTAGGGGGTTAAGAGGTTATAGAGGTAGGGAGGAGCATGGCCATGGAGGGCTTTGAAGGTGAGGATCAAGGTCTTGAACTGTATCCTCTTGAGTGATGGGGAGCCAGGCGATGCATAGGATAGAACCTGGTGCGGGAAAGGACACGGGTTGCAGAGTTCCAGATGATCTGCAGCCTGTGGAGGTATGAATTGGTGAGGCCGACAAGCAGAGTTTGAGTAGTCGAGCCTGGATGTTATGAATGCATGGATGTGGGTGCCGGAACAAAGCAGGTCATAGCAACGCAGCGCTCCTCCCAGCACTGAGATACGGCTTCAGTATAGAATATAAAATCAAAGTCCCATGTGGAGCCTAAGCCTTCTGACCCAGAGAAGAGATTGCATCCAAACGAATCAGGTTGAGGTTGAGAAATGCAAGAGGGAGAGAGCAGGCCATTGCTTACTTGTGCAACACAGCGATTACTCTGACAACCTACACGTCAAGGATTTAACTCTCTCGGCTGCCGCAAACGCTCACCGTTTCTCCTGGCCCTCGGCCTGGACATCTGCTGTCGACAGCCTGTCTGACTCGGGGCTGGTGACCCGACGGAACCTGAGTGATGGCTGGCGATCTCGTCCCGGTGAGCTTGGACACCCCCCCCGACTGGGCTCCTCCTCCAGCACACACTGTGTGTTCAAACACCGAGATCAGTCCGTGCTGCTTACCCACTCCCCACCCAACCAGTAATACCCCGCAAACCCTCCACCCAGACCCCACCCCGCTCAGCCCGCCCCAGACCCCAACCCGCTCAGCCCCCCCCCTAGACCCCACCCCATTCAGCCACACCCAGACCCGACCCCGCTCAGCCCCCACCCCAGACCCCACCCCCCAGACCCCACCCAGCTCAGCCCCACCCCAGACCCCACCCAGCACCCCCAGACCCCACCCCGCTCAGCACCCCCCAGACCCCACCCGCTCAGCACCCCCCAGACCCCACCCCGCTCAGGCCTCCCCAGATCTCACCCCACTCAGTGCCCCCCCAGATCCCACCCCACTCAGGGCTCCCCCAGATTCCACCCCGCTCAGCTACACCCCACCCTGCTCAGCCCCCCAGATCCCACTCCGCTCAGCCACACCCAGACCCACCCCGCTCAGCCCCCCAGACCCCACCCCACTCTGCCACACCCCACTCCGCTCACCCCCACCCATTCCAACCAAGCCCACCGCATCCTGCTTACCCCACCCAGATCCCACCCCGCTACCCCCCCAACCGACCCCCCACTAACAACCACTCCCCCAATAACTCTTGCTCAGCCTCTTCCCCGCTGCTCTCTGCTGCACTGACCTTGCTGATGCTGATGCGCAATTTGTTCCGGTTGATGTCCGTCTCATCCCAGGCATCAGTCTCCAGGGTGAAGCCAGTGGGGGGGGCTCCCGGAGTGTCCAGTCCCCGGCCCAGCAGCAGGGGCGGCGCGTTCTCCTGGTCACTCAGGTGCTCGTCCTGCAGCACATCATCCGTGTTTTCCCGGAGCTGCTCCCCTGGCACTGGCGTCACGTTAATCACCCTGCAACACAGCCGACAGTGAGGGAACACCAGGAGTGGAGCGCAGCCAAGAGCGAGCACCAAGGTGGGCGGAAAGCGAGAACCAGGCGTGCCAAAGTGGGCAGACAGTGGATCGGGCTGACAGTGGGGCACAAGCGAACTCCGGAGCAGGCTGGCCGTGGGCAGGTGGATGTTTGAGTGCATCCTGACAGGCAAGCGAGGAGTCATGAGAAGGGGAGCGTGAGAACGAGGAGCAAGCCCGTCACCAGGGTTGGGGAGGAGGGCTGCAATGAGTGGGATCAGACATGTGCACTCACCCGAACATGGCTGCGGTCTGCTTGGTGTGGAGCTGTGGGGTGCAGGTGCTTGTGGACAGCAAGATGTCGGTTCCGCCTTTCTCCCAGTCAAAGGGTTCATTCTCAGTGACTGCTCGCTCCTTCATGCTGTTCTCGAAGATGGACATTATTAGCTGCAAGGAGCAAAGGATAGACATCAGCCCTGCTACAGGGGGAAGACATGCACCCAACCCTGACCGGGGAGGGAAAAATAGGTTGGGGGATGCAGGCAGATCTGAGGGGGAGGAATCAGCATTGAACTGGGCAACTGCATACCTGATAGTCAGGTTTTGTGAAATAATCTAATGTGGAGACGTGGTCCAGGAATATGTGGAACTCGGATGGCATGTGTTTCAACAGCATCCGGTGATCGTACTTCTCCTTAATCAAACCCACTTGCTCCTAAGAGACAGCAAGACAGAGACAAAGGATGAGAGACAGCGTGAGAGAGGGGCACAGAGAGGAGTAGAGCGGGGGAGGGGGCGGGCAGAGAGGGGGGCGGGCAGAGAGGGGTTGGGCGGGCAGAGAGGGGGGTGGGCGGGCAGAGAGGGGGGTGGGCGGGCAGAGAGGGGGGTGGGCGGGCAGAGAGGGGGGAGGGCGGGCAGAGAGGAGGGGGCGGGCAGAGAGGAGGGGGCGGGCAGAGAGGAGGGGGCGGGCAGAGAAACAGACAAGAGAGAGAGCGAGTGAGGGGCCTACGCTCTCACTCACCTGCACCCTCGCTTACCGATACCTACACACTCGCTCACTGACAGCCACATGCACTCACATCATTCACACACGGACAGACCTTGTCTTTAATTTTTCTCCAAGGAAGTTGACCAACTGCAAACTCCACTAACATATAGAACAGCGACCACAGGTCATCGTGCCGGCCCATCTCCTGCAATCACACACATAATAATAATCCTTGCATTTGATGTAGCACATTATCACGTCTTCGAGAAGTCTCAAAGCGCTTCACAGAATACGTATATAATATATATCTGTATATTTTGTGGGCGAAATGGGGCAGACAATTGCACACATCTGTGTCCCACAAACAGTCATGGATTGAGTGACCAAATTATTATTATTTTTTAAGGAATTATTACCCCCAGAAAAGCGATCCGCCAATCGACTAACAACTGGAATCCTACTTACAATAACAACAACAAAATTACATTTATAGAGCGCCTTTTACGTTGGGAGGACGTCCCAAAGCGCTGAACAGTCAGGTGTCGGGGCCCGAGCATGGGGGAGGGGTAGTGTAGGGTGAGGGAAGGCGAAGAGGGGTGAGGGAAGGCGAAGAGGTGGGAGGGAGACTAAAGGCACGATCGAAGAGAAGGGTCTTGAGACCGACCTTGAAGGAGGCGAGGGAGGAAGTGAGGCGAAGGGACCGTGGAATGGAGTTCCAGAGTGTGGGGACAGAGAGGCTGAAAGCCCGGCCACCGATGGTAGGGTTGGTCGGGCGGGAGACATGGAGCAGGCTGGAGCCCGCTGAACAGAGGAAGGGGGCAGGATGGTAGGGAGTCAGCAGGTCAGAGGTAGATGGGGACAAGGCCATGGATGGCCTTGAAAGTGAGAACGAGGATCTTGAACTCAATCCTCTGGGGAATGGGAAGCCAGTGGAGTCAGGCGAGGGTGGGAGTGATGGGGTCGTGGAGCCTGGTGTGTGAGAGTACATGAGCTGTAGAGTTTTGGATGATCTACAGCTTGTGAAGGGAAGAGTTGGTAAACAGAGGTGTGGGGAGTAAGAAAACTTGCCCAACATTTCGTCCTGCTGGGAATCGAACCCAGGTCTCTCGCTCGCAAGGTGAGTGCTCTAACCACTGAGCTTCAGGACTCCATATAGCAGTACCAGCTGCAATCTTCAATGCTATGTTCACACCCAGAACCTGATGAGTTCCAGCTACTATGTAGACAATGGCCCCACCACCCCCATCCCAAGCACGAATGACAGAGTCAGCGGGTGCTTACCCGGTTTTTGTGTGCATTGACAGATGCATATCGAACAGTCCCTCGAAAACCAGCAACTGCCCGAGGCTGGAATACAGAACAGAACACATTACAGACCGACCAGAGGAAAGGCTACGGGAGGGAGGGAGGATAAGGGCTACAGGGAGAGAAGGATATTATAGGAGGGGAAGGAGGGAAGGGAGGGCCTCATCCATCACCATCATTGCAGGTTCTTCTCTGGAGGCTGAGACACAAACTCAGTGCAGACTCTCTCCTGTACACACACAGCTCCCAACACAGAGAGGAAATGAGAGGTCTAGCCAGGGATCTTCCCACATGTCCTCTCCATCACCCTCCCCCCACCCCCAACTGACTGTCCCACTTTTAACCTAAGGGCACAGAGGCCAATTGTATCTCCAGCTGAGATCATTTTGCTCTGAAGTCTGTGGAAGGTGAAGTGGGCAGACCAGCAAACAGGGGGGCAGAGGACAAGCAGCACTGTGGCAAAAGCAAATCTGGAGGTGGTAAAAACAGAGTCAAGGATTTGGGCTGTGTTGGGGGTGAAGTAGAGGTGATGTAAAAGAGGCAGTTAAAAGTGGAATTGGTCAGAGCCCACATGAAAGGTTTAGAAGGAGATGAAGGTCAAACAAAATGCTGAGTTTCCTGAGTAGGAGTGAGCAACTGGAGAGGCTGAAACAGCCACTGCCTGAGGTGAGGAGATGCTGATAGGATCCAAGCAGGATAGCCTCAGTTTTGTTAACATTGAAGAAAATTAAGGCTCATACAAGACTTGATGTCTGACATGCATCTATCAGAACAGTGGTCCTGGAGTCGATGGTAGATGCAGAAAGGTAGAGCAACACACAAATAGAAGTGGACCCCATCAGTGAATGATGCCACTGTGGAGCATGTAGATGAAGAAAAGGAGGACTCAAGAGTGAGCCCAGAGGTACACCACACATTCCCATGCGGAAGCAAAAGAAACCACAATGACATTGTGAGGATGCTTGGACATGTACAAGTTAAAATAACAAAGTGCAGAGTCACCAAGATGCACCAGGGAAGAGAGACAGTAGAGGAGAATAGAGTAGTTAGTGTGTTGAAAGTAGTGTAGAGATTGAAGAGGAGAATAAGGCACAGGTAGCCCTGGTCATAGACAGAGAGGATGTTGTTTGTGACTTTGACCAGGGCTGTCTTGGTTCTTGAGTGGGTGGGGTGGAAGAGAGATTAGAGAAACTCATACAGAAACTCATGGGAGAAAAAAGAACAGAGCTGGGAAGCAATGTGTTCCAGCACTTTGGATAGGAATTTTTGTTTTGTCAGCCAGGTGCTTGACATGCCAGGAAAACCAATGCCAGACTAAAGCTTGTCTAAACCAGACTGAGAATTCGATGCATGCCATACACTACACATGGGTGTTCCAATGTCTGGAATGGGACGTGCACTCTCTCCATAGAGGGATGAAGAACCCTGCTTACCTAATTTTGACAGCATTAGGCACAGGTTGGCAAGAGCCAAAGCTTAGGAACCTCAGAGTGTGTTTGGCGTACTGCTTAACCAGCTAAAACCCGCTATTGAGATCACTGTTTTGCAAGCTTCCTGCTGCTTGTCCAGCTAGGTAGGGTTTTGGCTTGCAGGAGCCGAGTGGGAAGAAACCTTGCCCCAATGACTGGTCCGGCCATCCAAGTCCTGCCAATGAGCCAGGCTGGCTGGTTATCAGCAGTGTCCTAGAATACCCACCTGCCTCAGGAACTGGTCTACTGAAACCACAACAGAGGACTGGCATTCCTTTGCCAAGGATGTCACCTTGGAGCCCCCTCGGCTCCAAGGACATCCTGCTTACCTCCCTTTCTGCCCCCCCCAGGAAGATAGTTGCTGATTTGTCAACCAACAAGGATAGGTTTGAGCCCTCTTGGTGACAAGTTCCAAGAACTCTCTGCGAACTTCCGGATGAGCAGCACAGCTCAGCATGAAACACATGAGAGCTTTGCTACTTACTATCTTCCTGCCCCAGCTCGGACACACATACCCACCCATTTGAGTTACACTAGATGGAGGTGTGGATCTCTGCAAACCAATCAAAGTGGATTCCAAGCCCTGGCTATACGAAAATGTGTTCACAAACCCAAACTCCAGGTAACATCTTCCAGCGGCTGATGTCCCAAGCCTCAGTTTCCTCATCAGCTATCTGATGGACATATACCTTCAACATGGATGGGGGGGGAGAAACCTTTACAGGACTACTTGTGATGTGCCAGCCACCGTGATGTTCTTAAGGTCCAAGCCCAGGCTTACTCAGCACCAGCTGCTTAATTCAGGCTCTCATGTGAGGGGCTTTGGCAATTAGACATACCCTCTGTGAAGTTGACTGTCTCCAGGGTGCAACAGGGAAGTGTAGACCTGAGAGCTCCATTATTGCAACCACTTCCCCTGTCCATCATAAACCCACCTTACTGATTGGTCAGGGCTTCACAAATTGATTCGAGGAAACTCCTTTGCAGAAAGCTTAATCTGCAATGGAACAATGAAGAGAGGGGGGACAGTGGCTAGAGAAAAAGCTGGTTGGGTAAGCAAAAGAAAATGAATGTAGGAGAGAAGAGATAAGGCAGCCAAGTACGCCCACAAAGCGCAGAAGCTTAATGGGCCTGGAAGAATGGGGAGTGAGGGGGATAAAGAGCAGGGAGGTCTGAGATGGAGATGCTAGAGTAGGAGTAGATTACGTGGCTCATGTGGAGAATACAGCATAGACTAGATGGGTTGAACAGTCTGTTTCGGTGCTCTAACATTCTGTGATTCTATGGGCAAACCCACTAATACCCAGGGACCTGATATCTGCAATCCCTCTGCTAGGAGATTCCCGGCTAGTCCCACACTGAGATGAAGGAGCTGGAGAGCTGGGTGGAGACACACTCACAATGTTCCGCTTAGCTCTGCGCAGTGCTGGCAACATGCAGGAGATGGAAAACCAAGGGGCCAGGCCCGGGCTGGGCTGTGCCGTGAGCAGAACAAGGAGCAACAACTCAAAAGAAACTGCAAAACAAAAAGGAAAAAACAGAAATACAAAATGGCTAAATCATAGAGAAAACTGTCCAACACAAAGCTTCCACCATACATCGAGGGCAGCAGCAGAATGAGCAGATTGCCAGCTCGCACACACCTGGGGAGCCCAACCTCGGATTTAACCAACCACATTACATACACTCTCACCCCGCTCTATTCATTCCCACGGTACACACTCCCCCTAGAGAAAGACTGTCCCGGTCACCCACTCCACAATGGTCGCCTTAACTGCAGCCCTGGCCTAAGGAGTCCCTTCCCCTGTCTACAGCCCAGAAAGTCCCCATTTCTCCTCCCCACACACACACCGCTCCCCAGCCGAGTCCCTCGCCCCAGAAAGTTTTCCCATTCCCCCATAGCCCAGCGACCCCAGAAAGTCCCACCACCCCCAGCCCAGAAAGTCCCCACCACCCCCAGCCCAGAAAGTCCCCACCACCCCCAGCCCAAAGAGTTCCCCTTCCTGCCCCAGGCCTCATTTCTCCTCCCCCTCTCCCTCGAGACTCCCCTCCCCGAGTCCCCTCTCCCCCATTCGAGTCCCCTCTCCTGCTGTCCTCGAGTCTCCCCTCCCACCCAACCACTGCTCAAAGGAGTCCCTCCCCTCCCCAGAGCTTGCCGCTCTCTGGGGGAAAGGGGGAAAAAGGACTCACAGGCCTGACGTCTCCGCTGGTGTTGGTGTATTGCCGTGCCAGTCCAAAGTCTAGCATGTAGCACTTGCGGTAGGTGGAAGGAAGACGTCCCATTGCAAAGTTGGACTGTGGAGACAGAGAAAGTGAGGACAGGACATGTGCTGCTCTTCTCCTTTACCTACACATTCCAACTTGGTTTCCCTTTGATCCCTTTGAGAGACGTTAAACACCTGTTCAGGTGGATGTTAAAGATCCCACGACACTATTTGAAAAGAGAAGGGAGTTTCTCTCGATGTCCTGGCCAACAATATCCCCAAACACCCTCCCAAAGTTTGTGTGACTTTACTGTGTGCAAATTGGCTATCGAGTTTGCATACAAAACACAGTCACGACACTTTACAGTAAATCTTGTGAAATGCTTTGAGATATTTCGATGATTTGATCAGGCGCTATGTCAAATGCAAAGATTGTTATTATTGATAGTATTATTAGGAACATTGTCAATAGGTTTAGTGACCTGTCTACCAAACCCCATAATCTCGCACCTGTTCTGATGCCTCAAGTTTATCGACCACATATTCCACACCTCTCCCTTAATCTCCCTTCCTTATGTTCCCCCACCACCATCCTCCTCTTTCGTTCTCCACCATCAACAGGAGACTCAACTCTATATGATAAATAATATTGATCCCAGCCCTGTTGACTGGAGTCACTAAGCTCCCAACCACAAACCTCCCTATGTACCAATAGCTATTAGCTGAGCCAGTTTAACACATTGTAAAACAAAACTACATTTGTAAAGCGCCTTTCACGCTGGGAGGACGTCCCAAGTTGCTGAACAGTCAGGGATTAGGACCATAGCGTGTGGGGGGTGGGAGATTGGGTTCAGGGAGGGTGGAGGGCAGCGAGGCTAGCAAAAGGCACAGTCGAAAAAGAGGGTCTTGAGGCGTGCCTTCAAGGAGGCAAGGGAGGGAGTGAGGCGAAGGGAACGTGGGATGGAGTTCAAGAGGGTGGGGGCAGAGAGGCTGAAGGCCTGACAAGTGTGGGGCAGGCCTAGCAGGGGTCATGGAGCAGGCTGGAGCCTGTTGAGCGGAGGACATGGACAGGTTGATAAGGGGTTAGCAGGTCGGAGAGGTAGGAGGGATCAAGGCCATGGAGGGTCTTGAAAGTCTCTGAGGGATGGGGAAGCAGTGGAGCCGGGCGAAGGTGGGTGTGATCGGGTCATGGAGCCTGGTGCAGGAGAAGACACAAACTGCAGAATTCTGGATGATCTGCAGTTTGTGGAGGGAAGAGGTGGTAAGACCGACAAGCAGGGCTTTGGCATAATCGACCCTGGATGTAATGAAGGCATGAATGAGGGTTTCGGCAACCTGAGGGGTGAAGCAGTGGCGGAGTTGGGGGAAGTCAGGGCGGGCTATGGCATGGATGTGGGGGAGAAAAGACAGTTGTGGATTGGCAAGACACCTAGATTCCTGACTGGCTTGGTGAGGTGGAGTGTGCATCCGTGAATGCTAATGCTGCCAGTGCCTGAGGCTTGCAGGAGAGCCAATCAGGAGAACCTCGGGTTTGCTGATGTTCAACTATAGAAAGTTAGCTCTTATCCATTACTCTCAGGACATCAGTGTTCCTGGGGTCGAGGGTAAAGGCAGAGAGGTAGAGTTGGGTGTCATCCGAGTACATGTGGAAGTTGACCCCATGTCTGCAGATGATGACACCAAGAGGGAGCACGTTACAGGTTGAAGAGGTGAGGACTGAGGACAGAGCCCTGAGGTACACCGCATGAGATGGTGCGGGGACTGGAGGAGAAGCCATTTATGGAGACAAAGTGGAGCCAGTGTGAGAGATTGCTCAGAATTAATGTCTTTCTAAATTCCAGGGACCAACATCCGGTGCCTGACGCCATCCACAGGCTCTGTAGATCTGTACTTCAGACAGAAATCCAAGAGCTGTGTTTAGCACGGACTCCCCCTCCTCAATCTACTGCGACCCATCTCAGGACTGACTCATGGTTGGCTCAAATGTTTCCCACAAGCTAGCTTTCCTGCTGCTTGTCCAATTAGGAACACCTTACCCGTCAGGGCTTTGGCTTGCAGGGTTACCAGGAGCTAAGCAGAGGATTCCCTACCCCCAGTGGCCCTTCCAAATCCTGTAATGAGCCAAGCTGGGCTGCGCTGTCAACAGCAGTGCCCTGGAATATGGAGGACCTGCCTCACTCAAGAACCTGATTAGAGACTGCCACAGAGAGCTGACTCAATTCCGACATTCCATTGCCAGGCATGTCACCTCAGCTCCAGGGAGACACCGTTTACCTCCCTACCCTATCCCCCCACCCCATAAGGAGGATTTTCCCATGGTTGGCCTGAGGCCAGTCTGTAATGTGAGGGTTTAGCCCAAGCCCCATCTCTTAAGACAGAAGATACATCTGCTCTTCTCGAATGGACCCACTTGAATGAGCTCTGAAAACGATACGTTAGAAGTTCTCAGTTCTTAATTGTTCTCCCGAGATGAAAGGCACTATATGTGTATAATCTATATTGTATCTTGTATATTGTTGGTCATTTGTCGGATCGCTTTTGAGGGCAATAATCCCTCCCCCCCAAAAAAAATTGTTTTTAAAATGTGGTCACTCAATCCACGACCCTGCTGTGCACCCTTGCCTGCCACTTTCACCCACAAATAATAGTCAATTCTCTTTACAATATATACGGTGAAGCGCTTTGGAGACATCGCAATGACGTGATAAGGCGCTGTATCAAATGCAAGGATTATTATTATTAATGCCATACAATTCTTTTCAAATGCTTTTCCGGGACACGTACCGGTTTGATGTCGCGGTGTAAAAAGCCGACAGAGTGTATGGCTTCGATGGACTCGAGGATCTGCTGACCGAGCCGCAGGGTGGTGCTCATGGTGAAGGTTCCCCGGGGCTGGCTCCGGCGAAGGTCCGCCAGGTTTCTACCCTGAGAGCGAGCAGAGGGGAGAGAGAGAGCAGTCAGTGTGCTCACATACATACAGATCGGAATGTGAATTCTATCCTCCCCCAATCCCCACCCCTCCCTCCACCACCAATACAAGCTCAGATTCAAGTTTCACTCCTCACCTGCAGTTGCATCACCACGTAGTTAAACTTTTCATTCCTCCCACAACCAATGAACCTACAGACATGGTCCTTCCCTACAGCGAGACACAAACAGGGGAAAAAACACGTGAGCGAGTAAGAACGACGTTAAGAGTGAGCGAGAACATGCGCGAGCGTGTATGAGACAGTGAAAGATAAAAAGCAAGAATGTGTGCGTCTGAGAGAGAATATGTCAGAGAGAGGGAATATGAAGAGAGAGAAGTAGAGAGCCAGCAGAGTGAGGAGGTAACTGAGTGAGGTGGAACAGAGTGAAAATTCTGTTAAGGAATTTGGTGAGAGTTGGAATTCGCGCAGAGGGGAAGGAGGTGCAGGTGAGAAAGCGTATTTTGTTTTTTTTCCCCCTCATATACCGTATATAACAATGGAATACTTTGTGCTTTGCAGAAGTGGCGAAATGTTTGCCTTCCAGGCCCAGGTTTTGAAGGGATTCATTTGCATTAACTGTAAGCTGATACATTCACTCAAGGCTGAAGTGGTCAGCCTTAGTGAGCGACTGGCCACGCACCAAAGTATTAGGGAGGGAGAAATCTTTATAAATGACGTACTAGAGCAGACCTTGCTAGGGGCACAGTAGGAGAGGAGTTCCTGGTAGCTAGAGGAGGGGATTGGATCTCTGTTAGAAAAGCAGCCAGAAGTCATGGTCGGTAATGGAGCATCCCTGGTACTCTCCAACAGTTTCTCTCCTCTGGAGAGATGATATAGAAACCCAAGAGATGGCTGAGACAGACAATGTAGTGCTGTGATCTGAGGCAATCCAGCAGCCTGCCAGGGAAGGAGGGAAGAAGAGAAAGAGTAGCAGACAAGTTGTGATATTAGGGGATTCGACTATTCGGTTCACAGATTGCATTCTGTGCAAACTAAACCCAGAAAATAGAATGGTAAGTTACCTACTGGGTGCACGGGTTGAGGATCTGACGCCCTGGATTGACCAAATGTTCTACAGGGAGCAGGTGAGGAACCAATTGTCGTTGTTCATGTAGGAAGAAATAACATAGATAGAAGTAGACCAGAGGTCCTTCGTGCTAAATTTAGAGCATTAGTAAGGAAGCTAAAGGGAAAGACTTCAAGTGTAGCATTTTCCAAAATACTACTCAGACCAAGTGCTAGTGAGGAAAGACGGAGGGTAATTAGCAGATCAACGAGTGGCTAAGGCATTGGTGCAGGGAATCAGGAGGGGTGGAGGTGTTGGCAGGTTAGATAGTTTAGTTACGGGGTGTTTAAACTAGGCACATGGGTGATTATGGTAGGTTAAGAGAGCACCCGATCCTATTAAGGAAAACCTTAAGGGGTACTAGTATAATGGGTCTAACTCCAAAATTTGGTGAAAATGAATCAAAAAATGCTTATGAAGTAAATGGGAAAGACAAAAAACAATGGAGCTGTACTTGCATTAGTGCAAGAAGTCTTGACAAACATGATGCATGATCTGGAAGGGGTGATAGATTGGACTTCATTAGCATAACAGAGACATGGTGGAATGAATCCAATCAATGGGATAAGCATCTGGAAGGTTATAAACTGTTCAGGTGGGACCCTATCGGGAGAAGAGGAGGTGGTGTGGCGCTATATATAAGTTCCATTATTGAGACACAAGTGAGAAAGGATATAAAAAAGGAAAGAATCACTTTGGGTAGAATTAAATGATGGTAACAGAGGTAAGACATTACTGGGGGTCTGCTATAGACCCCCATGCCAGGGTGAAAGCCTTGATCTGGAACTGTGGGATGAAATAAGGAAAGCCACTAGTAAGGGACCAACCACAATAGTTGGAGATTTTAAACTTATCCAAAATTGATTGGGATAATAATGTGACTGCATTGTGATCGCTATTGCTTAATGCTTCTCCCTCTACTGTAAGATAGGGAAGGGGTTTCTAGAGTTAAAGGAATACTGTTTTATGACTCAGTTTATAAAAGAGTCAACAAGGAGAGATAACATCTTGAATTTGATAATGAGCAACAGGGATGACCAAATCTCCAACACAAAGGTGGGAGAAGCATTAAGCAACGGCGATCACAATGCAGTCACATTTGACATCACAAGAATTGGTGAGGTTATAAAAACCCAACAAAACTGCCAAATTTATGGAAGACTGACTTGGTGCGCTTGAGAAGTCAGTCGGAGTGGGCCTGGCAGACTTAAATATGCGAATGGGAGTGGAGGACCTATGGAGTTCCTTCAAGAAGGTGATTATGAAGGCAATGGAAAAATGTGTACCCATACAAAGCAAAGGTACCAAGCTTAAAGGCACTTCTGCCTGGTTGGACGGGGCTACAAAGCAAATCATAAAGAGAGAAAAAAANGGCATTTAAGACCATGAAGGAAAATAGTACAGAATTAAGTTGGATTCAATACCAGAAGGCATACCAGGACTGCAAAAAGGCATCAGAATGGCAAAGAAAAGCTTTGAATTGAACATGGCAAGAGATGTGAAGAATAAATAACAAAATATTTTAGTTACTTCAAGAGTAAAAGAAAAACAAGCAATGGAATAGGGACATTGAAGGTGGGTTCAGGAGAGAACATGACAAATAATGCTGCACAGGCTGCAAGAGTGTTAAATAAGATTTTTGCCTCAGTCTTTACCAAGGAAGAGACGGGTAACCTATCTAATCTGGAAAGAGAACTCAAGGATATCGCAGAGAAAAGTTGAGACACTATTCGTACCACTACCAGCGTGGTTGCCAAATAGCTATGTAAACTTAAGGTAAAAACATCTTTGGGGCCAGGTAACGTGGATCCAAGAATCCTTAAGAAACTCAGGGAGGAAACTGCAGAAACGCTGGCACAAATGTCTCAAACATTACTGAATACTGGAGAGGTGCCAGGGGACTGGAGAAAGGCAGATGTTACTCCTATTTTTAAGAAAGGTAACAAAAGTGACCCAGGAAACTACAGACCAGTAAGTTTGATGTCCATTATGGGTAAAATTATGGAGAACTCCTTTTAAGGAAAAAATCATGGAGCATTTGGATCGAAATAAAATCATAAATGATAGCCAATATAGGTTCATGAAGGGGAGGTCTTGCCAATCTAATTTGCTGTGACAAGGGAGCTTGATAATGCTAAGGCTATGGATGTTGTCTATCTGGATTTCAGTAACACCTTTGATACAGTTCCTCTTGAGAGGCTGGTGCTAAAAGTAAAGAAAGTGGGAATCAGTGGAGGTATATTATAATGGATATGGAACTGATTGACCGTAAGAACCAAGAGGGTTGTGTTACAGGGAATGTCATCATACTGGGAAAATGTTACCAGTGGAGTTCCACAAGGGTCTGTTTTGGGACCTCTTTTGTTTAATATTTTTATAAATGATCTGGAGCTAGAAGTCGCAAGCACAGTGGCTAAGCTTGCAGATGACATCAAGCTAATGAAGGTGGTAGATTGCGAAGGTGGACAAGATAGGTTACAGGAGGATCTGAACATATTTGAGAATTGGGCAGATCAGTGACAGATGAAATTCAATGTGGAGAAATGTAAAGTACTTCATATGGTGACAAAAATTCTTGGAAGGGACTATTATTTGAATGGAAAGAAAATAATATGTATGGAAAATGTAAAGGACCTGAGGGTCCTGATTGACAATAAATTGAAGCTCTCACAACAATGCTCTGTGGCAGATGTTGGGATGTATCAAAAGATCAATAACAAGCCAAAATAGTGGGGTAATCCTGCCACTGTATAAATCATTGGTGAGATCATACTTAAGAGTACTGTGTACATTTTTGGTCGCTGCAGTAGAAAAAGGATATTGGAGAAATCGAGAAGATTGAGAGGCAACATGATTGCTGTCGTTAAGATTCTAAAGGGGCAAGACAGTATAGATCATGAACAGGCTGTTTCAACTTGTCCAGAATAGTAAAACCAGAGGACAAGGCCTGAGATTGAAGGGGAGAAAAATCAGAACAAATCTAATCAAATACTATTTCAGTGAGCAAATAGTGAACCTGTGGAACAGGCTACCAAGAGAAACGGTTGAACCAGTGATGATTCTTTCAAACACACATTAGATAGTTTTCTTTTAGGAAATAAAATTATGGGATACAGTACATAAGTAGTTCGGGACATATGTGCATGTGATCATCAGGAAGGTGGAAAGCAAACTAGATGGACCGACCTTGGTCTTTTTTCGTCCAGCATTTATGATGTTCTTATGAATGTCTGTGTGAGAGAAAGAGAGCACGAGCGCAAACATGTGCGTCTGTGAGAGAGTAAGTATAAACATATGCGTCTGCATGTGTATGAGAGAGAGAGAGACAGACAGAGAATGTGTGTCTTCGAGTGAGAAATGGGAATGGTTACCTTGCAGCTTCTTGAGCACAGCCACTTCCATTTTGAGCACCTGCTTTGGCTGCTGAGCCGATTCTACCTTCAGTGCCACATTATCCCGAATCAGCAGGTCCGTAGCCTCATAGATCTCACCAAACCCACCTCCACCGATCTTCTTCAGCTGCAAACAGAGTGGGACAACTGCTCACAGCCATGGAGAGAGAGAGCCCGATGGAGAGAGTTAGAGCCCAACGCAGAGTGAGAGCGTGAAAGAGAGAATGTGGTTTGGCAGTAAATGGATCAGGTGGGTTTATGTAGGGAGTGCTGGGAGCAGAAGGAGTGAAGCTAGGAGGCAACAACTTGTTCCATCAAGTTGGAGAGGAAGGGTAGGTCGGAGATGGAGAACATAAAGGTTGAGTGACGGTTTGAGGAAGGATATGTTAGTCGGTTTTGAAAGAGAGAGGGTGCTGCATCAGTGGAGCGATCAGGAGAGATTGATGACATCCGTCATTGTGCTTTGGGGTACTGCTGAATCTAACCATCTAAAACCGCATAGCTTGCATTGATATCGCTGTCTGGCAAGCTTTCCTGCTGCTTGACCAGTTTGCACCACCCTATCTGTTAGGAATTGTCTTGCAGGGTTGACAGGAGGTGAGTGGGAAAAATCCCTGCCTCTAGTGACTGGTCTTCCCTTCCAAGTCCTGCCGATGAGCCAACCTGGCTGTGTTGTCATCAGCTTATGCACAGCAAGACACCATAAACAGCCATTAAGTGAAAGACCACATTTTCTGGAGGATTGCTGGCCAGGACACTAGGAGAAACTCCCTTCTCTTTTCCAATTGTGTCACAGGATCTTTAACGTCCCACTGAACAGGCAGATGGACCTCGGTTTAATGTCTCATCTCTTCAACACTCCACTGATGTAACAGTCTGCCTGTGAGCTGAAAGTCCCAACGTGGGGCTTGAACCCACAACCTTCCAACCCAGAGGAGAGAGTGGGAAAACTAAGCCAGGCTGTCACTTGAATATTGTACAGAGTCCTAGTCATTTGGAGTATTGTTCTCAGTTTTATCATCGTCACAGGATATACTGACCTTGGAGGGCATCCAGTGATGAATTACTGGATTAATATCTGGAATTAAGGGGTTCTGCTACAATAGCCTGAGTAGACTTGGGTTCTATTCTTTCAAGCTAAGGAGATTAAGAAGCAATCTGACTGAGGTTTTTAAAATACTAATACTTTTCATTTGAAGTAGTGCCTTATCAAGTCATGCCAGAGTGCTTCACAAGATATACTGTAAAGTGCAGTAACCCTGTACTTTGTGACAGAACACAGCAGCCAATAGGCACACAGCAATGGCCCACACACAGCCATGGAGTAAATGACCAATTTTATTTGGGGGCTTGTTGGCCAGAACGCTGGGAAAGACTCCCTTCTCTTTTTGAATAGTGCCAATCCTGCTTATCCCTCATGGCACACCTCACCCTATCAATATCCCTCTGTCCCATGTGGCATACCCACCTCACCCCCAGGCAGCTCAGCCATCCCACGTGACATGCTCATCCTGTTCACTCACCACTTTCCAGCGGTCTTTAACCGTAAAGGCGACAGGGAGGATGTCGACCTGCTCCCCTCCCCCACTCATGTTTGCCTCGTCCCGCGTGGCTGCCACTAGGCACTGCATCGGCTGGAGCGCGAGCACTCACTCACCACGGAGTTAGTGAGTCCATGTATCTGCGGGAGAAGGAGAGGGCAAGTCTGTGAGTGACAATTCACAGCATCAGAGAAAATCCACAAGGGTGAGCAAATAGGTGGAGGAGATAGCTAGTGGTACACAAGAGGAGTCTGGGGTTGTATTTGTCCTTCAGGGTAACCATGGAGTATGAAGAGGTTTTGACCTCAGAGAAGGCGAGACATAATAACCCTTGCACTTGATATAGCGCCTTATCATGTAGTTGAGACATCTCAAAGAGTTTCACAGGATATGCTGTAATCAGACTGGTCCAACTGCCGGCTTACAGGACGATTTTATTCACGTGTTCCCCCCACTTCAATTCATGTGGCCCACCCTCTCCGTCCATAAACGTTATGTTATGTTTCTGGAAGGGAAACACAAAAATATTGCTTATGTAGCCCGCAGACATTTCTCAAATAGGGCATCTGGCCTCAGCAGCCAAAAGGTTCGACCACCATGCTGTAAAATGTAGTGACTATGTATTTTGTGGGTGAAATCAGCATCAAGGTAGCACAGCAATGTCCCACAAACAGCCATGGAGTGATTGACCAATTTTATTTGGGGGGATTGTTGGCCAAGGCACTGGGAGAAGCTTCCTTTTCTTTCCAATTAATGCCATCTTTAACATTCACCTGGACAAGCAAATGACACCTTGGCTTTAACATCTCATCCAAAGGACGGTATCTCCAAAAATACACCACCACAGTGCTGATTTGGTGTGTCAACTGAGACTATGTGAGTTCAAGTCTCAACCTGGAATTTGAACCCACAACCTCTGAGCCAAGCTAACACAACTCCCACCCCCATCAATCTCCTCGATTAGATTCCAGCTTGCAACTTACTCATGGGATCTGTTATCCTAGATATACACCCCTCAATTAGAATCCAGACAGTAGCTCACGCCTACGACCTGTTATTCTATATATGTACCCCCCAATCAATAAAGTGCTCGCAAGCAATCTCGATTGACCAGCCAGCTTCCCGGGCACAGCTCGTAGGCACCATGAAGTCAGTGAATCCCCAGACATTCTGACCAATGACTGCATTATGACCTAACAACGACAAAAATTATATTTGTATAGCGCCTTTCCTGTCGGGAGGACCTGTGACCATCTATAACAGAGAACGTATCTTGTACGCATCCCAATCATCATGTTAGGATGGGGGGGCAGATTTTGTACCCTCCCTGCCGAACTCCTTAATTAGATTCTAGCCTGTTAACTCACTTCTAGAATCCTCTATTCTATAAATAACCCCACCCCCTTAACCCCCTGAAATATTACAGGTTTTAACATACCCTAGGAATCCATTCTTCTATATGTACTCCGCCTCAAAGTCTCACTTGGATTCCAGCCTGGAGCTCTATGTACAGACCAGAGTGGGCAAAGTGAGGCAGATGCAGTTTAGTGTACAGAAATTAAACGTAGTGTATTTTGGGAGGAAGAACAAAAACTTGTACAGTAAAATGTTAACTAATTTTAATGAAACTACAAATGCACAGGTCATACATTAATACCAGGGATGAGAGGTGATAACTTGTATGGAGAGACAAATCACATAAGAGTTAGCACACGTTATGTGGAGAGACGTGTTACATTGAGAATTAGAACAACTTTTGCCGGAGAGAGGTTAAGCAGAGAAGGTTACGCAGAGGTTACAGAGGAATCTAAGAGGATTTCAAAATTGGAAATGGCTTTCACAGAGTAACAAGAGAGGCTATTTCCACTGATCAGCAAATTAATAACAAGAGGGAATTAAATGAAGATTATCACCAAAGAAACAGATTAGAAGAAATGTTTTTACATAGAGGGATCTCCTTAAGAGTGAAACTTTTCAAGGAAAATAATTACTGAAGCATAGAAGATAATCTTAAGAGGGATTGAATAAATACTTGAGGAAAAGTATTAAAAACAACAGGAAGCATTTATATAGCGCCCTTCACCCAGAGCCCTTGACAGTGGCGGAGCACAACACAGAGCCTCTGGGAGGTGCCCGTAGGCACAGTCAAAGAAGAAGGTCTTCGGGTGCGGATCTGAAGGTACCGTATAAGGAAAAGCAGGGGAATGGGACTATATTACATATATTATATGTATTGTATTATACTACATCTAAACTACCCAAACATCTGGATTAGATTATAGTCTAACCTATTTCCAGGGTCCATTATTCTACAATATAAACTACCTGAACCCCTAAATTAGGTTCCAGTCTGTACCTCACGGTGGTGTGTTATTTTACATATAATGCCCCTATCCCCTTGATTATTTTTCACCCTGTAGCTCACTCCCAGAATCAGTTATTCTATATTATAACCACACACACCCACCACCCCCCCGCCACACACACAAAAAAAACACCTAGATTAGATTCCAGCCTGAAGCTCACTCCTGGGATCAGTTATATAGAAATGTATATAGAAATGCCCCAAAATGATAGATTTTACATTCCAGCCTGTACAACAACTTGCTGCATCCCATAGCGCTTGACTGTTAGCTCGCTCTCAGGACATCTAACTAACTAACTTAGGCCTGCTGTGCATCACCCGCCCCTTTCCATCATCAGGAGCCAAGCCTGCTCCGAATCTATCAAATTCCCTTCCTTCTCTGTCTTGTTCCCCCTCTGTCTTTAAATTCCACCTTCAATCCTACCTCTTCGACATCCCCACTTTGCCTAGGTCCCATCCCAGCATGCTGAAGTACTCCGAGACATTATTCTATGTGACGGGCGCTATGTACATGCAGGTTAGTGTTATTGTTAATATTTGCATTTGATATAGTGCCTTATCACGTCTTCGAGACATCTTAAAGAATTTCACAGAATATACTGTAGTGAACTGACTATATTTTGTGGGCAAAATGCAGCAGACAATTTTTTTTTAAAAAAATCAAGGATTATTACCCCCAGAAAAGCAATCCGCCAATCGAATGTTCCTACTTACTGTTAGGCAAACAGAGGCTTGTGAAGTAAGGAAACTTGCCTAACGTTTCGCCCTGGGTGGGAATCAAACCCAGGTCCTCGCGCTTGCGAGGTGAGGGCTCTTAACCACTAAGCTTCAGGACTCCACATCAAGAGGAGTCCTGTAGCTCCAGTATGAGAGTTAGCATCAGTACAAAGACAATGGGAAAACACGACTGACTCCAGTGGGTGAGGTGGCACTTACAGAAACACATCGGGCCGAATGGCCTCTTTCTGTACTGTAAACATTCTATTCTGTGAACCATCTGAACCTCCTGATTAGATTCCAGCCTTTAATTCATTCCCAAGACACATTATTCTATATTTAAAACCCTTCATCCCTAACCTGCGACTCAGAGTGTATTCCAGATATAAACTATCTGAACCCCTGGATTGAATTGTATCCTACAACTCACTCCCAGGCTCACTTCGTTCAGCCGCTCCCTTCATTCAGTGAACAATGACCTGCTTTGTGTCTCCCACATATCAGCCGGAGGGCTTTCAACCATTCTGCCCCCACTCACTGAATTCCATCACAGAGTCCCTCCAACCTGCTCCTTCTCCTCTTTCGAGGCACATCTCAAAATGTTCCTCTTTGACTGTGCTTTTGATCAATCATCTTTCCTCTCCCCATCTTTTCTGGCTCCCACCCTCAGCTTGGATGCCCAGTCAGCAGTGTTAAATCCTGATGTGAAAAGTGCTATATAAATGTATATTGTATTATACTACATCTAAACTACCCAAACATCTGGATTACATTATAGTTTATAACACACTTCCAGGGTGCATGATTCTATATATAAACTACCTGAACCCTAAATTAGATTCCAGTCTGTACCTCACGGTGTGTTATTTTACATATAATGCCCCTATCCCCTTGATTATTTTTCACCCTGTAGCTCACACCCAGAATCAGTTATTCTATATTATAACCCCCCCATTAAATGCACACACAAAAAAAACCTAGATTAGATTCCAGCCTGAAGCTCACTCCTGGGATCAGATATTCTATGTACAAACACCCCAAAACGATAGATTTTAGATTCCAGTCTGTACAACAACTTTCTGCATCTCACAGCGCTTGACAGCGGCAGAGGCTGTAGCTCACTCTCAGGATCAGTTATTCTATATTTAAATTCCCCAATCCCCTCGACTAGATTTCAGTCTGTAATTCACTCCTGCAATCAATTATTTCATTATAACTGACAATTCATTCCCCTATGAGGTGCATTATTCCATATATAACCCCCTGAACCCCTGGATTAGATTCCCATCGGTAACTCACTCCCAGGGTGTATTATTCTATATACAAAAAACATTCCCGTGGATTAGATTCCCATTGGTAACTCATTCCCAGAATTCCAAGCTCCAATTTAATAATCGGCTTCCACCAATGCTTCCTCTCTTCCGGCTGTTCTTCTCAATCTCTGGCCCTTCTCTCAAATTCTCTAAACTAGTTCTAGCCTCAGTTCTCTCTCCCTCACATCTGGTCCCTCACCAAGACCGCCTTCATTCAGCTCCACCCCCATCTCACACCCAATGCCACTGAAAAACATTTATTCACACCTTTGTCACATCCTGTTTTGATTATTCCAGTCCTCTCCTCACTGCTCTCCCTCGCTCTAGCATTCACAAGCGCTCTGAGACTCTACCCTGTATGGAGGGTGCTATATAAGTGCAAGTTATTGTTGTTGTACAGACTGGAATCCAAAATCTATCATTTTGGGGCGTTTGTATATAGCATAACTGATCCTAAGAGTGAGCGTCACGCTGGAATCTTATGTAGGTTTTTTTGTGTGTGTGTGGTGGGGGGAGGGTTATATATATACAATAACTGATCCTGGGAGCGAGCTACACGGTGAAACACTAATCCCAAACTCTCTTGACACCTGCATCCTCACCTGCACCAAACTCTGTGCGCCCATCACCCAGGTTCTCACCAGTGTCCACTGGCTCCCAGCAGAACAATTTCAAGGTCCTTACCTACAAATCCTTCCACTCCTGGTAACCCCTTTCCTCTCCAATCTCTTCCTGCCCTATTCCTTTGCCCACCCTTCCACTCAGCTAACTCGGCCTTACTGCAATTCATACCCCACTAATCTCTGAAACTCTCTCCCACTACCAGGCCGTTTCATCCCCGCCACCACTCCATCTCACCCCCTTTGTTACCTTAAATACTACCTTTTCGAACATGCCTATGCCTACCCCCCTCTTCCCCTCTCTCTCTCCCCTGCTCTCCATCCCCATCTCTGAAGCATTTCAAGACATTATCCTATGCAAACGGTACTATATAAATGCAAGTTGCTGTTGTTGATATTGCATTATTCTACACATAAACTACCCAAACCCCTCATCCTACAATTTGCAGAAACATGAAAGGCAGAAGCTTGTCCTTCAAGCTTCCACGGCTTGCCCAACACGCTCCGCTCCTCACGTTATAGAATCAGCCACCCAGCCACGCTGATCCAGCATTCCAGCGGACCCGGTTCGCACAAGGATGGAGAGGCACCGGTTGGAGCTTTGGGAGGAGTCTGAACACAGCCTGGAACTGCAGTATGATCATCTCCCAGCGAGTGCAGATACAAACATAGGCTAAGCATGCATGGAACTGTGTGTGAGGGGTCAAACACTGCAACTTTCAACCTATGGATCCCACAATGTATCTTATCCTCAAACCCCATCAGTGCAGCATCCATCCTCCAGTGCAGCCTGACTCCACCAATGCAGCGCCCATCGTCTAGTTCAAGCTGACCCCAACAATGCAGTGTCTATACCCCTGGTGCAGGCTGACCCCCAACAATGCAGTAACCATACCGAGTGCAGTCCAATGCAGTTCCTCTAATGCAGAATCCAGACCCGACCAATAAAGCAGCCCCAGTGCAGTGCCCCTCCCCCAGACCTTGCCCCAGTGCAGGTGTCCACATCCCAGGCAGCAGCCATTCACTCACTCACTCACTCACTCACCACAGGAGCTGGGATCCAGCCTGGGCTGCTGGTGTCAATGGCCGGGCTGCTGAGGGCAGAAACCCCTCCCCAGGCCCGAGGGGGGGGAGGGGAGGGGGGAGAGAGAAGCTATGGCCCGCGTTGCGGGGCACCTCTCCCTCTTGTCCCTCGCCCACCAGCCGATCGCCGTTTCTCCGCAGTGCAGAGCGCTGCAGCGCCGCACCGCCACCACCAGGGGGCGCCCCACCGCCGCTGCCGCCCGCCCGCCCGGAACCAGCGCAGTCGCGCCCGACCATTGGCTGAGCTCCCGAGTCCCGACCTCGCCATAGAGGTCCATTGGCCGGCGGCGCCGTCACTCCACCTTAACCAGGGCCCCGCAGGGCCCGCTGGGAGTTGTAGTCTGAGCCCCATAACCCGGGCCGCGAGGTAATCGGCAGCAACAACTACAACTCCCGCCACACACCGCGCAGCTCAGCACTGTGGCCCGAGCTGTGCTCACGCCACCAAACCCGGGCTCCCGCTCACACCAACACTCCCGGCCTCCCCATCTCTCACGAGTTGTCGCCCACTCCCCTCCCGGATACCGGCTCCTACCGGTGCCGGGGATTCCTTTCGCCGCTGCATAACGGGCCGCCATGGCAGCTTCTGGTCCCTCAGCAACGGGAACACTTCCCACATCACCCGGCGGGCACACTTCCCATGAAGCACTGGGGGCAGATTGGACACTTCCCATGAAGCACTGGGAAAAACAATGCTGGGGGTGGTCCCGCCCCTCCACCGCGATCGCGCGCGTCACACCGCGTGCGGCACATACATCGCGTAGTGAATATTGATGAGCGATTCACCCACATCCCCACCTCCACCTCCACCTCCACCCTCACCCTCACCCCCACCCTCACCCCCACCCCCACCCTCACCCCCACCCCCACCCTCACCCCCACCCTCACCCCCACCCTCACCCCACCCTCACCCTCACCCCCACCCACATCCCCACCTCCACCTCCACCCTCACCCCCACCCTCACCCCCACCCTCACCCCCACCCCCACCCTCACCCCCACCCCCACCCTCACCCTCACCCCACCCTCACCCCCACCCTCACCCCCACCCTCACCCTCACCCCCACCCACATCCCCACCTCCACCTCCACCCTCACCCCACCCTCACCCCCACCCCCACCCCACCCTCACCCTCACCCCCACCCCCACCCTCACCCCATCCGCACCCTCACCCCCACCCTCACCCTCACCCTCACCCCCACTCTCACCCTCACCCCCACCCTCACCCCCACCCTCACCCCCACCCTCACCCCCACCCCCACCCTCACCCTCACCCCCACCCCCACCCTCACCCTCACCCTCACCCTCACCCCCACCCCCACCCTCACCCCCACCCCCACCCTCACCCCCACCCCACCCTCACCCCCACCCTCACCCTCACCCCCACCCTCACCCCCACCCTCACCCCCACCCTCACCCTCACCCTCACCCTCACCCTCACCCCCACCCTCACCCTCACCCTCACCCCCACCCTCACCCCCACCCTCACCCCCACCCTCACCCTCACCCTCACCCTCACCCCCACCCTCACCCCCACCCTCACCCTCACCCCCACCCTCACCCTCACCCTCACACCCACCCTCACCCCCACCTCCATCCCCACCCTCACCCCCACCTCCACCCTCACCTCCACCCTCACCCCCACCCCCACCCTCACCCCCACCCTCACCCCAACCCCACCCTCACCCCCACTCTCACCCCCACCCTCACCCCCACGCTCACCTCCACCCCCACCCCCACCCTCACCCTCACCCCCACCCTCACCCCCACCCTCACCTCCACCCCCACCCTCACCCCAACCCACACGTCCACCTCCACCCTCACCCCCACCGTCAACTCCACCCTCACCCCTACCTCCATCCCCACCTCCACCCTCACCCCCACCCCCACCCTCACCCCACCCTCACCCCCACCCTCACCCCCACTCTCACCCCCACCCTCACACCCACCCTCACCCCCACCCCCACCCCCACCCTCACCCCCACCCTCACCCCACCCTCACCCTCACCCCATCACCCCCACCCTCACCCACCCCCACCCCCACCCTCACCCCCACCTGTCTGTCACCCTCACCCTCACCTGTCTGTCACCCTCACCCCCACCTGTCTGTCACCCTCACCTGTCTGTCACCCTCACCTGTCTGTCACCCTCACCCTCACCTGTCTGTCACCCTCACCCTCACCTGTCTGTCACCCTCACCTGTCTGTCACCCTCATCCCGACCTGTCTGTCACCCTCACCTGTCTGTCACCCTCACCCTCACCTGTCTGTCACCCCCACCTGTCTGTCACCCTCACCTGTCTGTCACCCTCACCCTCACCTGTCTGTCACCCCCACCCTCACCTCCACCCCCACCCTCACCCCAACCCACACGTCCACCTCCACCCTCACCCCACCGTCAACTCCACCCTCACCCCTACCTCCATCCCCACCTCCACCCTCACCCCCACCCCCACCCTCACCCCCACCCTCACCCCACCCTCACCCCCACTCTCACCCCCACCCTCACCCCCACCCTCACCTCCACCCCCACCCCCACCCTCACCCTCACCCCCACCCTCACCCCCACCCTCACCCCCACCCCCACCCTCACCCTCACCCCCACCCTCACCCCCACCCTCACCCTCACCCCCACCCCCACCCTCACCTCCACCCCCAACCCCACCCTCACCCCCACCTGTCTGTCACCCTCACCCTCACCTGTCTGTCACCCTCACCCCCACCTGTCTCTCACCCTCACCCTCACCTGTCTGTCACCCTCACCCCCACCTGTCTGTCACCCTCACCCTCACCTGTCTGTCATCCTCACCATCACCTGTCTGTCACCCTCACCTGTCTGTCACCCTCACCTGTCTGTCACCCTCACCTGTCTGTCACCCTCACCTGTCTGTCACGCTCACCTCCACCTGTCTGTCACCCTCACCCCCACCTGTCTGTCACCCTCACCTGTCTGTCACCCTCACCTGTCTGTCACCCTCACCTGTCTGTCACCCTCACCCTCACCTGTCTGCCACCCTCACCCTCACCTGTCTCTCACCCTCACCCTCACCTGTCTGTCACCATCACCTGTCTGTCACCCTCACCCCCACCTGTCTGTCACCCTCACCCCCACCTGTCTGTCATCCTCACCCTCACCTGTCTGTCACCCTCACCCTCACCTGTCTGTCACCCTCACCTGTCTGTCACCCTCACCTGTCTGTCACCCTCACCCTCACCTGTCTGTCACCCTCACCCTCACCTGTCTGTCACCCTCACCTGTCTGTCACCCTCATCCCGACCTGTCTGTCACCCTCACCTGTCTGTCACCCTCACCCTCACCTGTCTGTCACCCCCACCTGTCTGTCACCCTCACCTGTCTGTCACCCTCACCCTCACCTGTCTGTCACCCTCACCTCACCTGTCTGTCACCCTCACCTGTCTGTCACCCTCACCTGTCTGTCACCCTCACCTGTCTGTCACCCTCACCCCCACCTGTCTGTCACCCTCACCTATCTGTCACCCTCACCTTCACCTGTCTGTCACCCTCACCCCCACCTGTCTGTCACCCTCACCTATCTGTCACCCTCACCTTCACCTGTCTGTCACCCTCACCCTCACCTGTCTGTCACCCTCACCTTCACCTGTCTGTCACCCTCACCTGTCTGCCACCCTCACCTGTCTGTCACCCTCACCCTCACCTGTCTGTCACCCTCACCCTCACCTGTCTGTCACCCTCACCTGTCTGTCACCCTCACCTGTCTGTCAATCTCACCTGTCTGTCACCCTCACCCCGACCTGTCTGTCACCCTCACCCCCACCTGTCTGTCACCCTCACCTGTCTGTCACCCTCACCCTCACCTGTCTGTCACCCCACCCGTCTGTCACCCTCACCTGTCTGTCACCCTCACCCTCACCTGTCTGTCACCCTCACCTGTCTGTCACCCTCACCTGTCTGTCACCCTCACCCCCACCTGTCTGTCACCCTCACCCTCACCTGTCTGTCACCCTCACCTGTCTGTCACCCTCACCTCTCTGTCACCCTCACCTGTCTGTCACCCTCACCTGTCTGTCACCTCACCCTCACCTGTCTCTCACCCTCACCCTCACCTGTCTGTCACCCTCACCTGTCTGTCACCCTCACCCTCACCTGTCTCTCACCCTCACCCTCACCTGTCTGTCACCCTCACCTTCACCTGTCTGTCACCCTCACCTGTCTGTCACCCTCACCTGTCTGTCACCCTCACCCTCACCTGTCTGTCACCCTCACCCTCACCTGTCTGTCACCCTCACCTGTCTGTCACCCTCACCTGTCTGTCAACCTCACCTGTCTGTCACCCTCACCCCGACCTGTCTGTCACCCTCACCCCCACCTGTCTGTCACCCTCACCTGTCTGTCCCCCTCACCCTCACCTGTCTGTCACCCCCACCCGTCTGTCACCCTCACCTGTCTGTCACCCTCACCCTCACCTGTCTGTCACCCTCACCTGTCTGTCACCCTCACCTGTCTGTCACCCTCACCCCCACCTGTCTGTCACCCTCACCCTTCACCTGTCTGTCACCCTCACCTGTCTGTCACCCTCACCTCTCTGTCACCCTCACCTGTCTGTCACCCTCACCTGTCTGTCACCCTCACCCTCACCTGTCTCTCACCCTCACCCTCACCTGTCTGTCACCCTCACCTGTCTGTCACCCTCACCTGTCTGTCACCCTCACCCCCACCTGTCTGTCACCCTCACCCCCACCTGTCTCTCACCCTCACCCTCACCTGTCTGTCACCCCCACCTGTCTGTCACCCTCACCCCCACCTGTCTGTCACCCTCACCCGCACCTGTCTGTCATCCTCACCCCCACCTGTCTCTCACCCTCACCCTCACCTGTCTGTCACCCTCACCATGTCTGTCACCCTCACCCTCACCTGTCTGTCACTCTCACCCCCACCTGTCTGTCACCCTCACCTATCTGTCACCCTCACCTTCACCTGTCTGTCACCCTCACCCCCACCTGTCTGTCACCCTCACCTGTCTGTCACCCTCACCTGTCTGTCACCCTCACCTCTCTGTCACCCTCACCTGTCTGTCACCCTCACCTGTCTGTCACCCTCACCCTCACCTGTCTGTCACCCTCACCTGTCTGTCACCCTCACCTGTCTGTCACCCTCACCCCCACCTGTCTGCCACCCTCACCCGCACCTGTCTCTCACCCTCACCCTCACCTGTCTGTCACCCCCACCTGTTTGTCACCCTCACCCCCACCTGTCTGTCACCCTCACCCGCACCTGTCTGTCATCCTCACCCCCACCTGTCTCTCACCCTCACCCTCACCTGTCTGTCACCCTCACCATGTCTGTCACCCTCACCCTCACCTGTCTGTCACTCTCACCCCCACCTGTCTGTCACCCTCACCTATCTGTCACCCTCACCTTCACCTGTCTGTCACCCTCACCCTCACCTGTCTGTCACCCTCACCTTCACCTGTCTGTCACCCTCACCCTGTCTGTCACCCTCACCCTGTCTGTCACCCTGACACTCACCTGTCTGTCACCCTCACCTGTCTGTCACCCTCACCCCCACCTGTCTGACACCCTCACCCTGTCTGTCACCCCCACCCTCACCCTGTCTGTCACCCTTACTCTGGCTGTCACCCTCTCCCTCACCTGTTTGTCACTCTCACTCTGCCTGGCCTCTTTAGATGTCCACCTGGCTCAGATGGTAGCCCTCTCAGCTCTTGAGTTTTAGACTACTCACATAGCCTGACACCGCTGTCGCCTCATTTTGGCCTCTAACTCCCTTAACCTCACCAGCCTCTCCCTCAAATAATTGGTGGTCAGTTTGATCCTCATCTTTACTCTCTTCCTCAGATCCGGCCTCAACAACAACAACATTTCATTTATCCCTCCCTTCCCTCCCCTCACCCTGACCATTTCCCCCCTGCTCGGGTCATGACCCAACTATGCAGCGCCTTGGGACGTCCTCCTGACGTGAAAGGCGCTTTATAAATGGAATCTTGTTGTTGTTGTATGTACATCTCGTCAGCCATACCCACCGCTCTAAAACTCTTCGAGTCATTAATCAATATGAAGAGCATTCTATATATGCAAGTTGTTACTGGAGGAGCACTGGAGATGCCATCCTTTGGATGAGACATTAAACCGAGATCCCATCTGCCTGTTCAGGTATACATTAAAGATCCCATGATACTATTCGAAAAGAGAAGGGTGCTTCTGGCCAACAATCCCCTAAATAAAACTGGTCGCTTACTCTAAAAGCTGTTTGTGGGACACTCTGTGTGCACACTGGCTGTCACATATCGCCCACACAATAAACAGTCAATCCAATTTACAGTGTTACTTGTGAAGCATTTGAGACGCCTCAATGTGATAAAAGTTCTGTATCAAATGCAGAAGAAGAAGTTTCCTGGCCAACAATCCCCAAATAAAATGGGTCATTTGCTTCTTGGCTGTTTGTGGGACATTGTGCTGCATAAATTGGCTGCCGAATTCGCGTACAAACAACAACAACTTGGATTTATATAGCGCCCTCCACACTGGACGGTGTCTCAGAGCGCTTCACAGTAACGGACGGATCCTGGGACCGAGCCAGGGGGAGGGGGAGTAAGGTAACCAAAGGCGCGGTCAAAAAGAAAGGTTTTCAGCAGAGACCTGAAAGTGGGAAGGGAGGGAGCGAGACGAAGAGGGTGAGGAAGGCAGTTCCAGAGCCTCGGGGCATAGTGGCTGAAGGCACTGCCGCCGAGGGTGGAGCGGAGGACTCGGGGGACGAGGAGGCCAGACCCGGAGGAATGAAGGCAACGGGTGCTGTGCTGAGGAGAGAGGTCAGAGAGGTAGGGGGGTGCAGAGGAGTGCAGGAACTTGAATATGAAGGTGAGGATCTTGAAATCGAAAACTCAGTCACTACACTTTACAGTAACTCCTGTGAATTACTTTGAGATGCCCCCCCATGTGAAAGATGTGATATCAAATATAAAGATTTTTATTATTAATAATGCTGCCACCATTTTGTACTGTTTTGCTGTTCCTGCCCCCACCAACCCACCTTCACTGCTTCCGACAATGATCGAGACAGACAGAGGCTGAACGTTTAATTCTCAGGAGGATGCATTGTTTATAAAGTTTATTGCATCTTATGCCAGCGAAGCCATTCATCGTACATGCTAAAAACAGGCTGTGGTCATCATGGTTACTATTGGAGCAGGAGAGAGGTCAAAATGAAGGGGGGTTAAGTCCAAAATAGTAGGGGGAAGAGATGAAAAATAGGGGAAAAGATCAATTATGGGGTGGGGGGGTGGTGAGGTCATATACAGGAGAGAGAAGAGAGGCCATATACACAAGAGGCCATATACAGGAGGAGTGGCTAGAGGGCATTTACAGGAGGAGTGAGAGTCCCATTCCTGTGGTTAGAGGCCATATACAATGGGGGAGAGGCTACATACAGGAGGAAGAGGCCATATACAGGAGGGAAAGGCCGTATACAGGTGGGGGAGGCCGTATACCGGAGGGGGAGGCCGTATACCGGAGGGGGAGGCTGTATACCGGAGGGGAAAGCTTGTATACAGGAGAGAGAGATTGTATACAGGAGGAAGGTAGTGGTTGGATATCAAGGGGGAGCGGCTGTATAGAGTACAGAGTGAGGATCACACTGGAGTCAGAGGCACTTGCTCGCTGTGTCTGGTTGTTGAAGCTGTTTTCTAGCTGGACATGGTCAGCGTAAGCCACTGTGAAGAGAGAGGAGCCACGAATTAGATTTACAGCGACCAAGAGAGACACAGGTCTGGCCTGAGTGCATTGGGGTACTGCTGGAGTTTAAGCTATAGACCGTATAGTTTGCCACCAAAAGCACTGTCTTGCACGTTTTTCACTGTTTGTCCACCATACACATTAGAGCTTTGGCTTACAGAGCTAACAGGAGCTGAGTGGGAGAATGGCCTACCCTCACTGACTGGTCTGTCTCTCCGAGTACGACCAGTGAGCCAGGCTGGGCTGTGACCAGTAGTGCCCTGGAGTACTATGCACCCAACTGGCTGAGGAACAGGATGAAAGAGTGTTGACTATAGAGGGTTGACCAGATCCCGATATCCTTTGGGGGAGGGGAGCTTATACTAAGTAACATAGCCCAGTAGGGAGGGGGGAACGATTAAAAAAGGGGCTGTTCTCTGTGTGTTCCGAATACTGGGGCTGAAGCCTGGGATGTTCCTGCTGTGTGTGGCTCAGCCGGGCATTGTATAAACCTGGAATTCACTGTAGCTCACCTCCATGATGTTCATCTCTATTGTGCCATCCTCCTTCTCCAGAGCTTTGAAGGATCCTGTAAGTAGAGAGAGACTTAGTGTAGGTCTGTGCTCTGCTCACATACGGAGTAGCTCATTCTGTACAAGCAATACGTTTCTGCCAGCTCCAATTCCACTTCCACAACTTTTATAACAATAATCCTTGCATTTGATATAGCGCCTTATCATGTCATTAAGTCGTCTCAAAGCGTTTCACAGAATATACTGTAAAGTGAATTAACTGTTTATTTTTGGGCAAAACTCAGCAGCCAAGTGGCACAGCAGTGTCCCACAAATAATCGTACATTGAGTGACCAAATTATTTTGGAGGAGGAGGGATTATTACCCCCAGAAAGCTGTCCGCCAGTTGACTAACAACTGGGTTCCTCCTTACTGCCCTCCTACAAGGTGTGTGGAATAAGGAAACTTGCCTAAGGTTTCACACCACCAGGAAATCAAACCCAGGCCCTCTCTCTTCTCCCAATCATTGAATCTCTTACCTCTCTCGTTCTCCCTCTGATTCTCTAACCCTCTCTCATGAACAACTGACTTCCTGAGGCCGTCCGCTCCATAGTGTAGAGGGTGCAGGACACAACAGGGTGGGGCAGGACAGATTGGGGCTAGGCAGGGTAGGGCAGGAGCAAGGGCAGGTTAGGTGCGGGGGCAGGGGGTGGCTGTACAGGGTAAGGCAGGGCAAAGTGAGGCAGGGCAGGATAGGGCGGAACAGGGTTGGGCGGGGCATGGCGTGGCAGGACAAGGTGGGGCATGACAGGGTGGGGCATGACAGGGTGGGGCAGGACAAGGTGGGGCATGACAGGGTGGGGCATGACAAGGTGGGGCTGGGTAGTGGCAGGGATGGGTTAGGTGCAGGGGCATGCAGGGTGCTGACTCACTGAACATGACCTCCAGTTTGACTAGGGCACCAATGAAGTTGTCAAAGTCGATGGTATCATTGTCCGCGTAGCGCCCGACGATGGACTGGAGGATCCGATTGTTCAGCTTAAATCCTGAGAGCAAGAGAGGGAGAGAGTGTGTGTGAGTGAGAGAGAGAGAGAGAGCAAGAACAAGAGTACGAGAGAGAGGCGCGAGCGAGAGAGGGAGAGAGGCGATTACACAAAGAACACCCCCTCCCCACAAACACACACACAGATATCCCCCCTCTCTCATGTACAGACACACACAGATAAACCCTTCCCCCTTCACACAACACACACACTATTTCCAGTTACCTGAAGCTTCCAGGGCAAGTCTCATTTCGTAAGTGCTCATTGTTCCAGACTTGTCCAGGTCAAACTGTCGGAAGATGCCCTGCAAGAGACACAGCATTAACACATCATTAACATGGTACTGGCACGGCACTAACACGGCACTAACACACCACCTCCTGCACTCGCCACATACCAGCCATTTGCGAATCTTGTTCCAAAGGACCTGAAACTCCAGGATTCCGAGCCGAGCACTGCCATCCTTCTGTATGACCAGCTCAGGACAACAACAGATACATCAGGCGCTGACCCCCACCTTGCGCCCCCGCCTCCCCACCATCCGCAGGCCCTCACACAACCCCCCACCCCCACTCCCCGCAGGCCGTCACCAAGGGTGGAGGCACCAAGGGAGGGGGGGCCGTGCGGCAAGCGTTGTGCATAAAAAGGATACGTCCATCAAATTAACCATTGTTCGGCACGAGTCCAGACAGAAGCCGTCAGTCTTCAGATCGTGATCTGTATCAACAGTCAGAGCGATAACTAACCGCCACCCCCCACACGACAGACATTCCCAACACTGACCCCCTCACACTGACCTCTTCACATTGACCCCCTCTCACACTGACTCCCACTTCACTCTGACCTCCCCTCACATTGAACCCCCACTCAGAAATTTCACCACATACATTCCCGCCCCACCACCACCACCCACGCACGCACGCACACGTGTCACTTACGTCGGGACAGAACCCGGTTTAGGATTGTCTTCAGTTCAAAGACACTGATCTCCATGTCCTGTAGAGAGGAGACAGGCCGTGAGGTCAGGGTTAGTGGTGCGGGGAGGAAGGGTGGGGAAGTGTGAAAGGGGAGAGGGAGCAGGGTATACGGGAGTGGGGGGAGAGGGAGCAAGTTCCATCTTACCTCTCCAGCCAGTTGGCGAAACATGTTTTTGAAATTCTCGTCCACATCATCTTCCGACATCTCTGGCTGCAAAAGAGAGTGGTTAGAGAGAGAGATTAATAAGAGAGAGAGGTTAGAGAGAGAGAGAGAGAGAGACACACAGAATTGGGGGGGGGCGTTGGGGGGCAGCGTGAAGGGGGAAGGACCCGACACTTACCTCATCTTCCAGATCTGCTGTGATCTCATCATCCAGCTCCCTGCGGCAGAGAGAAGATTAGTGTCACTGCCCACCTGACTCCCCCTCCTTACCTCCCCATTCACTACCCTCCCCCATCACCCTCGCTCCCTCCTCTCCTCTCCCTCCTCACCCTTTGCCCCTCCCCACTTCCGCCCCTCCCCTCCTTCCTCCCCCTCCTCCCCTCTCATGGCTCACATACTCAGACTCAGCTTGTTTCTCAGTGAAGACCCTCAGGACGAAGTCAGCTTCCTGCCGGGGCTCGAAGGTAGAGGGGACGATGATGTACTCTCCAGGGGGCAGCCTGATACGGGAGCTGACCTCACGCAAGTTGATGAAGGTCTCGGAGCGAGCACAGGACCCGTGGGTCAAGAAGAAATCCTTCTTCAGGTGCACGTTCTGACAGCCGTGATACTGGGAGAGCGAAAGGGGTCAGCACAGAGTACAGAGCACACAGAACAGAAAGCACACAGCACAGAGCACACAGCAATGTCCGAGCACACAGCACAGAACACAGTCCAGAGCACACAGCCCAGTGCACAGCACAAAGCACACTACTTCACTCTGAACCTAACGTGCTGTATTTGTGCTAGACAGACAGTGTAGTGGGAGCTTTACTCTGTCTCTAACCCTGCTGTCACTGACCTGGGAATGTCGACTGACAGTGTGGAGGGAGCTTTACTCTGTAACTAACTTGTATCTAACTGTGAAGCTTGTTCACTGTGTCTGTTGGCGCTGGTTGCCTCAGTACCAGATCTGGCTCTCGATGTTACTTACCTCCTCTGGGACCTAGGGAGAGAAAACAAGAGTTTTAAATGACAGTTTGCATCCTTTGTCCCTCTCCTCCACGCCCCTCCCTCCCGGGTCCCACCTCCTGTGACCCTCCTCCCCACTATCACCCTCACCTCGTAGATGGCGAAGCCGATGGTGTGCATGTCCTGCCCCTGGCGCCGAAAACGACGACGGTCTTTCTGCATCAGCGCGCACAGGAAGCTGCAGGCCAACTCCTCATCTTCCGGGTCATCATCCTCCTCCGACAGAGTGATCTTAAACTGTGGGTTAATCCAGAACGTGGCTGTGGGGAAGAGGAAGTACTGCAGATTTAATCTAGAATGTGGCTGTGAACGTGAGAGAGAGGTGCCAGAGATTTAATCTAGAGCATTGCTGTGAGGGTTACTAGAGATTTCATCTAGAATGTGGCTGAGGGAAGGAGTGTGACACAGGAGATTAATCTGGAAAAAGACTGGCGGGATAGTGTTGTTGGAGGTTAATCTAGAATGTGACCGAGGATGTTAGATTGTGCATTATGGAGATTAAGATAGAACTTGAGTGTGGAGACAGAGGTTGTCATTGGAGTTTAATCTCGAACACAGAGAGTTCCACGGTGCGTGTGTTGGATGCTGCGCTGCTCTCACCCGGGTTGTTGCGGCAGCCGCCAGCGGTGCTGCCCCGTCTCCAACACCCGTCATACACAGCCGTGTGCCACTTCCTGACCTCCTCCATCTGCAGCGCGTCCGGAGACAGGTTACAGATCTCCAGCCTCGAGAACTGCCGCAGGAACTCAGAGAAATCCATCCTGTACCACACAAGACGGGATCAAAACCGGGGAGTTAGTCAGTGTATAAGCCAGGACAGTAACCACAGTGTATCGCCAGTGCCCACACCCCCCCACACGCAACAGTCTCCGGGCTCTGTTACCTACCAGAACTCTCCGTCCTCCTTGTTCACCATTCCATCCCTCTCATCGTCGCCAATGTGATCCCATTCTGAGGAGCTGGGGGGAGAGCAGAGATCAGAGGACAGCAAACCCTCCACTCCAACCCCTCTTTCTCTCCCCCATGCACACACTGATTCCCTCCGTCTGTCCTATTCACACATGACACACCCTCCTCCCTATATACACAGACCCGTCACTCCACGATCCTGTCCACTCCACTTGTCCCCATGGGTTCCGGATTCGGATCAGTCTGACCTGGCGCCCGCGGTAATCCACCTGAGGGTCAGAGACGCACCGAGGGTCAGAGACGCACCGAGGGTCAGAGACGCACCGAGGGTCAGAGACGCACCGAGGGTCAGAGACGCACCGAGGGTCAGAGACGCACCGAGGGTCAGAGACGCACCGAGGGTCGCACGCACAGAGGGTCGCACGCACGGAGGGTCACTGGGGAGGGGTGGGGGCCATGCTGAGGAGAACAGCCACAGACCTCTTTCACCCCGGTGACTGAGTAAGCGTGACCTTTCACCAACTTCTTAAAGGTCACGGCTTCTTGGTCGTGGGCGCTAGTGATCTGGGAGAGAGAAGCAGAGAGTCATTGTCACACTCGCACGCACAACACATCTGGCCCTACCCTCTCTCCCGCACTCGCCAACCTCTTGCTTGTCTGGCCCCACCCTCCCACCAACCAGTCCCACCCTCTCATGCACCCCCCTAGTCGCTCGCCCGGCCCTCCCATGTGACCGGCACACGCCCCACCCTCCCGTGTACCCGGCCCAACCCTCCCACACACTCACATCAATGGAGCAGCCGAGCAGTGAGCCTCGCTCCACGGCTTTCCTGATGACGGAGTACAGGTCTCGTGGCGCTTTGTTCAGTTGATACATCTCAGCCACTCCGCCAGTGAAATCCTCAAACCCTTCCGTGGTGCTGCCGCCCGACAGCGCCTCGTACGAGCCGTTCAGCCTAATGAGAGTCTCGTTACTGCATGGCATTGAGGCAGCATCTCCCTCCCCAGAGAATAATATTCCATTATCCCACCCCAACTACGATCCACCCCTATCTCACCCCAACCACATCCCATCCCCAGCATCCCAGAGAATAATACATCTCACCCCATCACTCCAACCCTCAACTATCTCTCCTAGTACCCCACCCACCTTATCATCCCGCGCCACCTCTACAGGCAATGTATCCAAAGAGGGAGAGGGGGAAGAGGATCAGTGAGGGAGGGAGATGCGATAGGGAGGGGGGAGGACAAGGTGGGTGAAGGTGACATACTTGGCATAAGCTTTCTCCACCAGTGCGCTCCAGAACTCGTTGTTTTCGGCCGAGTGGACGAACACCAGTTCTCCATCCTTGGTGGGCAGCTGGTCGTCAATCACCACATCCACCCACTCCCCGTACTGCCAGAACTAAGAGAAACCAGAGGAGACAGTCATAATGTCCGTCCATCAGTCAGGCACACTGTCACACGGTGTTACTGTGGGTCAGGGGCGGAAGGAGAGACCATTAGAGGAGATGAGGTGGAGGCAGTGGGTCAGGTAGGACTGGAACCAAAAGACTGCAGAGCCACGGAAGTGGATGAGGGAGAAGAGGTGATGAAGGAGAATGCAATGGTGGACAGTGTTGAAAATAGTGGAGAGGTCAAGAAGATCAAGGGGGCAGAGGGAGCCCTGGTCACACTCAGAGAGATGGTATCATTGGTGACTTTGATGAGGGCTGTCTCAGTGCTGTGAGCAGGATGGAAACAGGACTGGAAGGGCTGGAGCAAGGAGTTGAGGGCCTGGAGCAGGCAGGGGGCAGGAGCAGGGAGTGGAAGGGCTGAAGCAGTGAGGGGAAGGGCTGGAGCAGGGAGTGGAGGGAAAGGTGAGAGTGGAGTTCAATGGCAGCAGTGTGCTCCAGGACAGTAGATAGGATGGGCAGGTGGAGATGGGACAGGGTGGGGAGTTTGATCGGCGGGGAGGGGGGTTGGGAGGGAGTACTGGGTGGTCGCTCTCTGACTTTGTTGTACCTGGAAATGGAATATTCCAGCATATTCCTCCTGGAAGCTCTGTCCATGTGGCACGACCCGGTGCAGCACCTCATTGTTCAGGGTCAGAGACGCGATGGCAGCCAGGAGCCAGCAGTCACCTGAGGCCAGAAGGTGCGGGGACAAGCAGTCAATAACCTGGAACAGCACACGGGCACCAACGGCCCCAGCTCTGGCCCGTGTCCCAGCCTCCCCCACCCCAACCCCCCACCCCAACCCCCAGCCCCACCAACGCCCCAGTCCCACCACCCCCCCAACCCACACACACCCTAGTCCCACCACATCCCAGCCCACAGCCCCCCAGCCCACACACCCCCAGGCCCAGCCTGTATTCTAGCCCACCCCAACAGCCCACGCTGCCCCAACTCCACCATTCCCCCACCCCCAAGCACACCCCACCCCAGCCTCATCACCACCAGCCTACACACACACTACCCCCACCCACCCCCAGCCCCAACACCTCCCAGCTCCCCAATGCCCCTCCAGCCTCAGCACACGCCCCAGCCCCAGCACATCCCCAGCCCACAAACCCCCTAGCACCCACATCCCGTGTGGTAATGTGGAAGGAAAAAGAGGATTTACGTCGGGGTGGGGGAGGGGGTGGGGTAGACAATACAGGACAGAGTGAGGGAAATGGAATGGTTGACATTCTCGCATAGTCACTGATCACCAGATAACTTTTACTGCAAGACGGAAACATCTGTGCAGGAAGGGAGGGCAATTCCGTCTCTCATTGTCCTGGAAACCTCCAGATACACTCTTTGTGATGAAAGACTGTATTTGACAGCAGGAGCCACAGCTTTCGAGAGACAGGACAAGTGAGAGCTCCTCCATTCGTCCTCTCTGTTCAGCTAACTCAAGTTCACCGTATGTCCCCCGCCCTCTCTGCACCACCATGGGTGGCCGAAACTTCAGTTCCTATCCTACTCCCCCATAACATCTGGACCTCTCTCCCTCCACAACTCAATCTCAGCCCCCCCACCGTTTTCTGGCTAAGTCCTGCCTCAAATCCTGCCTCTTCAAACTTGCCAGCAGTACATCTGCACAAACGGCTTCTCCTCCCCCTCTCAGCCAGTCACCTGCGGGGTACCCCAAGGATCTATCCTTGATGCCCTCCTCTTCCTAATCTATATGCTCCCTCTTCGGGATGTCATCCGCAGACATGGATTACACATCCACATGTACGCGGATGACACCCGACTCTATTTTTCCACCTCACTTTGCGACCCCCAGTCCCCTGATGTTCTGTCAGCCTGCCTGTCAGACATCAGGAGCTGGATGAGCGCGAATTTCCTTCAGCTAAATGTTGACAAGACGGAAGCCATACTCTTTGGCTCTCGTCAACGTCTTCAATCGCACGATTCTCACCTCCTCCACCTACCCAACCTGCCCCTAAAGCTCTCCAAACCCGTACGCAACCTAGGCGTCAGGTTCGACCCCCAATTATCCTTCTTCCCCACATCCGGTCCCTCACCAGTACCGCTTTCTTCCACCTCCGACGCATCACCCATCTCCGCCAATATCGCACCCCAAACTCCTTTCCTCACTCCCTCCGCCTCGCCCCCTCACTTCCTGCTTTCAGGTCTCGCCTAAAGACCTTTCTTTTCGACCGCGCCTTTGGTCACCTTCCTCCCCCTCCCCCGGGCTCGGCCCCGGGATCCGTTACTGTGAAGCGCTCCGAGACGCCGTCCGGCGTGGAGGGCGCTGTATAAATCCAAGTTGTTGTTTTTGTTGTCGTTGAGTGTGCCATCCCCACATCCGCGCTCGTGAGATCAGTGTGAGTGTACAAGATTCACATCGGCGAGTGCAGCTTTAAGAAGCTTGGAGCTCGGCAAAGTGAATGCTGTTAGTCAGCAGGCAGGAATGTGGGAAAGCATCCAAGGGTGAGCCTGCAGCGAGCCTGCTAAAAACTACTATACAGACTGAGGCCCTGAGCATTCACTCACACACCCAGAAACACACACACACACACCTCCTGACACACACACACACACATACACAGACACACACTCACGCAGAGACGAGCACGAACACGAACACAGACACATGCATTCAGACACGCACCACACTCACACAGGGACACGCACACACACAAGCACAAGCATAGAAATAAACACACATACACACACACACACACACGTGTATGCGCACACACAGACACATGCAGAGACAGACACATGCAGAGACACACACTCGGGAGACACACACGCATACCCAGACATACACAATCCCAGTCACCCCCGCACCCCAGACACACACACACAGAAGGAGAAAGAGAAGAGATGGAAGCTAAATTGGGGCCTTTTCCACTGGATCCGAGGGGAATGGATGTGTGTAAAGTGGTAACGGGGAGGAGAGTAAATGAGGAAGAGCAGTCACTCCAAAAGGGCTCCAAGACTCTACTCCATGTGAAGGGAGCTTATAAATGCAAGTTGTTGTTGTTTAATCGTTGCTTATAGCTCATTCCTCTAAAACTGGGGATCATCCTCATTGCTCTCCACTGTACTGCCTTTTAGGGTCTGGGTTTACCCCAACGAGAGCTGTACACAGTACTCCAGGTCTGACCAAAGCTGTATACAGTACACTAGGTGTGGTCTGATCATAGCTGACGGGGGAAGGGTGGGCGGTAAGAAGCTTGGAGTCTTATTTCTGCACATTATACAGCCCCACTGGGGGGGAAGAGGGGGACTGCACTCACCCAAAGCTCCCTGGCACACATCAGTCCTGCTTGCTCCATCGGTGATGAATTGTGGATCAGCAACAAGTTCCTGGACAGAACAGAGCATCAAATCACTGCACCCCAAAATTCAAATCAAATCACTCTCTCCCCACACCCCCCGCCAAAATTCAAATCACACCCTCCCAAAATTCACATCAAATCACTGTCCCTGAAATTCATTTCAATTCATTGCCCCCTTAAATTCAAATCACTGCATCAAAATCAGATTACTATCTCAGATTCAAATTACTGCCACTCTGAAATCAAATCAAAGTCTCAAAATCAAATCACTGACTCCCAAAATTAAAACAATCCCTCCAGAATCAAACCACCAACCCACCCTGAAATCAAAGGGTGATTTTGATCCAAATCAAGGCACTGCCACAATCAGATCAGTTCCCATCAAATCACTCCAACTTCAAATTTGCCCCCCATTACAACAACCACCACAAAATTACATTTGTATAGCGCCTTTCACGTCGGGAGGACGTCCCAAGGCGCTGGACAGTCAGAGTTCAGACCCAAGTCGGGATCGGGGAGGGTGGAGGGCAGGGGAGGATGCAGGGTGATTGAAAGCACGGTCGAAAAGGAAGGTCTTGAGATGGGTCTTGAAGGAGGCAAGGGAGGGGGCGAGGCGGAGGGACTGCGGGATGGAGTTCCAGAGGGTGGGGGCAGAGTGGCAGAAGCCCCGACTGCCAATGGTGGGATAAGCGGGCTGGGGAACATGAAGCAGGCTGAAGCCTGCTGAGCGGAGGGAGCGAGCAGGATAGAGGGTTTAGGAGGTCATAGAGATAGGGTGGAGCAAGACCGTGGAGGGCTTTGAAGGTGAGGACCAGGATTTTGAATTGTATTCTCTGTGTGATGGGAAGCCAGTGGAGTCAGGCGAGGATGGGGGTGATAGGGTCACGGAGCCTGGTGCAGGAGAGGACACGGGCTTCAGAGTTCTGGATGACCTGCAGCCTCGGGAGGGAGGAGTTGGGGGGGGGGGTGTCAACAAGCAAGGAGTTTGCATAGTCAAATGTCGATGTAATGAAAGCGTGTATGAGGGTTTCAGCGGCCTGCGGTGTGAGACAGTGGTGGAGTCGGCCAATGGGGAAGGCAGAGCAGTCATGGCACAGATGTGGGGTAGAGAGGATAGTTGAGGGTCAAACAAGACCCCAAGGTTTCGGACTGGATTAGTGAGGTGGAGTTTGCAACCCTGGATGGTGATGCTGTCAGCGCCTGAGGTGTGAAGGCGTTGACGGGAGCCAATCAGGAGAGCCTCGGTCTTGTTGAAGAAAGGACTTGATGTCTGACGGTTATTCTGTCAGGACAGCACTGGAGTCGAGGGTGGAGGCAGAGAGGTAGAGTTGGGTGTCATCCGCAAACATGTAGAAGTTGACCTCATGTCTGCGAATGGTGTCACCAAGAGGGAGCATATAGATACTGAAGAGGAATCATTCCCCCCTCAAATCATCCCACAATGAAACCCCCTCCTCCCCATGCTTACAGTGGGTCTCTGCCAGACGATGCCTCTGGTTTTGGAGGTGTACGGGCCAAGCTCCTTGAAGCCGATGGATGAGGCAATCGCGGGGAACTGGGGGTCTTCGAAGAGGCAGCAGTTCTCCAGACACTCCCCACGCAGCACCCCGTAATCCTGGTTCAGAAAACGCAGCGCTCTCTCATTCGATCCCATCCCTTCACGTTTCTGACGGTCTTTCTGTATCCGAGCGGAGACTCCTGTCAGCATCCTTTGCTCTGCACGGAGAAAAAGCAGGGGTCAGAGAACAGAGGAATCGGGAATGGGGCAGCAATCAGTTCCCACTTCACTGAGAGCACAGCATGTAATCCTCATCCTGCTGAACAAACAGCTACAGAGGCTGACAAAATGCTGTGCAAGCAACGAGAGAGCTGAGCTTTATATAAATGATGCAGCACCCACAACATCAAAACATCGTCAAGAGCTTCACAAGATACTGTATTATCTATAATAATAATAAAATCCTTGCATTTGATCTAGAGTCTAATCGCATCTTTATGATGTCTCAAAGCACTTCGCAGAACACTTCGCAGTGAATTGTCCGTATATTTTGTGGATGGAACGCAGTAGCCAATTGCGCACAGCAGTGTCCCACAAACAGTCGTGGATTGAAGTGACCAATTTTTTTTTAAGGAATTATTATCCCGGAAAAGCAATCCGCCAATTAACTAACGACCAGGTTCCTGAGGCATGTGGAGTAAGGAAACTTGCTCAACATTTCGCCCTGCCGGGAATCAAACCCAGGTCTCTCGCTTGCAAGGCGAGTCTCTAACCACTGGAGTGAATGGAGAATGGAGAATGGAGTGACTGTGTGTTTTGCAGGCAAACGGGACTGCCAATTTGCACACAGCAATGTTACACAAATAGCGGTGATGTGACTGTGGCCATGACACCAGGAGAAACTCTCTTTTCAAATAACTCCATGAGATCTTTAGCATCCACCTGAACAGGCAGATGGGGGCTCGGTTTAACAGATAATCCGAAGGACATCCCCCGATGATGTAGTGCTGCCCCAGCACTGCACTGGAGTGTCAGAGTAGACTGTGAGTCCAAATGCCCCGATATTAACGAGAGAAAGTGCAAGTGAGTACCATTAGGTGCCAGACTGGCTCCTAATGGTCCTAATGCTACGTGGCTGGTAGTTGGTACTACAATACAATACAAAATTACATTTGTATAGCGCCTGTCCATCGGGAGGACATCCCAAGGCTCTTCGACCATGCCTTCGGTCACTTCCTAACCCCACCCTCCCTGCCCTCCAACTCCCTGATCCCAACTTCCAGATCATGTCCAAATCCTTGACTGTCTGACATGAAAGGCGCTATACAAATCCCACCATGCTGCGTTTGTGTGGGAGTGGAGGGAGTGCTTTCCTGACCAATATTCCTCCCACATCTCAAACTACCCACTTCCAGACTGACTGACTGAATCGCCATTGGTGCTGTGTGTGTGAGTCCCACATTATTATACAGATCAGCTGCTGTGTGAGCCACAGCCTTGTTTACTGCTGAATCACTGTCAGCTGACTTTGAGACAAGATTACTCAATGCAAGGAGCTTCTGGATCAAAAGTCGTGATTATCCAGTTTCCATCTTGGTTAATTAGAGTGTGTATGTGTGTATTAGGGGGAAGGGCAGCGGCTGGGCTGGCACCCAAGGGGTTAATCAGACACTAGCCTCTCTTTTGGCGTTCAAAGTGAAACCTAATAACGTGGCCTCAGGGTACAGATTCCCCTTGGATCAGGGCTACAGGAGCCTGCCAGCCCCAAACACAGCCAGGGTGGCACATTTTCTCACCAGCAGTTTATGATAATAATAATCCTTGCATTTGATATTGTGCCTTATCATGTTGTTAAGACATCTCAAAGCAGTTCAAACGCTTTATCAGCAACAACAGCGACAACAAATTGCATCCATATAGCGCCTTTCACGTCTGGAGAATGTTTAACATCCCACTGCTCAGTATGTGGAATAATTTGCCCACGCACCACATCATGTGTGCGAACTCCGGTACACAATTAATCCATAGGGGCAGGCTGGCACTGAGTGAGAAGCGAGCCTGTCTCCCAGGCTCTTTCTCATGACCCTGCACAAAAAAGAACCCTGAACGTTCAATCTTTTGCAGTTGCTGTCCCTCCCATCACCCACCCACCCACCCCGCCTCAGGCGAGTCTCAGCCAGGCCAGCATTCGGTGTGCAAATGGCCTCAGTAGCCTTCTGACCACTGGAGCATAGAGGGGAACAAAAACAACAAATTACAATTGTATTGCGCCTTTCACGTCAGGAGGATTTAGCACCGAGCTGGGGGTTGGGATCAGGAGGGGTGGCGGGCAGGGAGGGTAGAGGTAGGAGGGTGACCGAAGGCACAGTCAAACAGGAAAGTCTTGAGATGGGCGAGGGATTGAGGCGAAGGGATTGTGGGATGGAGTTCCAAAGGGTGGGGACAGAAAGACTGAAGGCCCTATCGCCGATGGTGAAGCGTGCCAGAGCCCGCAGAGCAGAGGGAGAGGGCAGACCAGAATGGGGTTAACAGGTCACAGAGGTAGGAGGGAGCAAGGCCGTGGAGGGCTTTGAAAGCGAGGTACGGGGTCTCAGAATATTCACCGAGAGCACAAGGTTCTGGAAGCGTAACCGGGGCAAGACAACACCTTAGGAAAACGCTGAAAAAACATACAGAATGGGAAAAGCCAAACTGTTATTCGACTGGGCTTGTGAGAGAGGCTCGGGATGAGGGTGTGGTTCTGGCTAAAGAACAAGCCATGCAGCAAACAAGAACTGGCACAGAGATTGAGGCTCCAGGGCAGAGACCCGGCCACAAACTGATCCTCGACTCCCACATCTTGTCAGGGCTGGCCTGGGAGGGTGGGCACCCTAGGGGGTTCACAGGCTGGCACTGCGGGGGTGGGGTTGGGGCTGAGGGTAAAGGCATTCCTGAAGCTGGAGACGCAGTGAAATTAGTGGAATTTCAGGCCCTGAGGGAGGGGAGATCACCATTTTTTTTTAAAAAATCACATATTCAGGTTAGAGCTTGAAGAGAGACTGTGGAAGAGAGTGAGAGAGAAAAGCATGGAAAAGAGAGCGAAAGAAACCGACAGAGAGGAAGTCAAAGAGGGCATGAGGCAGAGAGAGACAAAAATGGACTTGGCTAAAATAGCTCAGTAAAAATGGGGTGGGGAAGATTAGGTCAAATCTCTCCAGAGAGGTACAAACAGCTAAGAGATATACACAGAGTGGTGCAGTACAGAGGGATGCACAGACACACAGAGATATAGTACAGTAGAGGGACACACACAGAGAGGTACAGTATAGTACAGAGGGATATACACACACACACACAGAGGTACAGTGTAGTACAGAGGGATACACACACACACACAGAGAGGTACAGTGTAGTACAGAGGGATATACACACACACAGAGAGGTACAGTGTAGTACAGAGGGATACACACAGAGGTACAGTGTAGTACAGAGGGATACACACACACACAGAGAGGTACAATGTAGTACAGAGGGATACACACACACACAGAGAGGTACAGTGTAGTACAGAGGGATACACACACACACAGAGAGGTACAATGTAGTACAGAGGGATACACACACACACAGAGGTACAGTATTGCACAGAGGGATACACACACAGAGAGGTACAGTACAGAGGGACAGAGACAGCCAAAGAGAGGCACAGGAGAGAGGGAGAGAGACAGCCACAGAGCTACAGTGGTTATATATAACAAATCCTGGACTCAGGGAGGACAGAGCTGATAACGGTCGCGAGTCTCACCCTCTCTTAGTCCAATCTGTGTCTCTGACTGTCACTCACTGTCTCCCGTTCCTCTGTGTGTGTGTGTGTGTGTGTGTGTGTATCTGTGTCTCAGTCTCTGTGTGGGTGAGTGAGTGAGTGGGTGATGTTCGGGCTGTGTGTGGCGATCTCTCTGTGTGTCTCTCTCTTACTAACCTCAGGGCCAATGTTGGAGCCGCTCCCTCCCTCCCTGTGAGTGAGTGAGTGAGTGAGTGTGTGCCCAGAGAGCCCCGCCCGCTGCACCACAGCTTAAAGCTGCACAGTGTGCAGAGAGTCCCAACGTGTGTCCACACACACACACACATATATACATATATATATATATATGTGTGTAGTGCGTATCGTGTTTGTGTCTGTGCAAAGTGCACATATCTGCAATGCTTGAAGAAAGCGCAAAATTCTGCAGATGCTGGAAATCCGAAACGCGAAAAGCGCTCTCTCAAACGCAAGGATTATTATTGCGTATCGAAAGCAGAAGTGGCTGGGAACGCTCCGCAGACCGGGCAGCACCGATGGAGCAAGTGCGTCAACTTTCGGGGGGGGGGGGGCCACGACCCTTTTTGCCAAGAACCCTGCATTCTGACGAAGGGCCGTGGACCCGAAACGTTGACTCACTTTGCTTTCTCCACAGATGCTGCCCGACCCGCGGAGCGTTCCCAGCCACTTCTGCTTTTGTTTATAATGCATTGTGTTTTTGCACGTGTGTCGTTTGTCTATGTAGTGAATGTATGTGTTGCACACAGTGTGAGTGTATTGTCTGTGTGTGAACAGTGTGTATGTACTGTGTATACATTTATTGTGTGTATGTACATGGAAATGTGTGCGTGTGCTGAATAGTGGGTGTACATTGAGCTGGGGCTGCGCTGGGAAGCACTGGGCTGGAGTCATGTTAAGCTGGAGTTGGTGAGTTGGAGTTAGTATGAGCTGGGGTTGTGCTGGGAGGAGCTGGTAATGTGCTGGCGCTGTGCTGGGAGGAGCTGGACTGTGCTGGGAGAAGGTGGGCTGTACTGAGAAGAGCTGGGCGGAGCTGGGCTGAGAGCAGGGGGGGGCTGTGGGGAGCTGGACTGTATTGGAAGGAGCTGGGCTGTGCTGGGAGGAGCTGGGCTGTATTGGGAGGAATTGGGATATACTGGGAGGAGCTTTGGTGTGCTGAGAAGATCTAGGCTATGCTGGCAGGAGCTGGGTTGGGGCTGTACTCGGAGGAGCTGTGCTGGGGGGAGCTTGGCTGTGCTGGGTTGGGAGGGGCAGTGGTGGGCTGAGCTGTGCTGGGAGGAGGTGGGCTGTGCTGGGAGGAGCTGTCTTGTGCTGGGAGGAGCTGGGCTGGGAGGAGTTGTGCTGGGTTGGGAAAGGCTATGCTGGACGAGGAGAAGCTGGATGTATTCGGAGGAGCTGGGCTGTGCTGGGAGGATCTACGCTGTTCTGGCAGGGGCTGTACTCGGAGGAGCTGAGAGGAGCTGGGCATGGGCTCTACTTGGAGGAGCTGGGCTGTACTGGGAAGAACTCGACTGTGCTTGGAGGAGCTGGGATGGGCTGTTCTGGGAGGAGCTGGCCTGTGCTGGGAGGATCTGGCCTGTGCTGGGAGGAGCTAGGCTGGGGCTATGCTGAGAGAAGCTGGTTGTGCTGCGAGTTGCTGGGCTGTGCTGGGTGAAGCTGTGAGTTGCTGGCCTGGGCTGTGCTGGGCGAGCTGTGGTGGGGCTGTATTGGGAGGAACTGGCCTGTGCTGGGCGGGGCTGGGCTCTGCTGGGAAGAACTGGGCTGCGCTGGAAGGAGCTGGGCTGCGCTGGGAGGAGTTGGGCTTTTGCTGGCAGGAGTTGGGCTGGGAGGAGTTGGAATGGGCTGGGAGGAGTTGGGATAGGCTCGGAGAAGCCAGGGCTGTGTTGGGAGGAGCTAGGGTTGTGCAGAAAAGAGTCGGGATGGGCTGGGAGAAGTTGGGATGGGCTGGGAGAATCTGGGGCTGTGTTGGGAGAGCTAGGGTTGTGCAGAGAAAAGCTGGGCTGGAAGAGCTGGACTGTGCTGGGAGGAGGTGGGCTGTGCTGGGTAGAGCTCGGGCTGTGCTGGGAGGGGCTGAGCTCTGTTAGGAGGAGCTTGGCTGTGCTGGACTGGGAGGAGCTGGATGTATTTGGAGGAGTTAGGCTATGCTGGGAGGAGCTCCACCCTCATACACCGCCTCTCCGTTTTACTCAATCTACGTGGACCTGCCCTTGCCTGGTTCGATTCCTATCTCTCTCACCGTCTCCACTTTGTTGCCTCTAATGGTTTCTCCTCCAGCCCCCACACTGTCACGTCTCGTGTCCCCCAGGGCTCTGTCCTTGGCCCTCTCCTCTTTAATATCTACATGCTCCCCCTTGGTGACATCATCCGCAGACATGGGGTCAACTTCCAAATGTATGCGGATGACACCCAACTGTGGAGTCCTGTAGCTCAGTGGTTAGAGCACTCGCTTTGCAAGCGAGAGACCTGAGTTCAATTCCAGGCAGAGGGCGAAACCTTGAGCAAGTTTCCTTACTCCACACAGAGCCTAATAATAAATCCCTCCAAAACCCAAAACAATAATAAATTGGTCATTTTCAATCTATGACTGTTTGTGGGACATTGCTGTGCGCAATTGGCTGCCGCGTTCGCCCACAAATATACAGTCAATTCACTTTACAGTGTGTTCTGTGAAGTGCTTTGGGACGTCCTCCCGATGTGAAAAGCGCTATATCAAATGCAAGAATTATTATTGTTATTATTATAACTATCTTTCTGACTCCATCCTCAACTCCAGGACCACTGCTGTCCTGACAGACTGCTGTCAGATATCAAGTCCTGGATGAGGGCAAATTTCCGACAGTTGAATGTGTACAAGACTGAGGCCCTCCTGAATGGCTCACACCAGCGCCTCAATACCTCAGCCTCTGGCAGCATCAACCTCCATGGTTGCACACTACAACTCACCAAACCAGTCAGGAACCCAGGTGTCTTGTTCGACCCTCAACTGTCTTCTCCCTCACATCCAAGCCATGACCCACTCTGCCTTCCCTCACCTCCGTAACATCGCCCGACTCCGCCACTACCTCACCCCTCAGGCCACTGGAACTCTTGTTCGTGCCTTCATCACCTCCAGGATTGACTATGCAAACGCTCTGCTTGTCGTCCTTCCCAACTCCTCCCTCCACAGGCTTCAGATAATCCAGAACTCTGCAGCCCGTGTCCTCTCCCGCACCAAACTCTGTGACCCCATCTCCCCCATTCTCACGCAACTCCACTGGATCCCTACCCTTCAGAGGATCCAGTTCAAGATCCTGGTCCACACCTACAAAGCCCTCCATGGCCTCGCCCCACCCTACCTCTGCGAACTCCTAACCCCCTACCAACCCGCCCATTCCCTCCACTCATCCGGCCCTGGTCTGCTCCACGTCACCCGACCCACCCGCCCCACCATTGGCAGGAGAGACTTCAGCCACTCTGCCCCCAACCTCTGAAATTCCATCCCCCAATCACTCCGCCTCACCCCCTCCTTAGTCTCCTTCATGTCCCGCCTCAAGACCCTCCTCTTCGATGATACCATCGGCCACCCCCTCACCCTCAAACCCCAGCTCAGGTCTGAAATGCTGTACTCTGTCCAGCGCCTTGGGACGTCCTCCCGACCTGAAAGGTGCTATACAAATGTAATCTTGTTGTTGTGGGCTGTGCTGGAAGGAGATGAGCTGTGCTGGGAGGAGGTGAGTCTGTGCTGGGAGGAGCTGGTTTGTGCTGGGAGGAGCTGTGCTCGGTTGGGAAAGGCTGTGCTGGACTGGGAGGAGCTGGATGTATTCGGAGGAGCTTGGCTGTGCTGGGAGGATCTATGCTGTTCTGGCGTGGGCTGGAGCTGTACTCGGAGGAGCTGGGCAGGGACTGTACTTGGAGGAGCTGGGCTATGCTGGGAAGAACTGGACTGTGCTTGGAGGAGCTTGGATGGACTGTTCTGGGAGGAGCTGGCCTGTGCTGGGAGGAGCTGTGGTGGGCTGTGCTGAGTGGAGCTGGCCTGTGCTGGGAGGAGCTGTGGTGGGCTGTGCTGGCAGGAGCTGGACTGTGCTGGGAGGAGCTGTGCTGAGTGGGGCTGTGCTGGGAGGAGCTGTGCTGAGTGGGGCTGTGCTGGGAGGAGCTGGAGCTGTGCTGGGAGGAGCTGTGTTGTGAGGGGGTGGGCAATGCTGAGTGGAGCTGTGTTGTGAGGGGGTGGGCTGTGCTGGAAGGAGCTGGGACTGTCCTGGAAGGAGCTGTGTTGTGAGGGGTTGGGCTGTGTGAGAGGAGCTGGGGCTGTGCTGGGAGGAGCTGTGTTGTGAGGGGATGGGCTGTGCTGGGAGGAGCTGGGGCTGTGCTGAGTGAAGTTGTGCTGAGTGGGGCTGTGCTGGGTGGAGCTGTGCTGGGAGGAGCTGGACTGTGCTGGGAGGAACTGTGCTGGGAGGGGTTGGGCTGTGCTGAGTGGAGCTGGGCTGGGAGGGAGAGGGCTGTGCTGTGAGGGCTTTGCTGGGAGGGGGAGGGGCTGTGCTGGGGAGGGGGAGTGGCTGAGCTGGGAGGGGGAGGGGCTGTGCTGGGGAGGGGGAGGGGCCGTGCTGGAGGGGGAGGGGCCGTGCTGGGGAGGGGGAGGGGCTGTGCTGGGAGGGGGAGGGGCTGTGCTGGGAGGGGGAGGGCTGTGCTGGGAGGGGGAGGGGCTGTGCTGGGGAGGGGCTGTGCTGGGAGGGGGAGGGGCTGTGCTGGGAGGGGAGGGGCTGTGCTGGGAGGTGCTGGGAGGGGAGGGGCTGTGCTGGGGAAGGGGAGGGGCTGTGCTGGGAGGGGAGGGGCTGTGCTAGGAGGGGGAGGGGCTGTGCTGGGAGGGGGAGGGCTGTGCTGGGAGGGGGAGGGGCTGTGCTGGGAGGGGAGGGCTGTGCTGGGGAGGGGGAGGGGCTGTGCTGGGGAGGGGGAGGGCTGTGCTGGGAGGGGGAGGGGCTGTGCTGGGGAGGGGGGGCTGTGCTGGGGAGGGGAGGGGCTGTGCTGGGAGGGGGAGGGGCTGTGCTGGGAGGGGGAGGGGCTGTGCTGGGAGGGGGAGGGGCTGTGCTGGGGTTCAGTGGAGCTGGAGTTGGTGAGTTGCAGTCGGTGTGAGGTGGGATGAGCGGAATGGCACTGGCGATCCAGCGCTCTCGGCAGCGGGACGCGGGGTTGGGCTCTCGGGGCAATGCGCGGCGGTTCCTGGGGCAGAGCTACGAGGAGCTGCGGGACCGCTGTCTGCAGACGGGGGTCCTCTTCCAGGACCACAGCTTCCCCGCCGCCCCGGACAGTCTGGGCTACCAGGAGCTGGGCGGCCACTCACACAAAACCCGGGGGGTGGAGTGGCAGCGCCCGCCGGTGAGACACTTCTTTTTTTTGCATTGAGATGACTCCGACTCCACAGCTCAGCGTCTCCCCACCACCACTCCACCCCACCACCACTCCCCCACTCCCCCACCCCACTCCCCCACTCCCCCACCACCACCCACTCCCCACTCCCCCACCACCACTTCCCCACTCCCCCCACCACCACTCCCCCATCCCCCACTCCCCACCACCACTCCCCCACTCCCCACCACCACTCCCCCACTCCCCCACCACCACTCCCCACTCCCACCACCACCCATCCCCCACTCCCCACCCCACCACTCCCCCACTCCCCCACCACCACTCCCCCACTCCCCCACCACCACACACTCCCCCCACTCCCCACCACCACTCCCCACTCCCACCTCCCCACCACCACTCCCCACCCCCACTCCACCACCACCACTACTCCCCCACTCCCCCACCACCACTCCCCCACTCCCCCACCACCACTCCTCAGCCCCCAGTCCCCCACCACCACTCCCCCACCACCACCACTCCTCACCCCCAGTCCCCCACCACCACTCCCCACCACCACTCCTCAGCCCCCACTCCCCCACCACCACTCCCCACCACACTCTCAGCCCCCACTCCCACCACCACTCCTCAGCCCCACTCCCCCACCACCACTCCCCCACCACCACCACTCCTCAGCCCCCACTCCCCCACCACCACTCCCCACTCCCCCACCACCACTCCTCAGCCCCCACTCCTGCCCGGAATATCTCTCTCTCTCTCTCCCCCACACACCCAGGGCTGGGCAGCTGCTGTCTGTGGTCTCTGACCCTCACGCTCTGTGGTCTCTGACCCTCACGCTCTGTGGTCTCTGACCCTCACTCTCTGTGGTCTCTGACCCTCACTCTCTGTGGTCTCTGACCCTCACTCTCTGTGGTCTCTGACCCTCACTCTCTGTGGTCTCTGACCCTCACTCTCTGTGGTCTCTGACCCTCACTCTCTGCGCCTCTGACCCTCACTCTCTGTGCCTTTGACCCTCACTCTCTGTGTTTGCAGGATCTGTGCTCAAGACCCCGGTTTATTATTGAAGGAGCCACCAAGACTGACATTTGCCAGGGCTCCTTGGGTGAGTGACAGCCCAGTCTGGGGTCTGAGAGAGGCACCAGCTGTGTGTGTGAGTGAGAGAGAGTGTATGAGTGAGAGAGAGTATGAGTGAGAGAGAGTGTATGAGTGAGAGAGAGTGTATGAGTGAGAGAGAGTATGAGTGAGAGAGAGTATGAGTGAGAGAGAGTGTATGAGTGAGTGTGAGAGAGTGAGTTTTTTTATGTGTGTATGTCAGTGTGTGTGTGTTTGAGAGACAGTGAGTGTGTATGAAAGAGTGAGTGTGTGAGAGATTCAGAAAGAGTAAGTGAGGGACAGAGTGTGTGAGAGAGGGCGGGTGAGAGTGAAAAATAGTGTGAGAGACAGACAGAGTGTAAGAGAGTCAGATACAGTGAGGGACAGAGAGTAAGTTTGAGAAAGACTGTGAGGGAGAGAAAGTGTGGTTGGCAAACAGTAGAGCTTGCCTGGCAAGGACAGGTAGTGATGGGGGTGTAGAGTTTAGAGTAGGTGAGTACGTGGGTAGTGGAGTGTGCGAGAAAGAGTGTGTGAGTGAGTCACTGTTAAGACTATAAGACGTAGCAGCAGGAGTAGGCCATTTGGCCCCTCGAGCTTGCCCCCGCCATTTAATAAGATCATGGCTGATCTTCTAACCTAATTCCATTTACCCGCCCTATCCCCATATCCTTTAGATATATATCAACCTCAGTCTTGAATAAAGCTCTCTGAAACGCCACTCTGCGTGAAGGGTGCAGTTATTGTTATTGTGTGTGGCCACTATCGGTAGAGGAGACACTAAACTGGTTAGGTGAGTGTGTTCGCCCTACTGTCAGTCTGCTCCTGTGAAAGACTGCGAGCACACACACACACATTTTCAGCTTGTTTCACTCTGTGACTGCGTGGTAACAGCACAAACCTGTGGAGATCTGTGGAGTGAAAGTTGAGCGACTCCTCCCTCGCTCTCTCCTTTTCAGTGCTTCGCTGTGAGAGCTTTACAAGGCGGACAAGTTGGGGCTGACTCACTGTTAATTTGTTGGCTTTACTTTGCTCACTGAGGACACCGCCCTAGCTGCAGGCTGTTCTTTCTACTCACAGCCTGCTCTGGCTGAGACCAGAACAACATTTAAATTGGATAAGTATATCAGAGAGAGGGAATGAAAAGGGCACATGGAAAGGGATTACAGTGGAGAGCAAGCACCAGGACGCAATGGGCTGAATGGTGTAAAGGTACTGTGGTGTGACTGTGTGTTTTGGTGTAGGGGATTGCTGGCTCCTGGCTGCCATCGCGTCCCTGACTTTGAACAAGGAAGTGTTGGACAGAGTGGTTCCCGATGGACAGAGCTTTGATTCGGGCTACGCTGGAATCTTCCATTTCCAGGTAATGGCAGAACTCTGAACCGCAATTAAGTATTTTTTTTTGATCAGCCAGGTGTCTGACACACACGGAAACCCATCACCATGATCACCCGGTGTTTGAACACGCAGAAACCCATCACCCTGCTTAAGAATATCCAAACCAGACAGATTTCCACATATTTATGCCACTTACATATCGAAATGGATGCACACTCTCTCCCTGAAGGGACGCAACCTGCTTCCCTGATCCCGGAGAATGTTAGGCTCAGGTTGGCAAGAGCCAAGGCTTGGGGACCCCAGAGTCTGCTGGAGTCCCCAAAGCTAAAATTGCATAGTGTGCTATTGAGAGCACTGTCTGACAAGTTTCCCACTGCTTGTCCAGCTAGGACCACCCTACCTATTAGTGGGAAGAATCCTTTTCTTCAGTGACCAGTTTGCCCCTTCCAAAGTCCTGCCATAAGCCAGGCTAGTCTTGTCATCAGTAGTGCCTTGGAGTGCTGCAGACCCATCTGGCCCAGGAACTGGTTTGGAGATTGTCACAGAGATTTGATTCTAATGTTCTATTGCCAAGCACCACCTTGGAGCCAGTTCAACTTCAAGGACTCCCCGCACCAACCAAAGGATAGTCACTTGTTGACTAGTTGCTTATAGCTGATTTCCCTCTGCAGTGCAGCCACTGTGACCTTGATGGTAGCCAGCTGAGATCAGCAAATTGGCACAGAGTGTACCTCGTTCCCTCATTGTCTGCCTGGCTCGGTTGGTTTCACACTCGCCTTTAAATAATAATCCTAGCATTTGATATAGTGCTTCTCTTGTCACTGAGAGTCCCAAATTGGTTGTGTGTTTTGTGAGCGAAAATGTGGCAGCCAATTGCAAATAGCAGTGTCCCACAAACAACTGTGGATTGAGTGACCAATTTTTTGGGGGATGAATGGATTATTACCCCAAGAAATTGATCCGCCTATCAACTAACAACCGGGTTCCTACATATTGCATGATAAAAAGGCATGTAGAATAAAAAATCTTGCCTGAAGTTTCACTACGCCCAGGAAACAAACCAAATTCCTCTTGCTTGCAAGGCAAGCTCACTAACCACTATGCTCCGTTGAGGGTTGTGGATGCCACATCCGGTCTTGAGCTCACAGCCAGGCTGACATTGAGTAGGTTGCGAGGTGGGGATGGGTGAGGTGAATGCTGCATTGTCAGAGGTGTCAACCTTCAGATGGGACTTTAAACTCTGCATCATACTGTTCAGAGGAACGTTAAAAGATTTCGCAATCCTAATGGAAAAGAAAATACATTTTTCTACGGAAAAAGCTGTGGAATGGTCAAGGTGGTTTCTGCTGTTCTAGTGTGTGTCAACAGTGCACATCAACAGATTCGACCGCTCCCCAAACATGCTCTCTGGGCTTACTCACACAGTGTTCCAAGCTAACGCAGCCTCTTGTCAGTAAAAGCAAACTAGAGTGGTTTTACAAGTGTCAGGCGATGTAAAGAATAACTAGCACAGATTGTACTCTGAGTCCCCGATAAGTGTTGCAACTTAGTGTGCAGTACTAGTGCATGTGGAGCAGAGTTGTTGAGGAAATGGCCCAAGTTGAGATGAGATTGTCGTCCCCACTCAGAGAGTGCCTGCGGTGTCAGCCCTGCCAGTAAGTCTGTTGGCTGTGATCCAAGTCTTTGATGATGTGCCAGAGTTTGCAAGACTCGAATGTGGCATTCATTGTACTCTGGAATGCCCACTACACACCAGCCCCAGCCTACTTTGCGCTCTGCTGTGCCAGTCATTAGTTTTTACGATGTTTTGCAGTGAACAAGTTCCTGTTTTGAGGAGTTATTCAAAGATTGTGGTCTCAGTGATATGAATCAAACAACCTGGCTTCAGGGTAGTAATTCTTAATGCACGACAACCATACGAACAGGAGTAGGCCATTCAGCTCCTCGAGCCTGTTTCAATATTCTATTAGATCAACAACAACAAAATTACATTTGTATAGCGCCCTTCATGTCGAGTTCCAGAGTGTGGGGACGGAATGGCAGAAGGTCCGCCCGCCAATGGTGGGGTGAGCGAGACGGGGGATGTGAAGCAGGCTGGAACCCGCTGAACGGAGGCAGTGGGCAGGATGGTAGGGGGTTAGGAGGTCACAGAGGTAGGGGGGAACAAGACCATGGAGGGCTTTAAAGGTGAGGACCAGGATCTTGAACTGTATCATCTGTGTGATGGGGATCCAGTGGAGTCGGGCGAGGATGGAGGTGATAGTGTCATGGAGCCTGGTGCGGGAGGATACTGGCTGCAGAGTTCCAGATGATCCATAGCCTATGGAGGGAGAAGTTGGGGAGGCTGACAAGCAAGGAGTTTGCATAGTCAAGCCTCGATGTAATGAAAGCATGCATGAGGGTTTTAGCGGCCTGCAGTGTGAGACAGTGGCGGAGCCAGGCGATGTTGCGGAGGTGGGGTAAGGCAGAGCGGGCCATGGCACAGGTGTAGGGTAGAAAGGACAGTTGAGGGTCAAACAAAATGCCAAGGTTCTGGACTGGCTTAGTGAGGTGGAGTGTGCAACCATGGATGGTGATGCTGTCAGCGACTGAGCTGTGGAGGCGCTGACGGGATCCAATCAGGAGAACCTCGGTCTTGTTGATGTTCAACTGAAGAAAGTTAGCTGTCATCCAGGACTTGATGTCTGACAGACATTCTGTTAGCACAGCAGTGGTCCTGGAGTCAAGAGTGGAGGCAGAGAGATACAGTTGGGTGTCATCTGCATACATGTGGAAGTTGACCCCATGTCTGCGGATGATGTCATCAAGAGGGAGCATATAGATACTGAAGAGGAGGGCACCAAGGATAGAGTCCTGAGGAATGCCGCATGAGACAGGGTGGGGGCTAGAGGAGAACAACAAGATTACATTTGTATAGTGCCTTTCACGTCAGGAGGACGTCCCAAGGCGCTGGACAGAGTACAGCATTTCAGACCTAAGCTGGGGTTGGGTGGGGGGGTAGGAGGGTGGCCAATGGCATGGTCGAAGAGGAGGATCTTGAACCGGGACTTGAAGGAGGCTAAGGAGGGGGTGAGGCGGAGTGATTGCGGGATGGAACTCCAGAGGTTGGGGGCAAAGTGGCTGAAGGCTCTCCCGCCAATGGTGGGGCGGGTGGGTTGGGGGACGTGGAGCAGGCCAGAGCCGGCTGAGCGGAGGGAATGGGCGGGTTGGTAGGGGGTTAGGAGGTCGCAGAGATAGGGTGGGAAACCATTTGTGGAGATGAAGTGGAGGCAGTGTGAGAGGTACGATCTGAACCAGTCAAGTACAGAGCTGTGAAAGTTGAGGTGAGAGAAGAGTCAGTGGATAAGGATAGAGTGGTCAACGATGTCTAAGGTAGCAGAGAGGTCAAGGAGTATGGGGAGGCAGAGGGAGCCCTGGTCACAGATGGACAGCATGTCATTTGTCACTTTGACCAGGGCTGTTTCTGTGCTGTGGACGGTACGGAAACCCAATTGGTGGGGTTTCAGAAGGGAGTGGCCAGAGAGGAAGGAGCAAAGCTGGGAAGCAACGTCTTGTTAATGGAGTTTGGAGATGGGGCGGTAGTTTGAGAGTAGGGAGGGTTTTTTAAGGACAGGAGTGATGATGCCTTTTTTAGTGGTGCGGGAATAGTACCAGTGGACAGGGAGAGATTTATGATGTCTGCGAGTAGAGGGGCAAGGAGGTGGAGCTGGGAGGTAAGGAGTGGGGTAGGGATGGGGTCGAGGGAGCAGGTAGTTGGTTTCATGCCGGTTATAATGGTAGTGAGAGACAGGTTCGAAGGTGTGGAGGGAGGGAGGGATGGGAGAGGGAGATGGGGAGGGTGTAGTAGATGGAAGGGCAGAGGCAGCTGAGTGGATCCCCTCAATTTTGGATTGGAGGAAGTTCAGCATCGCCTTGCAGGTGGCATTGGAGTTGAGGATGGGCGAGGTGTGAGAGGGTGGGCAGAGGAACCGGTTGGTGATGGAGAAGAGGAATCTAGGGTTGTCTTTGGCCTCCAAGACTGTGTTGGAGTAGAATGACGATTTAGCAGAGGCGAGGGCGGAGTGGTTGGATTTGGTAAGATCCAGCCAGATATGCCAATGGACCGTTAAGTTGGATTTCAGCCAGGTGAGTTCAGCGGCATGCAACTGTGCCTTAAGGGAGCGGAGGTGGCTGTGTACCATGGTGACTTACGTGAATAGGAGACGGTTCGTGAAGAGAGGGGAGCAAGGGAATCGAGAGTGGAGGAAATGGATCTGTGGAGAAGAGTGACTGAGGAGGATAGGCCATTGCGGAAGGAAGCCCAGAGGGGAAGGAGTTCAGATGACTCCAAGGCAGCCGAGAGGGAGGGGAGGGAGATTTGTTTTCCAGCTGATCATGGCTGATCTGTACCTCAACTCCAATTATCGACCATTGCTCCATAATTCTTGAAACCCTTACCTAACAAAAATGTATCCACCTCCGTCTTGAAAATTTGAATGGATCCAGCATCTACAGCCTTTTGGAGGAGAGGGTTCCAGATTTCCACTACCATTTACGTATATATTTTAAAAAAAAGCTTCCTGATTTCACTCCTAAATGGCGTAGCTCTAATGTTAAGATTGTGCCTCCTTGTTCTGGATTCCCCCACCCGAGGAAATAATTTTTCTGTAGCTACCTTATCAAATCCCTTCATCATTTTAAACGCCTCAATCAGATCACCTCTCAAACTTCTAAACTCAAGGAAATATAAGCCAAGTTTATACAACCTGTCCTCATAATTTAACTCTTTAAGCTCTGGTACCATTCTGGTGAACGACAAACCCATTCCCAGGTTTGAATGAAAAAAACCTCACTGAGCCTCGCAGCACCCACATTAGCAAATATTTCTTGAATTGAATATTATAATAATAATAGTAATAATAATCCTTGCATTTGATATAGCGCTTTATAATGTCATTAAGACGTCTCAAAGCACTTCACAGAATATATTGTAAAGTGAAATTGACTGTATATTTTGTGAGCGAAAATGCGACCACTAATTGCGCACAGCAGTGTCCCACAAACCGTCGTGGATTGAGCGACCAAATTGATAATTATTTATTTTTTAAGGGATTATTACCCCCAGAAAGCGACCCACCAATCAACTAACAACCAGGTTCTTACTTGCTGTCAGGGGCAGAGAATCAACCCACACAGATCTTGTCTGAAGCACTGATTGTCCAGCTCCTTGGGACATCCTCCCGACATGAAAGGCGCTATACAAATGTAATTTGGTGGTTGTTGTTAACCCTGCTAGTCAAAGCCCTAATAGGTAAGGTGGTCCTAGCTGGACAAGCAGAGGGTGAGCTTGCCAGACAGTGATATCAATGGCAAGGGTACTGCAGTACCCCAACGCACACTCTGGAGTCCCCAAGCATTGGCTCTCGCCTACGTGTGCCTAACACTTTACGGAATTAAGTAAACAGGATGCATCCCTCCGTTCCAACAATCTATCTCTGGAATTTCCATGTGTAGGTGGGATGCATGAAATTCTCAGTTTGGTTTGGATACTCTTAAGCACGGTGATGGGTTCCTGCATGTGTCAGACACCTGGCTGACCTCCCCCCAAAAATCGCTTCTCAGGTTCATTCTGGTCTCTCCTGGTCCTGGGAATAGGTGGTGCAACGTGACTGATGGTGTGATGGACGATAAGTTGATGGGTCGGATGATGGTGTCTCTGATTGACTAACTGACTGATTGTCTCCTCTGGTCTCTCCTAGTTCTGGCAGTATGGGGAGTGGGTGGATGTGGTGATCGATGACCAGCTGCCCACCAAGGATGGAGAGCTAATGTTTGTCCACTCGGACGAGCAGAATGAGTTCTGGAGCGCGCTGCTGGAGAAAGCTTACGCCAAGTAGGTCACTTCATCACTGATGTCTCTTGCTCAATATCAGCAGCACCTTCATAAAAATAATAATGATCGTTGCATTTGTTACAATGCCCTTCATGTCGGGAACAAGTCCCAAAGCGCTTCACAGGATTTACTGTGGGGAGGAGTGACTGCAGAAACTCCCTTCTCTTTTGGAATAGTGTCATGGAATCTTTAACGTACTCCTGAGCAGGCAGTCGGGGCCTCAGTTTAACGTCATCTCATTGAAGGACGATGCAACACCCCCCCAGCACACCATTGGAGTGTCATCTTAGGTTATGTGAGTTCAAGCCCTGACGTGAGCCTTGGACCTACAACCTTCTGACTCAGAGAAGAGTGCTATCACAGCGCAAGGCTGAGACTTCATCAGCACTCGCCATCCTTTACACAGAACCCCCTGCCCCAATTTACATTTATATAGAGTCTTGCATGTCAGGAGGATGTCTCAAAGCACTTTACGCTGCTCACTGGTTACTTCACACTCGAGCTGGGACTTGGGAGCCAGGGGTGTGTGGGAAGGGAAAAGATGACTGACGGGTACAATCAAAGAGGTAGATCTTGAATGAGGGGAGGGAGGGAGTCAGAAAGACTAAGGGTGGAGTTTCAGAGAGTGGAGCTGAACGCCATCTGAGTGAAAGGTGTAACCAGTCAGTAGAGTTGGAGGGCGTTGAAGAAGTAGGATCGAGCGAGATTGGAGGCATTTAAAGGTGAGAACAAGGATCTGCTTTATCTCGATCCGCTGGGGGAATGGGGAGTCAGAGAAGCCTAGCAAGGGTGGGGTAATAGGCTTGTGAAGGCTGGTGTGGGAGAGGACATGGGCGAGCAGGGTATTAGCGTAGTGAAGCCTGTTCATGATGTGAGGTTTCGGTGGCTTGAGGGAAATCAGTAATTACTAATTACACTTGTAACCATTTCTCGATGCTTCCACCCAGTATTGTTGTGGAATCCCGTAACGTAGTAATTTGCACCCTCACCACAAGTGAGAGGACTCAGATTTCATTCCCGGGCAAGGTGAAACCTTAGGCAAGTTTCCTTGATCCAAATGCCTTTGTTCACCTAACATATAATAATCCCTCAAAAACAGTTTGGTCAGTGAATCCATGACTATTTGTGGAACGTTGCTGGGTGCAATTGGCTGCCATATTTCACGCACAAAATTCACTTTTCAATATATTCTGTGAAATACTTTGAGACATCTCAACTATGTGATGAGGCGCTATATCAAATGCAAACACCAGCTTAGCCCCCAGTGTGTCTTTATAGACTTCTCTATCAGGATTCACATTTCCTGCTTGTTCCCACATATACTATATTCCAAAACGCTATCAACAATGATATACCAATCAGTGAATTCACGATCGATCGCTGCAATGACAATCTCAAAGACAGATGCTGCAATTGCAATCCCAGTCAATTGCTGAAATCCCTTTCACTGAAATAACGTGACCGTGCTGCTTTTTACAAAGAATGTACAGCACGGAAAAGGACCGCTCGGCCCAACCAGTTTGTGCCAGGACTGCTTGTGCTTTGCGTGTAGCATGCTGCGTTGTGTGTAGCGTGACCTGTGTATTTTTGTTACACAGGCTGAATGGATCGTATGAGGCTCTATCGGGTGGATCGACGACCGAGGGGTTTGAGGACTTCACGGGGGGCGTGTCAGAGTGGTACGAGCTGAACAAGGCCCCTGCGGACCTTTTTCACATCATCGAGAAGGCGCTGAAGAGGGGCTCACTGCTCGGCTGCTCCATCAATGTGAGTAGCAACCTCAGAGCACAGAGACCCTGGGGGTGGCACGGCGACCCTGGGGGCACACAGCGACCGGTGGGGGGTGGGAAGGTCACACAACCATCCAGTGCCTTGGACACCTTCTGAGTGCACAACTAAGCCCAGCCCCTAGTTCTGGCACGCAAACCTTCACTCGCAGACATTACTATACACCCTGCACATGGTGGCACACGTTACCGTACTCTGCACATGGTGACACACACACGTTACTGCTGTGTACTCGGCACATGGTCTCACACACACACACACACACACACACACACACACAACCATGGTCATGTTGCTCTGCTCTCAGATCACGAGTGCATCAGAGACCGAGGCGATCACCCCCGAGAAGCTGGTGAAAGGTCACGCCTATTCCATCACTGGAGCACAGGAGGTGGGTACTCGCTTGCTGATACACTGCCCCACACGGCGGGGGGGGGCAAACGGAGGGTAATACGTTGGGGGGAGGAGCTTTGGAAGCTGGGTCAGCCAACAGAGTGAGTGAGAGGCATGCAGAGATCTGCAGAGGATCAGTACAGATGAGGTGTGATCAGAGAGCACAAGGAGGGAGAGAGAATGAGGGGGAAGAGTGAGGGAAAAGAGAGAGTGGCGAGGAGAGAAGGGGAGAGCGCCAGCGAGATGGAGGAGGGCGCCAGCCAGGCAAGGGGGGAGGGCGCCAGCCAGGCGGGGGGGGAGGGCGCCAGCCAGGAGGGGGGGGAGGGCGCCAGCCAGGAGGGGGGGGAGGGCGCCAGCCAGGCGGGGGGGGGAGGGCGCCAGCCAGGCGGGGGGGGGAGGGCGCCAGCCAGGCGGGGGGGGGAGGGCGCCAGCCAGGCGGGGGGGGAGGGCGCCAGCCAGGCGGGGGGGGGAGGGCGCCAGCCAGGCGGGGGGGGAGGGCGCCAGCCAGGCGGGGGGGGAGGGCGCCAGCCAGGCGGGGGGGGAGGGCGCCAGCCAGGCGGGGGGGAGGGCGCCAGCCAGGCGGGGGGGAGGGCGCCAGCCAGGCGGGGGGGCAGGGCGCCAGCCAGGCGGGGGGGGCAGGGCGCCAGCCAGGCGGGGGGGCAGGGCGCCAGCCAGGCGGGGGGGGCAGGGCGCCAGCCAGGCGGGGGGGCAGGGCGCCAGCCAGGCGGGGGGGCAGGGCGCCAGCCAGGCGGGGGGGGCAGGGCGCCAGCCAGGCGGTGGGGGAGGGCGCCAGCCAGAGATGGTGGGGGGGGGAGGGCGCCAGCCAGAGATGGTGGGGGGGGGGAGAAGCGGAGAAGGGGGTGGAGGGGTATTAGAAGGTGGGAAGGCGGCAGAGGCAGTCCTGTGCTGATGGGATGCCCTTGTCTCAGGTTCGGTTCCGCGGGTCCCAGGTGCAGTTGATCCGGATCAGGAACCCCTGGGGGCAGGTGGAGTGGACGGGAGCCTGGAGTGACAGGTGAGTGAGTTACTACCGGAAGAGAGCGGACCGGGGTAGGTAAGGGAGGGGGCTTGAGGGGGGGTGTCTGTCTAGCAGGGGAGGGATCACAGTGCTAACGTGTAGTTTATATGTGAACCAGCTCCTCGCATTGGAACTCAGTGTCACCACAGGATGCAGCCGATCTTCGGAATCGCGCCGAGGATGGAGAATTCTGGTAAATAATAATCCTTGCATTTCATATAGAGCCTTATCACATCGTTGAGACATCTCAAAACGCTTCACGGGATATACTGTGAAGTGAATTGACTGTATATTTTGTGGGCAAAACATTGACAATGAACAATCCTAGATAACAATCCTAGATAACATTTGTTAAATAATATTCATAAATAACATTAATAAAATAATAATCCATGCATTTGAAATAGAACTTTTTACGTCTTCTAGATATCTCAAAGTGCTTCACAGAATATACTGTAAAGTGTTACATTTGTGGGTGAAACACAACAGCTACAAATAGTCGTGGATTGAAGTGACCAATTTGTTATCGTATTTTTTTCTTGAGAGTTTATTATCAGGCGTGTGGGGTAAGGAAACTTGCCCAAGGTTTTGCCCTGTCAGGAATCGAACACAGGTCTCTCGCTTGTGAGGCGAGTGCTCTAAACGCTGAGCTACAGGACTCCATTAATAAGCGAATATTGGTGGTAGTGAGAGAGGGAGAGAGTGGAAGGATGGCAAGTGCAGTTCAACAAAGCCAAGCTTGAGTGTCTTCTTTCCCTTCCTGCTTCTTGTTTCTTTCGTTCCCCTGAATTCCTGTCTCTGCTGGAGATCGCAAATCTGGGAGCTCAGTGGGGAAGTTCTAGAGGCAGAGATGAGCAAAGGGGCTTGGATATAATAATGATAATCCTTGCATTTGATATAGAGCCTTATCACGTCGTTGAGACATCTCAAAGAGCTTCAGATTATATTGTAAAGTGGATTGACTGTATTTTATGGACGAAATGCAGCAGACAATTGCGATAGCAATATCCCACAAACAGTCATGGATTGAGTGACCAAATTCTTATGTTTACTAGGTTCCTACTTACTGCTAGGTAAACAGAGATGTGTGGAATAAGGAAACTTGCCTAAGGTTTCGCCCTGCCTGGGAATCGAACCCGGGTCCTCTCGCTTGCGAGGCGAGCGCGCTAACCACTACGCTACACGACTAGTCCCAAGGCCCGTGGATGTGTGAGTGAAACATCTCAATGAAAGCGTGTACCCAGGTGCAGAGAGCAAATGGAAAGCTGGGATTCATTGTGAGAATAGAGAACCAGTGAAGTAGTGGGTGAGGTCATACAGTAATCTGGTGAGGCCACACGTACACTGCCTACATGTGTATTTTGGCTCTGTAGAGAGTGCCGCATGTGTTCACGAGGATATCAGGGTATTAGGGAGGGAAAGGTTCATTATTGTGAAAGGCTGATCTTCCGTTCTTACCCTCCCTGGACCACTCTCCTGCCCGGCAGTGCTGGACAATACATAACTCATGTTTTATTGGCTGATTGTCTCTCAGGATGTCGTTCTCGGACTTTAAGAGGCACTATTCTCGGGTTGAGATCTGTAACCTGACGCCTGACACCCTCACCTCCGACAAGATCCTCAAATGGAACTGTGCCTTGTTCAGTGAGAGCTGGAGACGTGGCTCCACAGCTGGAGGCTGCCGGAACTTCCCAGGTACAGGACAACCACTGCCTGTCCAGGCTCCCCCCTTCCCCCCCGAGACCATGGTCTCGCCCCCTCGTCCTCCCTCCCGAGACCACAGCTGCCCCTCCACCGAGACGCACCCCCCCCCCACCTGCCCGAGACAGCAGCTGTCCCCCCGCCCGAGACCGCGGTGAGCACCCTCATATAATCAATCGTTCTCTCTGCCCCTCCAACAGCCACCTTCTGGATGAACCCCCAGTTTAAGATGGTGCTGGAGGAAATCGACGATGATGGACGAGGGGAGGACGGCTGCAGCGTCCTGGTGGCTCTGATCCAGAAAAACCGAAGGAACCTGAGGAAGATGGGCGAGGACATGCACACTGTGGGCTTCGCCATCTATGAGGCACGTCACTGTCCAGCCAGGGTTCAGAGCATGACGCAGACCAGTAGTAATAGTAGTTACGCTGCAGTTGAGTGTGGTGTGGTTAGGTTCTACTTAAGTTGTAGTTGAATAATGGTGTGGTTGAGTTACAGTGTAGTTAGTTTCCAGTTGAGTTACAGTGTAGTTAGGTTCCAGTTGAGTTACCTTCATTAACCTGCGGGAGATCAAAGTCATAGATGGTAATTGGGGTATGGTGTAGTTACAGTATGGATCACTGTATGGATACACTAACTATTATTCTTTTCTCTGCAGGTCCCTGATGAGGTATGTTGGTTGCCATCTGACTCCTGTCTACGATCACTGGTCTGAGATTTAACCCTTATTTTTACTAGGTTCCTACTTACTGCTAGGTAAACAGAGATGTGTGGAATAAGGAAACTTGCCTAAGGTTTCGCCCTGCCTGTTTGACTGTTGGAGGAATGAAGGGGTTAGGTCGAGGGCCAAGCACTTCCTTACCCGATGTCACCAGTTGGGTGATATTTCACCTTTGTAGTATAGTCGTTCCTCATCCCAGGTCCCATATCCATGCCAGTCAGCCTCCTGACCTCTCTCCCTACTCCGCTACCGCTGCTTTTGTTCGGCTTGCTCTGCCCTCCTGCTTGACCCTCGTCCCTTCTACTCCATCATCGGCAGCCGCACTTTCAGACACTACCCTCCAAAACTTTGGAACTCTCCCCCAAACCCTCCACCTTGCCCCCTCCTATCCCTCTTTTAGATCATGACTGAAGACCTTCCTCTTCAACTATGGTTACTGTCACTTCCTTTCCCTCCCCTGTGTCGGCGCTGGGCTCCATCATTGCTAAACGCACCGAGATGCTGTCCTGTTTGAAAGGGCGCTATATAAATGCAAGTCATCATTGCTGTTGTTCCTGTGTATCATTTCACACTCACAGGGGTGAGACGTGAGGTGCCAATTATGCCATAGCAGAAATGGTCTGTTTGAGCGTGGATTACATCATCTGGCCGACGTTGGGCTGGTGATGTCGGCGGGGGCTGTGGGCTGGTGGTGCCAGGGGGTGCTGTGGGCTGGTGATGCCGGCGGGGGCTGTGGGCTGGTGATGCCGGCGGGGGCTGTGGGCTGGTGGTGCACCTCCTGTCTTGTTCTCAGGGCTCAGAGTGCTATGATTGTCGCCTTCTGTACTCGGTGACCATCCCATGTCCCTTCCTGTCCTGACAGTACAAAGGGGTCACAAACGTGCACCTGGAGAAAAGCTACTTCATAACACATGGATCAAAAGCACGATCCGAGACCTTCATTAACCTACGGGAGGTCTCAGCCCGGTTCTGCCTGCCCCCCGGAGAGTACCTGGTTGTCCCCTCCACTTTCGAACCCAACCAAAATGGGGACTTTGCTCTGCGCGTCTACACAGAGAAACGGGCTGACACTCAGTAAGTAAATGGGGGAGAAATTGGTGTGTTGGAAGGATTCTGGGTGCGTTGGGGCGGCGGGGGGTGTCTAGGAGATAATCACTAAGAATGTGATGGGGTTGGAGGGGCTGGGCGACATGTTTTGGGGTGTCCCAGGTGCCGGGGCTGTTCCCAGACTCTCGCATACACTCACTGTGGGACATTAAGGCTCTCACATACACTTACTGTGGGACATGAAGCTCTCGGATACACTCACTGTGGGACAGCGAGGCTCTCTCTGATTAATATCGTGTCTGAGGTCAAAAATTCTCTGTTCCCAGCACAATGGACATTGACCAGGTGTATGCAACCTTCGATGATGAGGTACTGTGTATGTCTACGTGTGCGTGTCTCTGTCTGTGCGTGTATCTCTCGCTCTGTGTGTGACTGTCTGTGTGTGTGTCTGTCTGTGTGCCTTTGTGTGTGTGTGTCTGTCTGTCTCAGAGTCTTTGTTTCTCAGACGTCTCCCCTTGTTTCAGGTTGATGTTCAGGAGTCCGATGTGAGCAGCAACTTCAGGAGTATGTTTGAAAAACTCGCTGGAGAGGTCAGCTCCCTTGAAGCGTCAACCTCCCCCCATCACTCTCAGCCTCTTGCACTCAATCTTCCACTCACCCTCATCCCCTCACACTCAACCTACCCCATTCACTCTCCTCCCAATTCGCCCTCCGTTTCGCCCATTTACCCTCGTCCTTCCCTCCATTGCCCTCCCTCATTGCCCTCACCCCCCCTCGTCTTCACTCCTCTGTGTTCATGCCCTTTGACTGTAATGTGGGGGCGCAGGTTCAGAGGATGATGATAAGCCAATAGTGGTGGTTTTGGTTGTCAGAGCCGGAGACACTGATGGGGCCAAGAACTGCTTTCCATCTCGTCCATATTTAATTTTAAGAAATTTTGTCTCATCCAACTAATGTTTGCTTCTCATCTGCTTAGGACAAGGAAATCTCGGTATTCGAGCTCCAGAAAATACTGAACAAAATCATGTCCAAACGTGAGTATCCGTGGCAAAGGCCATCCCAGACATCAGTCCACCATTCACATTCATCTTTAATCATCAATAATCTCCCATTACCATTCTTTGTCAATGGGTCACAATCCTGAAACTCTATTTAACACATCATCAGTCTGGTTCGGTCAGAGGAACTCTTGCCTTTGAGTCAGAAGATTGTGGGTTGAAACTGCATCTCAGGGACTTTGAGATCAGTCCACACTGACAGTATTAGTGCAGTGCTAGGGATGTCCTGCATTATCAGAGGTGCCATCCTTTGGACAAGACGTTAAAATTGTGTGGCACTACTTGGAAAGAAAAAGGAGTTTCTCTCTGTGTCTGGCCAACAATCTCTCCCCCCACCCCAAAAAAAAAAATTGGTCATTGACTTCATGGCTGTTGGTGGGATACTGCTAACCCCTCCTCTCCACAGGCACTGACATCAAGACGGATGGATTCGGGCTGGAGTCGTGCCGCAACATGGTGCATCTGGTGGACGTATCTTTCTGTGTGCTGGGTGGGGGGGGGGGGTGGCCTAGGCGTGTGTGGGTACGCGCGTATATGCCCAGGGCATGGCTGGGGGAGCTGTTGGCACAGATTGATTTTCTTTAAGTACTTTGAAACAGAAAGACGGGAACGGAAAGATGGGATTGGTGGAATTCCAGAAACTGTGGAACAAGGTGCAGAAGTTCCTGGTGAGATCACGTCGCTCTGAGTTCATCTCATCGCCCTGGCTTCTCACCACCGCTTGGTGTGTCTGCATGCGTGGGGAGGGAGAGAAAAGAGAGTGGGCAGAGAGAAAGAGAAGTGGTGGGGGACGGAGGGGACAGAGAGACAGAGGGCGGATAGAGAGAAATGAGGGAGAGAAAGGGAGGGAGTGGGATATGGGTGAGAATGGGGAGATATGGAGGGGAGAGAGTGCGGGAGGTTGGAGGTGGGATGCAGAGGGCAGAGAACTGATGCTGGTTTTTATATTACAGAAAATCTATAAAAATAATGACCTGGATCAGTCGGGAACAATGAACTCGAGTGAAATGAGAGTGGCTGTGGAGGAGGCTGGTGAGTCAGAGCCCAGTGATTCTCATACAGAAACACCAACACATTCACACAAATGCTAATATAATAATAATCCTTGCATTTGATACAGCGCCTTACCAGGTCTCCGAGACGTCTCAAAGCGCTTCACAGAATATACTGTAAAATTAATTGACTATATTTTGTGGGCAAAATATGCTCACGCAGCCCAAAGTGTCATCCTCACGCTCCTCTGTCATCCTCACATTCATCCCACAGATTCACACACACCCTCACTCTTTTCTCTCCAGGTTTTCACCTGAATAATAAACTCTGTCAGATCATCGTTTCTCGTTACTATGACAGTGACGACCTCACCCTGGACTTTGATAACTTTGTTTCCTGTCTTGTCCGCCTGGAGCTGGTGTTCAGTAAGTGACCCATTTCCACCTGTTGTAGACTCAGGACTCCCAATTCCACTCAGCACAGAGTGGAGATTCCAAATCCCACTCGCCATAGGATGGGGATTCTGTGGGATGGGGATTCCCAATCAGATTTGGCACAGATTTGGCATTCTCAATCCCATCCAATGCAGTGAGCAGAATTCTGTGGGGGTGGGGAAGGGAGGGGGTTGGGGCTACTTATCAAAGACGCAGTCGGTCGAAGGACTCAGCTGGTTGGTAGGGGGGGTGCCTACATAGTCAGTTGGAGGGCAGAGAGCAGCGTCAGGCTCTGACTGCTTTAACTTTTTTTTTTGTAGAGTTGTTCAATTCTCTCCCCAAGGATGAGGAAGGATTCGCTCAACTCAGCATCCTGCAGGTGAGACATCAAGCTGCCTGCACCCCAGTCTCTCTCTGTCCCTATCTCCACACGTGTTTCGCTCCCCATTCCCACGTCTACCTCGCTGTTTGTCTATCCTTTTGCCCATGTTTGTCACTAAACCTAGGCATCTCTCCACAGTGGCTCACAATGGTATTGTGCTGAATTGTCTCATGGACCAGGTCTCTTCAGTAAGATACTGGAGATAGGAACACAGCTGAGTACTGGAGCCTCTGCTTATTGCTGTCTTGTTCCCATCTCTGACCCCAATCAAGTACTGCTGGGGCTCTTTTGGTGGGGGCGATGCTCTGTGCCTTACTGATCATTGGGGTTGATCTCAGCGGGGGGTGGTGGTGGTGGTTCCTTTCATTACTGATTGATTACTGGCTCAATCTTTGTGTGTGTGGGGCGGGGGTGGCAGGGCTCCATGTCTTATTCCTCTCTTAGTTCTGTAATGTGGATTCCGTGCTGCCATTGGTGGTATTTTTACATGATGCAAATTAAACCATTTTGGTGATGAAGCTTTTCCCATTGTGTGTGTGTAACATGATTAAGGATTACTTACCGGAGAGTGCATCTAAACTGTGCTGGATTGACAATGTATGTCCTTTACTCTGTATGTAAACCAACTGCTGCTTTGACCAGAAGCTTGGAGAGGAAGTGAAGCTGCACATATTTTATATATTACACTCATTTAATATTTTACACACATTTCCCATCCAAGTTGGAACTGACCCCAAATATAATGGGAACATCCCATGGTGGTACTGCAGCCAGATAGAATAGGCACAACAAACAGAAGGATAAACTCACGTAGAAAAATCCTGCAACAAAATGATGAACATCAAGGGGGAGGATGGCCCCTGGAATGTTAGAGAGGATTTATCTCCTCTCTGGGGAGAGGGAACTGGAGGCTCCCGGGATCAAGCTCCATGTAACCTGAGCCTCTGTTACCACCATGACACTTGCTGTCTGGCGTGGGTACAGCTGGTACCCTGATGTGGGATTCAGGCATTCTGCTATTTACACATTACCTGCTCTCCTGCAGAGGGTGAGAGAGAAGGTAGGGAGAAATAGAGAGGAAAGTAAAGGGGGGTGGGAGAGAGAACAGGGGAAGTTTTGTTAGTAGACTGCAGGAGTCAGAGCGCACACGCTGGGCAGTCAGAGATGATGGGATCGTCCTCAGTGTCTCCAGTCACTGGGCTTGGAGACCTCGTGGTCAGCTGCTGATGGAATGAATGGATGGAGGCCAAGTTGTCAAAGCTGCTGCTGTTGCTGTCACTCCACGTCCAGGACCTGCAGAGCTGAGCAAGGAGGAAAGTCAGACAGGGGACTCTGGCCAGGCCATGCAGTGATAGATATTGCTGCGTGGTATGGGCTAGTTTTGTGGCCCCGCGCTGTTGTGTCACTCACCTCTGCGTTGTTTTATGAGTGCTGCCCGGCGAGCTCTGACTTCCTCACTCAGCGTCTCCACCATTCGGTCGATGCAGCTGTCCAGCACCACGGAGCGTGTCTGCGAACAGATTGGCTGCCGGCACATCGGACATTCCTGCTTCCGTTTCCGCCACTCCTCGATACAGTGGCTACAGAAGCTGTGTGAGCAGTTGAGTGTCACCGCCTGTGCGAAGACACTCCTGTGAGAACGGAAGACGCGCACACAGAAGAAGAGACACACACAGCACGAGAGAGAGAGAGACAGGCACCCACAAATAGTGCAGGAGAGACACACAGACAGAGAGCCGCACACAGACAAAGAGACACATGAGAGCCATGCGCACACACACACACAAGAAAGATTTGAACCACAAAGTGAGTGAGAGGATCACTCGTAAACACAAAGCAAGAGAGATATATACACACACACACAGCTGGAGAAATGCACACACAGCCTTTACCTGGATGAAGTGCTCGGAGCAGATGATACACTGCAGTTCATTTTCCAGCACGTCTGTGATCTCAGCGATGGCTTCCCGTCTCTGTGCTTGCTCCTTCTCACTCTGGAACACCAGAATCCAATGTCAGCCTTGTGCCCCCTACACACACACTGGCCAGCTTCCCCCCCATTGCCAGCAGCCTCCTCATACCCCCCACTGCCAGCCCCCTCCACATATCCCCACAATGCCAGCCCACTCCACATACCCCTCCCACTGCCAGCCCCCTACACATACCCCCACCACCCATACGCCCCCCACCACCCATACACCCCCCACCACATTGCCTCTCCCCCACATTGTCTCTCCACACCCAAACCCTGTTCCACCTATAGCGACACCCAGTAACCCCCACACCCACCCTGCCACATCCACACTGCCTCCCCCCACACCTGCACCGCCCACCCCCACAACAGCATTGCCCGACCACACCTGCACTACTCCCCTACCCAGACCGGAATCACCTTCCCCCGCTCCCTGTGCTGGATACTGATCATCTGATGATGTTACCTTGCTCTCCTCCAGCTCCCGGTCCTTTGATTTAATGATCTCCTCCAGCTCCCTGCGCTGTTGCTGTAGAGCTGCTTCCAGTTCCTGATGTTGTCCCAACAAAAATAGTATCAATACCCCTTCACACAGCATGTGCCAGCCTCCCCACCCCATGGAGTGTGCCAGCCTCCCCACCGCACGGTGTGCCAGGCTCCTCACCACACACTGTGCCCATCTCCTCACCACACAGAGTGCCTATCTCCTCACTACACAGTGTGCCCATCTCCTCACCACACAGAGTGTGCCAGAACCCGCCCTTACACCCGTGAGGGAAAAAGGAAGAGTCAAATATATTTCAGGAGGGGAGGAAAAACTCAGAACTGTGGAGAGGAAGTAGCACAGATTCATTGGTTGTGAGCAGCTGTGAGGTTGGGGATTGGAAAGAACTGGAACAGGCTATGTTCATTGGAGTAGAAGTGAAGAGTGGACATCCAGTTAATAGCAATAATGAGACTATACACACACACGCGCCACACAACCTCACCTCCAGCTCTCGCTTCTCTGAGCCGGACCTCTCTCGCTGCTCCAATCTGTGCCTCCTTCTCTGTCTCTGCTCCAAGTTTGGCTTCTCTCTCTCTCGCTGCTCCATGCTGGGCCTCTCTCCCTCTTGCTGCTCAGCACTGGGCCTCTCTCTCTCTCGCTGCTCCGCACTGGGCCTACCCCTCTCTCGCTGCTCCAGGCAGGGCCTCTCTCTCTTGTGCTGCTCCAGGCAGGTCCTCTCTCTCTTGTGCTGCTCCAGGCAGGGCCTCTCTCTCTCTCGCTGCTCAGCACTGGGCCTACCACTCTCTCGCTGCTCCGGGCAGGGTCTCTCTCTCTCTCGTTGCTCCGTGCTGGGCCCCTCTCCCTCTTGCTGCTCATTACTGGGCCTCTCTCTATCTTGTTGCCCCGTGCTGGGCCTACTCCTCTCTCGTTGCTCCGGGCAGGGCCTCCCTCTTGCTCGCTGCTCCGCAATGAGACTCTCTCTCTCTCGCTGCTCCGCAATAGGCCTACCCCTCTCTTGCTGCTCCGTACTGGATCTCCCCCTCTCTTGCTGCTCCGCAATGGGCATTCCTCCCACTCGCTGCCTGTGTTCCATCTTGCGCTCTCTATAGCATTGTCCCCATGGCTCTGTTGCCATGCTGTCCTGGCTTGAAACTCTCTGGTGAGTTGGTGGCAGTGCAGCCTCTACACTGGTCCCTGGCATCTCGCCAGCTGCCATTGGTTGGGTCAGTTCACATCTGGACTCTGAGCTCTGGTCCCATTTTTCACACCTGGAGTCTGTGCTGCAGGACGATTTTTCCTTACATCTGGAGTTCGAGCATCCGCTCTGCTCCTCGTTCCTGGAATCTGAGCTCCAGTCTTCCTCACAGGACACTCGTGGCACTTTCCATTTTGGATGGGGTACCTCCTCCCGACTGTGCTTGCGTTTGGTCCGGCTGCAGTGGCTGCTGCGGTTGGAGTCCTCGCTCTCCACTGGCGCCTGCCTGTCTTGTATTAACTGGTACTCATACTCAGCTCGCTCCCTGCCTTCCAGAGGAACACCCAACTGCAACCGGTCCCCCTCCTGCACCACGTGCGGCACCAGAGGCTCAATCAGCACACCATTGATCCGCACTCCGTTCACGCTCTGCAAGATAATAATAATCTGGCATTTGATACAGCCCCTGCAATATCCAAAGGTCTCAAAGGGCTTTGCATGGAATTGCTGTCAAGTTTAGTGATAGTGTAGTCACAAACAAATATAACAACCATTAAATTAATGACCTATTTATCGGGGGGGGGGGGGATTGTTAGCCAGGACATCAAGAGAAACTCCCTTCTCGAATAGCGCTATAGATCTTTAACATCCACCTGAACAGGTAGATGGGGCCTCGGATTAACGTCTCATCTGAACGACAGCGCCTCCCCACCAATGCAGCACAACGTCAGCACTGGAGGGTCAGTCTGGACTTTGATCTTAAAAGTCATGATGTCGCGTGGAGAGAGCTGAACCCGGTATCCAGCCCAATGCTACAGATGTCCTGGGCGTACAGAATAGAAACCCGAGGAAGGTAGACACAGAGTGGGAGTAACTTATACTCACTGTTTGGCAAAGGCCAAGACAAGTTCTGAGGACGGGGCTGAGGTCCTTACCCCCCCCCCCCCCCTCCCTTACCTTGTTATCGGTCACTGTCCACTGCCCATTTGACGCCAGGCGGAGTGTGCAGTGGTTCCTGGAAATCATCAACGGACAGGTCTTCGCAAACAAACGGTAGGTGACATTCAGCCCTCTGCCAAGTGTTACCTGAACACAAAACGTTAAGTCGCAGTAACAATAATAATAAAGCTTTGCATCTGACACACACCCTTATCGAGTCGTTGAGACGTCACAGAGCGCCGCGTTGGGGTTTCAGTTTAGACGACGGTGCAGTTTCGAGTCTGACGTCTGGGGCTCAGACCCACAATCTTCTGCACTCGGGGGGTGGGGGGAGGGAGGGGGGGAAGGGGAGGGGGGGGGAGGGGGGGGGAGAAGGCCGCTCCCACTGCGCCAACTTCACCTCCAGTGTGTGGGCTTCACTTCCCACAGCGGGAGAGAGAGAGACCTGGAAAGGCAAGTGCCCGGACAGACAGACAGACAGACTGACTCAGGCTCCCTCACTGTGTCCATGTCCCCCCCCTATGTGTGTACCTCTTCCCTCGGGCTCAGTAAGAGTCGCTCCGTGTTTCCCGGTTCCACTCGCTGTAAAAACCAAACGCTCTCCGGCCCCCCGTCACCTCCCGGGCGCCTCTCCGCCGCCATCCCCGAGCCCTCCAGCCTGACCACCGAGCCCCGAATCACCATCCACCCCAGTCCTCCAGGCTAAGCGTCGAGCCCCGAATCATCCACCCCAGACCTCCAGTCTTAGCGTCGAGCCCCGAATCACCATCCACCCCAGTCCTCCAGGCTAAGCGTCGAGCCCCGAAACATCCACCCCAGACTTCCAGTCTTAGCGTCGAGCTCCGAAACATCCACCCGAGCCTGAGCACCAGCCCGAAATCAACAAGTCCAGCCCTGTGTCACACACCGAATCATCCACCCCAGCCTGAGGGTATCAAACAACAACAATCCTTGCAGTTGCGTTGTGAGGCGTCTCAAAGCGCTTCGCAGGATTGACTGTATTTTGCGGGTGAAACACGGCGCACTATAGTGTCCCACAAGCAGTCGTGGTTTTGAGTAGCCAAAATATTTTTTGAAGGGATCATTACCCCAGAAAGCAATCTGCCAAACGACTAGCAACCGGGTTCCTATTTAAGCCTGGCAAACAGGTGTGAAGGGTAAGGAGACTTGCGTAAGGTTTCGTCCTTGCCAGGGAATTGAATGACCAAATAATGGCTGTGGGTGGGTAAGTGTGGTCTACTCGGCTGAAATGGCCCCAAGGTGATAGGCTTGACAACAGGATGCCAAATCAAAATCAAGTCCGGCACCCACTGTGACAGTCTTTACTCCAGTTCCTCATTTAGGCGGATCTGCAGCATTCTGGGGCACAGACCAGCCAAACTGGTTCATCACCAGGACTTAGTTTTAGTTTGCTTTTCACCCACAGGTGTATCACAGCTTCAGTCTTCTCATTTGACCTCCACATACACACACCAAACACCGGCAGACTTTGGAAAGCAATCATAAGCTGTACTCTGGTTGATATCTCTCCCTAATTCGAGGATACTGAGGCCATTTGTAGCCCAAGATGGGATCAGTAACTCGAGGGTGGAGTCTGGGACCAATCGCAGGACTAGGGAGCGCCACTCACTGAACAATTGGAGCTGTAACCAATTGTAAAGTCGCCTGAAGAATGGCCCATTGGGACAGAACAATGACATTGACAGTACTGAAAACCATTTGTACACATTATATCTGTGCTGCTCTGTCCCGTTTACCTGTCTTTTCCCTTACACCCCTGCAAAATGATCTTTTAGATACCTTGATGTCAGCCTGGCTCAGTCAGCAGCACTCTCAACAGAACCAGAAGATTATGGCTCAAGCCTCACGTTGGGACTTTGAACTCACATAGTAAAGGCTGACACCCCAGTGCAGTGCTGGGGCTGTGTTGCATTGCCGGAGGTGGTGTTCTTCAGATGAGACATTAAGACAGAGGTTCTATCTACCTGTTCAGGTGGATTTAAAAGATCCCATTGTACTATTAGAAAAGAGAATGATTTCCCATCATCCTGGCCAATAATCCCCCAAATAAAATTGGTCATTCACTTTATAGCTGTTTGTGGGCATTGCCTTTTGTGGGTTTGTCAATCTGCTTAAACCCCACTCCTTTACCTGCCCTTTGCTCAGCTGACTCCAGCTCCCCATGTCCTTTATCCCTTTCACTACATCATCAGCGGCTGTGCTTTCCGCCTCTAAGCCCCCAAAACTCTGAAACTCTCTGGATCAAATCCTCTGCCTCGCCCTCACGCCTGAAGACCTTCCTCTTCATCCACGCTTATGGTCACCTCCCTCTTGTCCTTGGCTCGGTGTCAAGCTCTACCACTGTCAAGCACTCCCGAGATAATAATCCTTGCATTTGACAAGCGTTGCATTTGATATCATCGCTGAGCCGGAACTAAGAGTTCCACATACGTGCGTCACATACATGCGAAAACTTCCCATGTGTCTGGAAGGAAACGTACTGCTTGTCCGGCTCGGACCGCCTTACCCATTAGGGCTTTATGGTGCAAGGCTATCAGAAGCTGAGTGGGAAAATACCCAGTGACTGGACATTAACACGAGGCTGACGCTTGACACAGTAACAGTTTGGGCAACGTCAGGTGAAGCCTGACTGAGCCCACAGGGCAACAGCCACACACCATCCTCCCTGCCCTGAGCCCGGCTCTGGGGCGAGCGATCAGCCACTCGCGCTCTCGGGATGGACTGGTTGGGTCTGCGGCTGGAGCTGAACCCTATTGGCGGGCGGTGGTCCCCACGTGATTCAGGCCCCGCAGCCAATCGGCTGAGAGCAGGAAAGTTTCGGAGGGTTTTTTTTTCTCCCCTGAAGTTTGTCGGGGGATCCGATCTCGAGTGCCGGGAACCTGCCGTTCCCCCCCCCCCGGAGCTCGCGGGAGCTCACCGCGACTCACCGGCTCGCGGTTCCCCGCTTCATTTTTACCGTTGGTTTCGGGCGACAAATTTTGGAGAAAAAAAAGTGCAACTTCCTGGTCCGGGTTTAGGGCACTGACAGCTGTCAATTCCGGGAGAAACCAGACCCAAGATTCCGGGACCCTACCCCTGGACAAACAAACCCACCTCCCGGGTGCTCCAGGGTGGGATGCGGATGGTGGGCTTGGGCAGGACTTTGAATCAGTTGAGTTGGGATTAAAACGGTATTTGCACAGGAGAATTTCCAGCAGAATTTTTTAATAATAATAATAATAATAATAATAATAATCCTTGCATTTGATGTAACGTCTTATCACCTCGTCGCGACGTCTCAAAGTGCTTCACAGGATTATACTGTAAATTGTTTTTGACTGTGCATTTACAACGGAGTTTGTTTGTTTATGCTATATATTTACACAGAATTGTAGCAGATTTACACCGAGATTGTGATAGATTGACACCGTGATTGCGGAAAGAATTACACGCAGGGATTTTAGCAGATTTCCACAAAGATTACGTCCAGAGTCGAGGTGTGATCTGAAAATGAAGTTCCGGGTTTATAAACGGAAGATCCTAATCTTGGCATTGGTTGTTTGTCTGCTTTTGTTGCTGATTTGGAATCGGTTGCATTGGGATACGAGGGAAGTTAACACTCGTTTCGATGCAGCTTTGATGGTAGAAGAGAAAGAAAGTGGGACTCCCAAATCCTCTCAGGAGCTCGAGTCTTTACCCTACAACAACCCCTTGGAGCTGAGAAATGCCGTCTATCAAAATAACTTGCAATTAACAGTGCTAAACAGGGAGAAGTTCCACCAGCAGCCAGAGTTGGTGCTGGTGGTGCAAGTCCAAGGTGGGACGTCTAACCTCCGGATTCTGATCGAGTCGCTGCAGCAGAGCCCGGACATAGACCGAGTGCTGCTCATCTTCAGCCTGGAGCAGCTATCCCACGATATTACTCACCTCATCCAGAGGGTCGACTTCTGCCAGGTGCTCCAGATCTTCTTCCCCTACAGCCTGCAGCTATATCCTTTGGAATTCCCTGGTCAGGACCCACAGGACTGCCCCAGAGATATTTCCAAAGAGGAGGCGCTCAAGAGAAGGTGCAAAAATGCAGATTATCCTGACTCTTTTGGACACTACCGGGAAGCGCAGTTTACCCAGTCCAAGCACCACTGGGCGTGGAAGCTGCACTTCGTATGGGACCATGTCCTGGTCAACACCAACTATACTGGACCAGTCTTCTTCATAGAGGAAAACAACTTCCTGCTCCCAGACTTCTACCATCTTTCCAAGTTAATGACTGACCTACAGAAACAGAAATATCCCGATTGTCACATACTGAGCCTGGGCAGCCATGAGCCAGCTGAGCTGGACTCAGATGTAGCCAGGAAAGTGGACATCATGGGCTGGACAGCCACCAAACATAAAATGGGTATTGGCCTAAGCAGAGAGGTGTACAACAGTATCATGCAGTGCCTGAGTGCATTCTGCACCTATGATGACTACAACTGGGACTGGACAGTGCAGCACATCTCTGCCCAGTGTCTGTCTCGGCCGCTCAAGGTAATGGTGCCCAGGTTAGCTCGCATCTACAATATTATGGACTGTGGTGCCAAAGAGTGTGACCTGGGTACCAAGGAAAAGAACATGCGGAGAGTACTGGAGTCTGCCCGCAGGAGCTTGTTCCCCACTTCTCTAAGCATTGGGCTCAGCCAAATCGCTGTCCCTCAGAGGCCTCACACTAAAAACGGGGGCTGGGGTGATGTGCGGGACCACAGCCTGTGTCAGAGCTATTCCAAGCTGTAGACAGCGCAGGAGAAAACAATTCGAGGAAAGAGCCTGAGCAATAGCCATGGCTTTCCCTCTTCTAATGTGTTAAAGTTGTTTGAGGGGTGGTGTTTTAATGTGGTGCCAAAGAATGGGGTTTAAGGGGAGTACTACAATATTTGCTATGATGCCATGTGGTAGTGTTTACTTTCCATATTCAGTGAGTGGAAGCAGTAGTCAATGATCAGGTTGGGTGAGTTGGTGGCGGGGTTGAGGGTCACTGCCTAGGTTGGGTGGGTCCGTACCTGGGTTGGGGTCTGAGCCTGGGTTGGGTGGGTCAATGGCGGGTTTGCGTGGGTTGGCGGCTGAGTTGAGGGTTGGTAGCCAGGTTGGGGTCGGTGCCCAGGTTGGGTGGGTTGGTGGTGGGCTTGATGGGCGGGGCGGGATTGGGTGGGTCGGTGGTGGGGTTGGGGTCCGTGTCCGGGTTGGGTGAGTCGGTGGTGTGGTTGAAGATCGGTGCCTGGTTTGGGTGGGTCAGTGCCCGGGTTTTAATAACAACATAAGAACATAAGAAATGCTAGACAAAAAAAGACCCAAGGTCCATCTAGTTTGCCTTCCACCTTCCATATATGCACATATGTCCCAAACTACCTATGTACTATATCCCATAATGTTATTTCTTAAAAGAAAACTGTGTTTGAAAGATTGAGTTGGGTGGGTCGGTGCCCGGGTTGGGTGGGTCGGTGCCCGAGTTAGGTGAGTCAGTGTCCAGGTTGGATGGGTTGGTGGCTGGGTTGGGTGGTTCGCTGGTGGGGTTGGGTGGGTCAATGCCCGGGTTTGGTGGGTCAGTGGCGGGTTTCAGTGGATAGGTAACCGGGTTGGGTTGGTCAATGGCGGGGTTGGGTGGATTAGTGGGAGGGTTGGGTGGGTCAGGGGATGACAGGCAAGGCCATTACACTTGTGGGGTAGACAATTATTTACTGGTGTGCTCAGATGAGGGGAGACGATAATTTAACATAATGTATTGAGGAAATAAAGCCGAAATATCTGACGGTATCTTGCCAAATTTGTACTCAGAGAATTTAAATCAGATGTAATCTCTTTCATTGATAATAAAGCAAACGTTTATATGTTTTCCAAATATCTTTGTGATGTGCAGGGGTGATTATTGAGGTGGAAGCGATGTAACTGCACCAGTGGTTATAACACTCTCAATTACTTACCATCAGTGACATTTGGTGCTGTTAGCAAAAAGCCAATGGTGGGTTAATGATAACTCGAGCGCTGTCAGCAGAACTTGGGTTCTTCACTTATCCTGTGACTGAGGAAGATGGAGATGATTCCTAGTTCCCACCGGTCAATATCTGGATACTGGCACCTCAGATCATTGTCCACTCGCCTACAGAATACGGTCACTGCTCTTTACAGTAAATCCTGTGAAGCACTTTGAGACATTGTTCCAACATAAAAGGTACTGTATCAAATGCAAAGATTATTATTATTATTTGATGTTGCGTGACTATTATGGTGGTTGTCATTAGGAAGTGACAGCTAGTGACAGTTGGTGCTGGTTAGTGACAGTCAGCAGTGATGGGTTCTAGTTAGTGACAGTTGGTAGTGGTTAGTAATAGTGATCAGTGATAGTCAGCAGTGGTGTATGATGGTTAGTGACAGTCAGCAGTGATGGGTTCTAGTTAGTGACAGTTGGTAGTGGTTAGTGATAGTGATTAGTGACAGTCAGCAGTGGTGTATGATGGTGAGTGACAGGCAGAAGTGGTGTATGATGATTAGTGACAGTCGGCAGTGGTGTATGATTAGTGACAGTCGGCAGTGGTGGGTGATGGTTAGTGACAGTCGGCAGTGGTGGGTGATGGTTAGTGACAGTCGGCAGTGGTGGGTGATGGTTAGTGACAGTCGGCAGTGGTGGGTGATGGTTAGTGACAGTCGGCAGTGGTGGGTGATGGTTAGTGACAGTCGGCAGTGGTGGGTGATGGTTAGTGACAGTCGGCAGTGGTGGGTGATGGTTAGTGACAGTCGGCAGTGGTGGGTGATGGTTAGTGACAGTCGGCAGTGGTGGGTGATGGTTAGTGACAGTCGGCAGTGGTGGGTGATGGTTAGTGACAGTCGGCAGTGGTGGGTGATGGTTAGTGACAGTCGGCAGTGGTGGGTGATGGTTAGTGACAGTCGGCAGTGGTGGGTGATGGTTAGTGACAGTCGGCAGTGGTGGGTGATGGTTAGTGACAGTCGGCAGTGGTGGGTGATGGTTAGTGACAGTCGGCAGTGGTGGGTGATGGTTAGTGACAGTCGGCAGTGGTGGGTGATGGTTAGTGACAGTCGGCAGTGGTGGATGAGTTAGTGACAGTCGGCAGTGGTGGGTGATGGTTAATAACAGTTTGGGTGATGGTTAATGCCAGTTAATGATGGTGATTAGGGACCATTGGCGGTGTAGGTGAGCGACAGTTGCAGTGGAGGTGAGTGAGTTGGAGGAGGTTAGTTACTGCTGTACAAATGCAAATTGTTGTGGTTGTAACTGACGGTTGTGGACGGTTAGTGACGGTTGTTGACGGTGCTCGTTGTTGGTGACAGTCAGTCACTGGTGACTGACGGTTGTGGACGGTGCTCGGTGACAGTCACTGATGGTGACTGACGGTTGTTGACGGTTGGTGACGGTTGGTGACGGTTAGTGACGGTTGGTGACGGTTGTTGACGGCTGTTGACGGTTGGTGACGGTTGGTGACGGTTAGTGACGGTTGGGTTGACGGTTGTTGACGGTTAGTGACGGTTGTTGACGGTTAGTGACGGTTGTTGACGGTTAGTGACGGTTGTTGACGGTTAGTGACGGTTGTTGACGGTTAGTGACGGTTGGTGACGGTTGTTGACGGTTAGTGACGGTTGGTGACGGTTGGTGACGGTTAGTGACGGTTGTTGACGGTGTGACGGTTAGTGACGGTTGTTGACGGTTAGTGACGGTTGTTGACGGTTAGTGACGGTTAGTGACGGTTGGTGACGGTTGTTGACGGCTGTTGACGGTTGGTGACGGTTGTTGACGGTTAGTGACGGTTGTTGACGGTTAGTGACGGTTGTTGACGGTTAGTGACGGTTGTTGACGGTTAGTGACGGTTAGTGACGGTTGGTGACGGTTGTTGACGGCTGTTGACGGTTAGTGACGGTTGTTGACGGTTGGTGACGGTTGTTGACGGTTGGTGACGGTTGTTGACGGCGACTGACGGTTGATGACGCATGCGCACTGGCAGCGGGGCCTGGGCCTGGGCTGGTTTGCGGCCTCGCTCCCTCACGAGCCCCTGTGAGCCCGGCACCAGCCACAAAGATGAAGCGCAGGGCCCCGGAGGCGAAGTTGGAGCGGCCGGAAAGCAAACTGCAGCGCATAGAGGAACTGGGCCTCAACCTGAGCTCAACATCGGACGAGGAGGCGCTGAGCGGCGGCGGAGGAGAGAGGAGCCGAGGTCGGGCAGGTGAGAGAGGCCGAGGGTGGGGCGGCTGAGGGCAGCGAGAGAGCGGGAGGCCCGGTAACAGCCCAGAGCCTGTAATACACTGTGCTCGGTAACAGCCTGTAATACACTGTACCCAGTAACAGCCTGTAATACACTGTGCTCGGTAACAGCCTGTAATACACTGTGCTCGGTAACAGCCTGTAATACACTGTGCTCGGTAACAGCCTGTAATACACTGTGCTCGGTAACAGCCTGTAATACACTGTACCCGGTAACAGCCTGTAATACAGTGTACCAGGTAACAGCCTGTAATACACTGTGCTCGGTAACAGCCTGTAATACACTGTGCTCGGTAACAGCCTGTAATACACTGTACCCAGTAACAGCCTGTAATACACTGTGCTCGGTAACAGCCTGTAATACACTGTACCAGGTAACAGCCTGTAATACACCGTACCCAGTAACAGCCTGTAATACACTGTACCAGGTAACAGCCTGTAATACACCGTACCCAGTAACAGCCTGTAATACAGTGTACCCGGTAACAGCCTGTAATACACCGTACCCAGTAACAGCCTGTAATACACCGTACCAGGTAACAGCCTGTAATACACTGTACCCAGTAACAGCCTGTAATACACCGTACCAGGTAACAGCCTGTAATACACCGTACCCAGTAACAGCCTGTAATACACTGTACCAGGTAACAGCCTGTAATACACCGTACCCAGTAACAGCCTGTAATACAGTGTACCCGGTAACAGCCTGTAATACACTGTACCCAGTAACAACTCAGAGTCTGTATTACAGTGTACCCAGTAACAGCCTGTAATACACTGTACGCAGTAACAGCCCATAGCTTGTAATACACTGTACCCAGTAACAACCCAGAGTATGTGATACGGTAATGTAGTGGTTAGCGCGTGAGCCTAACAAGCGAGAGAACCCGGATTTGATTCCCAGACAGGATGAAACCTTAGGCAAGTTTCTGTACTCCACCCACCTCTGTTTACCTCGCAGTAAGTTAGTCAATTGGCGGAATGCTTTTCCCAGGATTATAATCACTTCTAAAACTAGTACTAACAATTTTGATCACTTAATCCAGGACTGTGTGTGAGACACTGCTGTGCACAATTGGCTGCTGCATTTCACCAAAATGTACAATCAATTTACTTTACAGTATGTTCTATGAAGCACTTCAAGACCCTGTCACCCCCGCTATACACTGTACCCCCTTATAACCCGGAGTCTGTAGTACACTGCTTGTCCCTTGTGCCCTCCGTTCCATCATCAGCGGTCACGTTTTTTACCAATACGTCCTGAAACTGTGGAACACTCTCCCTCAATCCCCCATCTTGCCCATTCCTTCCCCCATATTCCAGTCACACCTGAAGACTTTGCTTCAACTGGTATCCAGTAACAGTCCAAAGCCTATAATACACCGTACACAGTAACAGCCTGTAATACACTGTAACCGGCAACAGTCTGTAATATCCTGTGACCAGTAAGTATACACCTAGAGCCTGTAATATCCTGTGATCGTAAGAACAGAGACCTTGTCATATCTCTGGTTGAATTGCAGGGCCTGCGATATTCCGGGTAAGAATCTGAAGTCTATTATCCACGATGACAGCCTGAGAGATACATGTTAAACTGGACCAGTGGTTTCAATGTGGGGCGGGCAGTGAGAATTCAAGAACTGCAGGTGGCTTGCCCCTGTGGAGGGGGTGACTGCAGACAGCTTTTCCTGGGTGGGGGTGAGGATCAGAGGATGAGGTTAGGGGTAATGTAATGTTTCAGCGCCTTGGGACGTCCTCCCAACGTGACAGGCACTATACAAGTGTAATTTTTGTTGTTTGTTGTTGTTAATATGTGTTCCCTCTCTATGTTTAGCAGAATTCACCAGCAGTGATGATGAGGATAGTGACAGTGAGGGGGGCAGACCCTCATTTGGTGGCCCCACTGGTTTTTCGGACTTTGGTCTTCGTTCGCTACATGATGGTTCTGCAGAAGACCTGCAGGAAGAAGGGCTGTCCAGCAAGTTCTCCATGTACAACAGCTTCTCCCAAAAATTGATGGTATTATGAGCCAATCAATGTTCAAGATTCTGCTGCGGAGCTTATCTTATTTTACCTTGCACCTCGGAAGGGGAAAGGGGGTGGAGAGTAGGAAGGGGTTCACCCAGCACGGTTGTTAGGCAATATTGGTGGATCTCTTTCCAGAGGTAATAATCCCTCCAAAAAATCCACGACTGTTTGTGAGACACTGCTGTTTGCATTTGGCTGCTGTGATTCACTCACAGTGTATACAGTCAATCCATTTTACTCTGTGTATTCTGTGAAGAGTTTGAGAAGTCTCAATGATGTGATAAGGTGTGATATCAAATGTATGGATTATTATTAATATTAAAAATAGTCAGACTTTTAATTAAAATTCCTGGACAATTTATTTACATGTATTTCCATTACATTATTTACCAAAAAGGTTAACTTATTTAACAAAAATAGTCACGTAGGTAAAAAAAAAATCAATAAAATTGCCTTTCATGTCGGGATGATGTCCCAAGGGGCTGGACAGTCAGGGATTTGGGCCTGAGCAGGGGAGGGTTGGGATCAGGGTGGGTGGAGGGTAGGAGGGTGGCTGAAAGCACAGTTGAAGAAAACAATGCCTTTAATACTGTTAGGGATTTAAACAATGTGTCAACATAAGTGTGTGTGCTGGAGTTTGTCAACATCAATATAGACGATAAGTTTTTTTTAGCATTAATGTGTAAAGAAAGGATCGGGACTTCACCTTTTTATTGATATAAGCAGGATGTCAGCATAAACGGGTTCGAGATAAGTGGGTAGTACTCTATAATAATACTCACATTTGATAGAGTGCTTTATCGTGTCGTTGATATGTCTAAGTAAGTTTTACTATTACTGCTGTTTTCCCAGAATTGTTCCACAAACAGCTATGAAGTGATTGATTATATTTTCATCTAGGGAATTGTTGACTAAGACACTGTGAGAAACTCCCTTCTCTTTTCGAATAATGTCGTGGTATCTTTTACATTCATCTGAACAGATAGATAGGACGTATTTTAATGTCTCATTAGAATGTCTCCTTCTAATGAGACATTAAAATACGTCCTATCTATCATCAATGCAAGTCCCCCCCCCCCATCCCCAGCACTGCATCGGAGGGTGGGCTTAGACTATAAATTCAATAGTTGAGTCACTAGGCTTGTCATGTTTCTGTTTTTAGATGAAGATGGGTTACCGTGAAGGTGCAGGTCTGGGTAAGTTTGAACAGGGCCGGAAGGACATTGTAGAAGCCTCAACACAGCGAGGCCGTCGAGGCTTGGGGCTGAAGCTGAAGGTGTTTGACCGAGAGCTGAATGTGCAGTGGCAGGATGATGGGCAGAAGTCTGACAATCTCAGTGTGGCTTCCTCCAGTTTTCTGGTGAGTCCTTGTGCACATGAAGGGGAGGAGTGTGTTTATACGTGGGTTTGGTATGCCCCTTCACATGTGAATAGGTGACGGCTGACTCCATGCAATGTGGTTTTGTTTATTGACTGACTGGTTGATGGGACAAATGGTTTACTGGTTAGTTGGTTGGTCTGATGGTCGATTTTTCCACTTTCTGATTGGTCAGGCTGGCTGTTCGTTTGGTCTACTGGTTAGTTGGCTGGCTACTTGGTTGGTTGGCTGGCTACTTGGTTGGATGGCTGGCTGACTGACTGGCTGGTTTGAGTATTTTTCAGACACTTGCGGCCCTTGTGTGACATGTTCTGCCTTGGTTTGCAGCCCAGTGTATACGAGCAAGTGGATTGGTTTCCTGAGTGCTCTGTGCCAGTGCCGGATCTAGTGGAGCTGCGGGATTGGATGGTGATCGGAAAGGTACAATGACTGGGAAAGTAGGGGGCTAGGAGAAGTTAGGCTTTGCTCTTGTATTATGTTGAGAAAAGCCTAGCAAAATATCTAACTCTGGTTATGTCACTCAATAGCGCAAAGAGGAGATCGAGGATGAGACAGAGTTCTGTGCTGGAGAGTTGCTGAAGAATATGCTACGGTGTAAGGTTGGTATGTGACTGGAGATTTCTTCAGACAGGGAGAGGTGGGTGGAAAGGGCTTACAGAACATTCTCAGCCCCTCTCCATTCCAGAATCATCTGCCTGATACGTGTAGTGTTGGGTGTGTCAGAGGACTGTAGAGCTGAGATTTGGTAGTTTGGGCTCATCACATTAGCGAGTGAGATAATTACCAATGGGAGAGGAACATGGATATGCCACTGCCTGAATTTTGGATACTCTTTCAATGTTCTGATTTTAACTACCGTGGAGTCATAGGGGGCAGAGTTCTAATTATCCGGAAGTAAATTCATTTATCTATTATGCATGTTTTACTTAGTATGAAGTTATTTGAAGTTGAGGTACAGATCAGCCATAATTTTATAGAATGCTGGAACAGGCTCGAGGGGCTGAATGGCATACTCCTGTTCCTATGTTGGTTTATTTGTATTATATTTAGTGTGTGTGTATATATATTACATATCTATGGATAAAAGTATGTGGGGGAAAGAGCTATAACTACCTTGAAGGGGGAGAGGTGGGGGAGATGTAACTATACTAGATTGGCTGAGCAGTGGAGATATGTTATGACAGGAGCTGTGTCTGGGGTTGTTGTACTGTGTTGTGGGTGCAGTAAAACCCCCGCATATTCTGCATCTTGTCTGTGATTTCAGACTGTGTTTGACGAGCTGGAAGGAGAGGAAATGCGTCGGGCCCGAACCAGGTCCAACCCCTATGAGACCATCCGTGGTGTGTTTTTCCTTAACAGGTATTAATGCTAGCTCAGAAATAATTTTGGCTGCCTACCTCCCTGCCTCCTTCCCTTCCTGGGTTTGGGACCATATGTGTGTCATTGAACCGTCTTAAAATTCTTCATATAGTTTACTATAGAGTGTACTGTACTTACTGACTGTAATTCGTAGGCAAACTAAATACTGTTTATATTCTGTGAGCGTGTGTGTCTGTGTGTCGTGGGTATGCGATTTTGGGTGTGGGGGTTGTCTTTATGAGTGTGCATTTGTATGAGGCTCAATCGCATGTGTGTGTGTGTGTGTGTGTGGAAAGCGTTAGTTCACCCAGCTCTGTAACTTACCTTTTCTTTCTCTCCAGAGCTGCCATGAAGATGGCAAACATTGACCATGTATTTGATTATATGTTCACAAATCCAAAAGACTCAAACGGGGTGAGTGTTTCTCCAGCAACCCTGCAATTGTGCTTGTATCAACCAGCCTTTACCAAGTCCCACAATTAAGGGGCTCCAGAGTCTTACTCGGATTATTGACCAGGATACTGGGAGAAACTGCCTTTTCTTTTCGAGTAGCAAGTCATCATCAATTTGAGATCCACTTAAGAATAAAAGTAAGAGGTTAGGAGAATCTTTTTGCACAGACGGTTGTTAGGACATGTGATCCCAAAGCAAATCTGCTGGTTGAAGCAAAATCTATAATAGCTTTTAAAAAGGAATTAAAGATTCGAAAAGGAAAAATCATAATAGGGTGTGAGGGAAAGGGCAGGGGAGAGGACTAAACAGATTAATCTTTCAAAGACACGACCTAGATGCGATGACCTCCTGTGTATAATATTATGATTCTGACTGTGTGTAATTCAGTTAACCTTGAACCTGCCTGTCTCACCATATCTGCACATGAACTGTGTGCCACAGTGTCGCTCGCTTATTCGCTCTCTTGGTACCCGAATGTTTTGTGATTGTCTGTTCCCTAGAAACCGCTTGTTCGGGATAAGGACGCAGAGTTGCTATATTTTGCTGATGTGTGCGCGGGTCCTGGAGGATTCTCTGAATATGTGCTGTGGCGGAGGAGGTGGAACGCCAAGGGCTTTGGCATGACACTGAAGGGACCCTGCGACTTTAAGCTGGAGGATTTCTTTGCCGCATCCAGTGAGATGTTTGAACCCTACTATGGTAAGTGGTGATGGCAGCAAGTCAAGGTTGGCCACAGAGCACACAACTGTGTGAGAAACAGCCCTGGTTCCAACCACCTGTCTCTGTTTTCATAGTTTTCAAACCCATCCTTCAATTATTTTCCCCAGCCCATTTCAATGGGCTTAGCTCCCCTGATATCTTTTACTTGATTCTATATGGTCTTATCCTTTGCCTAATGTACATCCTCTCTGTTTTCCCTGCAAGCTTTGTGAACCCTTTTCTAAATTTTACCTTTAAGTTACTGTTTTGGAGTATGTTTCTTTGATTTGCCCCTGCCGGACCTCCCTCCACAAGCTGCAGGTCATTCAGAACTCTGCAGCTCGTGTACTGTCCCGCACCAGGCTTTGCGACCACATCACTCCCACCCTCGCTCGCCTCCACTGGTTCCCCATCCCCCAGAGGATCAAATTCAAGATCCTCATCCTCATCTACAAGGCCATTCACAGCATTGCTCCCTCCTACCTCTCCGACCTACTATACCTCTACATACCTGCCCGTACCCTCCGTTCCTCTGGCACCGGTCTGCTTCACATCCCCCGCCCTAACCGCCCTACCATCGGTGGCCGGGCTTTCAGCCTCAGCTCCTAGGCTCTGGAACTCCATGCCCCAGTGCCTTCGCCGCCTCCTCCCTTTCCTCCTTCAAGGCCGGTCTCAAGACCTTTCTCTTCAACCGTGCCTACACCTCCCCTCTTGACTCTCTACCCCCTCCTCGCTCCCTCCCTTCCCTCCCCTCAGCCTGACCATTTCCCCCCTGCTCGGGTCCCGACCCAACTGTCCAGCGCCTTGGGACGTTCTCCCGACGTGAAAGGCGCTCTATAAATGCAATCTTGTTGTTGTTGTGGACTTAGGCTTAGAATAATCAAATGTTACAGTCTAGAGACAGACCATTTGGCCCATGATGGTTTTCTCCACATAAGCCAATCTAATTCTTCTTTCCTGTTTGCTACCCATACCCTTCTCAGCTTGTTATGCATGCTTTGAGTAATGTTTTTGAAAGTTGCGTATATCTCTTTGGCTTATTTATCCCTGAGTAGTTTGAAGGAACAAGGAAGGTCCCACTTATTGAATTCTTGGAGTAAAATGCTTTTAATAATATAACCAATCCTAGTGGTTTTACTCTATACTGCAATCTTCCCACTCTTGTGTGATTTGTATGTGGTTGTTTACCAGGTGAAGGAGGAGTGGATGGGGATGGTGACATCACACGGCCAGAGAATATCAGTGAATTTCGGCGTTTCGTGCTGGAGAATACTGAGCGAAAAGGTGTGCACTTCATAATGGCAGACGGGGTAGGTGTGTGAGCGACCAAGCCAGTCTTGCTTTCTGTTAATGATGTCAGGTGAGAGGGCAAGCTCTCTCCTGCAGAAACATAGCAGAGTTTGTGAAAGAGAGGGAGAGCAAGCAGGCTCCTGTAGAAACACAGTACAAAGAGAGAGAGAGAGCACTCCTGTTATGGCAGGAGTGCTCCCCCTCTCTCTCTCGCTTGAGAGAGAGAGGGTGAGTGCTCCTGCCGTGACACAGAGCAAGCTAGAACGATTGCTCTTGACAGAGAGAGCATGCAAACTGCTGTGACCTAGACAGAGAGCCTGCCCTGACCAAGAGAAAGAGAGGCTGCTCTGATAGAGACCAGAAACCATTGTGGATACTCAAGAGTATCCAAACCAGACTGAGTTCCATGGATGCCACTTACAAATGAAATATTCCCTGTGTTTGGAATGGATTGTGCACTCTCTCCCTACAATAATGTACCCTGCTTATGTAATTCGGACAGTGTTAGGCGCAGTTCGGCAACATCCAGGGCTTGGGGACACCATAGTGTGCATTGGGATACCGCTAGAGTTTAACCAGCATTGAAAGCACTGTCTGGCAAGCTTCTCACTTGTTGTCCAGCTAGGACCACAGTACCTGTTAGGGCTTTGCTATGCAGGAGCAAATTGGGAAAAATTCCTGCCCCAGTGACCAGTGTCCTGTCAACAAGCCAAGCTGGCTGGCTTCTTAGCAAGCAGCCCTGGAGTACTGCAGACTTGTCTGGTTCAGGAAACAGAGTATGCGTTAGGATAAATATAGAATTTAACCAGCGAAAACTATGTAGCTTGCTGTCTGGCATGGTTCCGCTGTTTGGAACTGAGTGGGAAGAATCCCTGCTCCCAGTAGTACAGGCCAATTCCTACCAATGAGCTAGGCAAGATCCTGCTGCAATAGAGCCGACAACTGCTGAGTACAATCCTGTAGTAATGCTGCAGAAATGCTGAGAGACAGCTCATGTTCCACATTTCTCGCTGTATTTATCCCGTGTGTGACCTGCTGACATCTCGCTTTCATCCTCTTTCACTCTTTCTCTCCTTCCCTTTTGTCTAGGGTTTTTCTGTGGAAGGACGGGAGAACCTACAGGAGATTCTTTGCAAGCAACTACTACTGTGTCAGTTTCTGGTGGCACTGAGTATCCTCAGGACAGGTAATAAACCCAGGATTTACTTGCTCAGCTTTTGGTTTACAGCCAGACTGCTGTCACCAATTAACCCCGGTTGTTGCAGTAACTGCTTTTGAGTCCATTTGGAGTAACAACTTGCATTTTTATAGCACCTTCATGTGAGGTAGCATCTCCGAACACTTGACACCGAGCCAGGAGGAAGACAAAATAGAACTAAATGGGTTTAAAAGATCATATGTGATCTAATAATATTGTACAGGCTTGATGGTGATGTTCCCGGGTTCCTATGTCCCGCTGTGTAATAAAATAAATTTATGTTTATAAATAGTGCACCCCTGGTGGATGTCACAAAGTGGTTAACAGCACTGGCTTGGCATCCACGCTGGAGTTTGGTAGCCGAAGGGGGTAGGGAGGGGGAAAATGACCAAAAGCACGTCAAAGAGATTTTGAGACTGATCTTAAATTAAAGAACCCAAGACAAATGGAAAGGGGGTGTGGCCGAAGTTGAGTTGTAATGTATTAAGCCTTCACTATCTGCTGCAGGCTACCTTGGGTCTGTGGTCAGGGATGTAAAACCTTTTCTTTTTCTGCCACAGGCGGTAATTTTCTGTGTAAAACCTTTGACCTGTTCACGCCATTCAGCGTGGGGCTAATTTACCTGCTGTACACCAGCTTTGAGAGAGTCTCGCTGTTCAAACCAGTAACCAGCCGTCCAGCCAACTCCGAACGGTGAGTAGCAAGCGTCTCATTCTCCCCACTGCACAATGGATATGTATGTTTGCCTGCAGCCGAGCATAAACTGCAGATTGTTACTCGAAGAGTTATGGGGGATATAAGAAGAAATGTTTTCAAGCAGAGGTTTATTAGATTATTTAAAAATTATTTAGATATGTATTTGAAAAAGGATATAAACTCATACTATAATGTGAAAGGAAAGAGCAGAATACATAAATGACTGACACAGACAGAAACCCATCACTGTGTTAAAGAGTAAGTAAATCACATAGAGCTCTAAATATGTGTGCCACTTAAACTTAAACATAGAAATTTCCCAGATTCTGGAGAGTATTAGTATTGCTTACCTAATTCTGGAGTATTAGGCTCAGATTGGTTAGAGCTTAGGCTTGGGGACCCCAGAGAGTGAATGGACCCTAGAGTCTAACCAGCTAATACCACATAACTGAGAACATTGTCCAGCTAAGACCACTCTATCTGTTAAAGCTTTGGCTTCCAAGGCTAATCCTTGCCCCCAGTGACTGATGTGTCAGCTTGGCTCTGGTAGCCTCTGAATTAGTAGGTTGTGGATTCAAGTCCCACCTTGGGGCTAAGCTGACACTCCAATATATATGTCCACCTTCCTGGCAGTTGCATGCACATATATCCCAAACCACCTATGTACTACATCCATAATGTTATTTCCTAAAAGAAAACTATCTGTGTTTGAAGGAATCAACATTTCCTGCTTCAACTGTCTCCAGAGAGAACCTGTTCCACAGGTTTACTATTTGCTCACTGAAATATTTTTTCCATATTCTTTTAGTTCAGAATTTACTCCCCTTCAATTGCAGGCCGTATCCTTTGGTTTTATTATTCTGGACTAGTTGAAACAGCCTGTCATGAGCTACACTGTCTAGCCCGTTTAGAATCTTAAAGACAGGAATCATATCGCCTCTCAGTTCTCTCTTTACCAGCATGAATATGCCCAATTTACTTAGTCGCTCCTCATAGTTTGGTCCCTCAATCATTCTGGTTGCCCTCCTCTGAATCCTCTCAATTTCTCCCATATATACAGCGGCAAGATGACCCCATTATTTTAACTTGCTATTGATCTTTTGATACATCTCAACGTCTGGTTTGTTTTACTCACTGCCACAGAGCATTTTTGCTGTCAAGCAGAACCCCCTGGTCCTTTTTATTTTCCATACATATCATTTTCCTTCCATTAAAATAATAGTCCCTGCCTGGATTTTTTTGTCCCCAAGTGAAGTAACTACATTTTTCCACAATTAATTTCATCTGCCACCGACTGGTCTGCCCAATTCCCAAGTGTGTTCAAATCCTCCTGTAACCTATCATGATCAGCTTTGCAATCTACCACCTTCATTAGCTTGGTATCATCTGCAAACTTAGCCACAGTGCTTTTGACTCCTAATTCCAGATCATTTATAAAAATATTAAATAAAAGAAATTCCAAAACAGACCCGTGTGGAACTCCACTAGTAACATTTTCCCAGTCTGATGACATTCCCTGTACCACAACCTTCTGGGTTTCTCTGGTCAATCAGTTGCGTATCCATTGTAACATCATTCCACTGATTCCCACTTTATTTACTTTCAGTACCAGCCTCTCAAGAGGAACTGTATCAAAGTCCTTACTGAAATCCAGATATACAACATCCATAGCCTTCCCCTTATCAAGCTCCCTTGACACACCGTTAAAGAAAAACAGTAAATTGGATTGGCAAGACCACCGCTTCATGAATCCATATTGGCTATAATTTATGATTTTATTTTAGTCCAGGTGCACCATGATTTTATCCTTAATAAGAGTCTTCAAAATTTTACTCACACTGGACGTTAAACTTGCTGGTCTGTAGTTTCCTGAGTCACTTTTGTTTGCTTTCTTGAAAATAGGAGTAACATCTGCCTTTCTCGAGTCCCCCGTCACGTCTCTGACATTCAGCGATTTTTGAAAGATTTGTGCCAGCATTTCTCGACTTTCTCCCTTAGTTCCTCAAGAATCCTCGGATACAATTTATCCGGCCACTGAAATTTATTTACCTTAAATTTCACAGCTGTTTGGAAACCATGCTGGTAGTGATCTGAATAGTGTCGCAACTTTCCTCTGCGACATCCTTGTGTTGTCTTTCCGGATCAGATAGGTTACCCATCTTCTCCTTAGCCTGTGCAACATTATTTGCCATGTCCTCTCCCGAACCCACCTTCAAGATGCTGGCCAACAATCCCCCCAAATAAAATTGTTCACTCGCTTCATGGCTGTTTGTGGAATATTGCTGTGCCCAACTGGCTGCCACATTTCATCCACAAAATATAGTTAAAAAACACTAAAGTAAATCCTGTGAAGCGTTTTGAGGCGTCTTGTCGACGTGTTAAGCTGTATCAAATGCAAGGATTATTATTATTATGATCTGCCCCTCCAAGTCCTTCCGATGAGCCAGACTAGCTGGTCTGTCATCAGTGGTGCCCAGGTGTACTACAGACCCATCTGGCACAGGAACCAGACCACTGAGATTGCCACAGTGGGTTGATTCAATTCCAATAGTAGGTAAGAGTAGATAAGGTTAACTTCACCGGACCATTAGCACCAGCATCAAATGCAAGAATAATAGATATGAAGTCTAAAATGTGTGGTTGCAGTCAGGCTATCCATTGGAGCTGTGACTTATTTAGTGGGTGGGATCACTGTTTTGTGAAGCCCATACATTTCTGATCCTCTGTGCCACGCTGCTCCATGTTTGAGTGCACATTGGAACGTGCTGCTCTCTCTGCAGGTATGTGGTGTGTCGGGGGTTGAAACCAGGGATCGATGCCGTTCGGGACTATCTCTTTACTGTGAACCAAAAACTAAACCAACTGAAGGACACAGACCAGGATGTGAACATGGTCGTTCCGCTGCACGTACTAAAGGGCAACATCGACTTTTACACAAACATCGTCAAATCTAACGAGAGGTGTGCCCCCATGCAGCGCAAGCACAAACTCATGCCTCCCTCCCTCCTTCCCCTCTCCCATCACTCCTGCCCCCAGCTGGCCCTCCCCACCCCAGCATGCGTTTGCAGCCCCCTCCCCCCCACCACAGTCACACACCACGCAGACAGCTGGCCCCCTGTCCCACGCACAGTAGATGTCTGGCCCTCATGCTGCACTGCGTCTGGCCGCTATTCTAGGCAGCGAGCGCTGGGCATTTCAAGTTTAGAAATTTTGTGTGTGACATTTCTCCTTTCTCCTCCAGTCTTGTAGCAATGCAAATCAAAGGTTTGGCAAAAATCCATGCCTTCATTCGAGATCCGTAAGTATGCCCACTTTCCATTGCTGTTGGCGGTGGGGGGGGCGGTAGGATTTTCCTATTTATTATAATTATGGTTGCATAACCTAAGAGTCGTGTACAGCATCATATAACACACTAACAGCACACTAATTAGTTAAGAAGCACTGATCAGGTTATCACTCCCAATTTCTGACCGCTGTTTTGTTAATGTTGTTGTGTTATTTAATTTCACACACAGGAACCTGAACGAGACACGACAGGCAGATATCCGCAGAGACTGCCTCGCACTGTGGACAGTGAGTACCAGCGGGTTGTTGTGGGGATTGTGGAACTGTTGAGCATTGGGACTGACCTGATGGACAGTGATAATTGTTTGTACGTTACTATGTTCCACTCTTTATCTAACAGAATTCAAAAAATAATTTGCACACTCGATCCACGACTTTTTTTGGACACCCCTGTGTGCAAAGGACTGCCATATTTCACCCACAAAATATACAATTCACTTTACAGTATATTCAGTGAAGCTCTTTGAGATGTCTCGAAGATGTGACAAGGCGCTGTATCAAATGCAAGGATTGTTATTATTATATTATAGAATTCCAAGATAGTCTTTGTTTCCAGGGTGTCAGTCCTTCCTATGTGTGTAATATTTTCCAGCTCTATTAACCAGCCGCAGCCTAATCTCTGACTTGGGTTTACTGCTTATTGCCCATTCATTCTGCTCTACCAACAATAACCAATTACATTTGTATAGCACCTTTCACATCCATCAGAGAGGCTGAGTTGTTCTTTCTGGGACCTGATTAACGTGACTGATTTTATCCAGAGTTTTCAGTACTGTACTAGGGAAGTAGGTTTGTAGCCTACAACTGGAGAATTAGTCATTCCTATTTCTACAAATAGGGCATGACCAATTAACTTTGAGGCTTGTTGGTCAGAACGTGGGAAGAAACTTTTTTTTTTTGCTTTGTGTCCTCCTGTTGTTCAGCATTGTGAGATTTTCTTTTGAAGTGCTGTACAACTGCTTGTTGTAGCACTGCATTACTCTTCAGCCTGGCGTTCTCTCTAATTTCTGCCATTTGTTCTAACATCACAGATTCCAGATAAGGCTCGAGTCACCCCAAGCACATCTGATCCCAAGAGGAAATTCTATGAGCTTATCCAGGTGAGTGAAATGTGAAAAACAACACAATGATATGGTTGTCTGTGGATAACTGCAGAGGTGAGTTGTAGATTTGTTATCAGTGAGCAGAGTGTTATTGAACCACAGCCATGATCTCAGATCACTCACTCATGTCAACACAGCTCACTTGGTAGCAATCTTGCCTCTAGGCCAAAAGATTATTAACTTCCATTTGAACTCGTGGTTCAGGTTGACACTCCAGCGCGTTACTGAAGGTGGGGGGAATGCTGCATTGGTGGAGGTGCCATCCTTAGAGTGAGCTTTTAAACTGAGTACCTGTTTGCCTTTCAAGTGATCATTAAATATACAGTAAACCCTTGGCTATCCAGATCCCCACTATCCAGAGTTCTGAATTAGCCAACAAGATCAGAAAAAAAATTGTAATTCCTCCCACTAAAAATTGATTCTGCACGCTAAAAGTCCTGCCCGCGTTTTCAAACTCCTGCCAGTCCATGTGATGCCCACAGCTTTACCCTCAATGGTTTAGCCCCGGGCCTCAATGGAGCTGCACTGAGTCAGTGGTGAGTACAACTTTGTTTTGTTTTGTTTTGGGGAAGGTCTAATTTATTTAGAATTCTTTTTAAATATTTGGGAGCATTTATTTTTACTTATTTTATTTATTTTAAATGTCAAATGTAACGATTAGCAGCTGGTCGGATAATCTGGCTTGCCCGACCAAATCCCCCCCCCACCACCAGTAGTCTGGTTAGCCGGGGTTTAGGGTATTGGAAAAGAGAAAGGAGTTTCCCACCATGTTGTGACTACAATCCTCCAGTTAGTTGGTCATTCTCTTTTTATGGAACCTTCGCAGTGTGTCATTTGACTCACAATTCCTACAAATATAATCACTACACTTAATAGTGAATCACTTTGGGACACTTTAAAATGCAACTTCTACTTTCTAGGGTTCAGACCCCGAAACCTTCAGCTACAAACCTACGTTGCTCGTACCGAAAACGCTGGACAAAATCAGTCACGTGCTGGACTATAGGTGCATGGTGGCCGGAGGGGAGCAGTTCTTTCTGCTGGGGTTAGGGGTGAGTATGTGAGACACAGCCTTTGTGTATTAATATAGCATTCGAGGACGAATGCTAATGTATGGATCAGCATGTGAGATACAACCTTAGTGTATTAATTCTACATTACTCAGGAACTAATGCTAGTGGTTACTTAGGCAAACCGTTATATGTTAATATTACTGGACTCAGTGACTGATGTTGCGATTAGTCAACATTAATATTTCAGATTCGATGGCACTCTCATCTCGGGTGAATCAGAAGTTTGTAGTTTCAAGCCCCACATCGGAACTTTGAACTCGCTGTCCAGGCTGACACTCCAGTGCGGTGCTGCATTGTCATAGGTGCTGTCCAGATGAAATGTTAGACCGAGGTCTCATCTGCCTGTTCAGGTGGACATTACAGATCCCACTCCAGCACAGAGCAACCCTCCCTCCCACTCTAGGCTCTGTTCGAAAAGAGAAGCTTGTTTCTCCGTTCTGCTGGCCAGCAATTCAGATAAACATAGCTGTTTGTGGGATGTGTGCAAATTGACTGCCACGTTCATTTAAAAAATAGTCAGTCACTACACTTTACAATAAATTCTGTGAAGTGTTTTGGAAGGTCCTCCAAAAGTGAAAAGAGCTGTAAATGTAAGGATTATTGCCATTCTGTGAATGATGTTGGAATTAGAGTAAGTTTTCGTGTTACTCTGATCAGGCTTTCTATAGCTCCCGGTACTCAGGGGTATCACATGTACCTTCCTCATACTTATTCCTCTGGAGGTATTAGTACTGCATTTGTGACCCTCATTGTGACAGTGGTGCGGGGCGGGTAACCAGTCTGCTCTGTGGTTCAGTGTTAAATCTGTTTTTGTTTTTATGATCAGAAGTCTCAGATCTATATATGGGATGGAAGTGTGTCGATGCGATGGAAAAAACTTGAGAACTTTAAGACTGAGTTACCTAGAGAAACACTACTCTTTGTGGAGATCATACAGGAGCTGAAAGGAGAGGTGAGAGTGACTACTCTTAGTGTAAACCATACATACAGCTCCAGTCATCTATGCTGCAGCGTTGGGCACGGTCTGTGCTCTGTGCTGGAAGGCGGGGAATGGGTGCTCTGTGCTGGAAGGCGGGGAGTGGGCGCTCTGTGCTGGAGGGCGGGGAGTGGGTGCTCTTTGCTATAGGGCGGGGAGTGGGTGCTCTGTGCTGTAGGGCGGGGAGTGGGTGCTCTGTGCTGGATGGGCAAGGAGGGGGTGCTCTGTGCTGGACGGGCAAGGAGGGGGTGCTCTGTGCTGGAGGGGCAGGAATTGGGTGCTCTGTACTGGACGGGCAAGGAGGGGGTGCTCTGCGCTGGACGGGCAAGAAGGGGGTGCTGTGTGCTGGACTGGCAGGGCGGAGGAGGTGCTGTGTGCTGGACGGGCAGGGCGTAGGGGGTGCTGTGCGCTGGAGGGAGGGGGTGCTGTGCGTTGGAGGGAGGGGGTGCTGTGCGCTGGAGGGAGGGGCAAATCTGATATTTCCCTTATGGTTTTAGGGAAAAGCTCAGCGCCGGATCAGCTCTATTCATATCCTTGACGCACTGATTCTGAATGGGACAGACATCCGGGTTCAGCATTTTAACCAGCGGTAGGTGCAGCCAGGAAACTGGCATTGAGGATTATGGTACTGCCTCAGGGGGGCCTTTAGATAGTAGGACCGACTCATTCAGCCAACACCTCCCAGCAGTGCAGAGGTACTCCAGTAGAACCCACAATCTTAAGACTCTGAGACGAGAGTGCTACTAACTGATGCAGGCTGACACCCACACAGCACCATAGGATAGCCAGCATTGCCACCAGTGTATCTAGAGTAGTCATTGTGGTGGAATAATCACTTATGTGTCTCTTTGTGCCCAGGATCCAGATGGTGGAGAAGTTTGTGAAAGCCGTCTCGAAGCCTAGCCGCTCTGACATGAACCCCATCAGGTAAGTCCTCTGAGGGCAGACTGCCAACCCATTCATGCTGCCTGTGTTTCTTGCTATTTGACTGCTGTGTGCTGATGTGACCGTTTGTCTTTGCAGGGTCAAAGAGGTGTACCGGCTGGAGGAAATGGAGCGAATCTTTGTCAGGTAAGAATGCTTTGCCAAATGACCAATGTGCGAGCTGGTTTTTGGGTGGGTGTGGGGAGCTAGTTTTTGGGGGAGCCTATGGGGGGAAGCTGGTTTGGGGAAGTGAGGGAGCGAGTTTGGGGCTGTTTGCAGGCGGTCAGGGCATATACAAGTGTTACTTTATTGGATCTGAATTTTTCACCCCAGGTTAGAAATGAAGATTACTAAGGGATCAGGTGGAATGCCTCGTCTGTCGTACACAGGCCGCGATGACCGTCACTTCCTACCCACAGGACTCCACATTGTAAAAACTGTGAATGGTAGGAGCATTTTCGAATTCTGTTGCAATGTGGGGAGGTCATCAGCCGCCTGCCTGAGTTAGAAGGGAGGCAAAAGATTGAATTATGAAGAGAAACTTCAGAAGTTAGGGCTACATTCTTTTTCAAACATACCCCTTTGACCACGCTTTCGGTTATCTTTCCTTTTCCACTTCACTCGGCTCCCACTCCCGGCTTGGGTGTCCGTCCAGCACTGTGAAGCACTTTGAGATGTCCTCCCAAAGTGAAAGCAGCTATATAAACAGTATGTTGTGATGTATTCATTCATTTGAGCTGAGTTGTTTAAGAGTGACTTTAGTAGCTTTGACAAGGTAATAATAATAACAGAAATCACTGGGAACACTTCTTATAATAATAATATTTGCATTTGATATACGGCTTTATCATGTCTTCGAGACGTCTCAAAGCGCTTCACAGAATATACTGTAAAGTGAATTGACTATATTTTGTGGATGAAACGTGGCAGCCAATTGGCACAGCAGTGTCCTATTAACAGTCGTGGATTTAGTGACCAAATTATTATTTATTTTTTGAAGGGTTTATTACCCCCACAAAAGCGATTCGCCAATCAACTAATGACTGGGTTACTACTTACTGCGAGGTAAATCAACGCGTGTGGAGTAAGCAAACTTGCCTAACGTTTCGCACTGCCGGGAATCGAATCTAGGTCTTCTCGCTTGGAGGCGAGTGCTCTAACCACCAAGCTACAGGACTCCACAGTCCTGCGGATTAAATAACAACAACTTGCATTTATATAGTGCCCCTCACGCAGGGTAGCATCCCAGAGCGAGTAAGAGTTTACCACTGGTCAGTGAGCAAGTACCAAATATAAGAATTACAAAAAAGGTTTAAAAACAAGGTTAGAAAAATATCATTCCACAGAGGGTGGTGGGAATCCATAATTGAGGTAAACAGGTCAGTCATTTTAAAAGGAAATTCAGTATGCTAGCGGAGGAATGTTATGGAGTCTGGAGTTTCAGAAAGAGAGACGGATTATATTTGATAGCTCAGGTGGAGAAAAACAACAGTGCTGACTTGATGGGCCAAATGGCCTTTCTCTCTGCTGTAGCATTCAGTGATTGGTTTGGCTCTCAAGTGTGTATTGCCTCCCTCCACAGATCCCTGGACAATGGCGTACAGCAAGACATCAAAACGCAAATACTTCTACAACATAAAAACAAAAGAGTCAACTTACGAGCTTCCCCCGGACTCCATCACACCGTTCCAGTGAGTAGCCTCACGAGTCACTCCATTCATATTCAGAATCTTGCACCCAAGGGACACGAGCTGACATCAATCGCCACCTCTTTCACCTCACTCTACCCAGTTCATGAGTCTCATTTTATCCACCGGGGGAAAGGAAAAGGTGAAAGGCCAAGGGGATCCATTGAAAGCCCAATCCAGAGCCTTTTGTGGTTAACTAACTGAGCTGATACTGTCTGTGCCAGAAGTGCTGGCTATCCACGCCACCAGCCCTCGGTGTACAGATGTCAGCTTGGCTCAGATGCTAGCATTCTCACCTCTGGGTCGATCTCTCACTTCTGATTGTGGATGGAAGCCCCATGTGGGGATTCTTGCTCAACAACAACAATAAGATTACATTTGTATAGATTGATTAGGTGTGCTGAGTGGCCTGTTTCCATGCCTATCACTCTATATAATTATGTCATTTCCAAAGATGTGACTGCTCACAGTTGGGCTGACACTTCACTGCAGTGGTGAGGGAGCATACGTGGTGGGAGGTCTGTCCTTCAAGTGAGATTTTAAAAGTAAGCTCACGTCTGCCTTTACAGGTGGTTGCTAAAGCACCTGTGACACAGGAATTTCCCTCAGTGTCCTGGCCGGCATTGCTACTGATAAGGTAGTTACTCATTTCATGCCTGTGGACTCTGGTCCACATACAAATAGGCTACTGGTGTGCACCCTACTAGACAGCACCACACTTAACATCAACGAGACAAATGGGAAGGGATCTCATATATTATTAAAGGATGGATAAATTGGATGGGCTGTTTCCACTTGTTGCATAATCCACAAGCACAGGGCATAAATATGATAGTAGTTGATCAGGTGTGCTGAGTAGCCTGTTTCCATGCCTATCACTCTACATAATTATGTCATTTCCAATGATGTGATTGCAGACGCTTTTAAGTTATGGGTGCTGTAGAAAATGTAAGGATCATTAGAATTGAAGTGAAGACTCAGTTTTCCTGTGTCTTTTTTTCTGAACAGTGTCTGCCACTTTGAACGACTCTTGTGGGCCTGGGAAGAAGGGGTTCGTGTCCACGACTCTCAGACCCGATGTGATTCAGAGAAGCTTTCCAAAGAGAATGTACTGTCCTTCATTCGGCTCCATTACCAACCATAGCCCTCTGTGAGCTGTGCCCGGAGCACATCAGCTGTAATCCATTTCAGCATTGTGCCGCTCAGATCATGGATCCTGCTGTGTGTGACTGAGGGCTTGGCCAGGCCTGCCGGCTGGGGGTGCCCATCAGTCATTTGGTGTTGGCAGAAAGACTCTTTCTCTGATCTCATTTACTGAACATCAGCCTGACCGCTCGAGCCCCTGCACAGCACCGAACGTCCATTAGTGCAGCCTGTGGTGGACTGCGCGGCCGGATCGCGCTCCAAATGTCAGGCTCTCGAGGCTTTAGGTGCTTCTGTGAATGTTGCATCCCCTCCTCCTCTTCAAAGGCTTCACGTGAATCTCCCAGAACCTCTGCAAGTAGTCAGACTGTGCAAGAGTTTGATATGGCGGATGGCCGTGGCAGCACAAGCAGTGGCGGGAGAGTGCCATATACCAACTGGAACACACACCCTTCCTCGGGAGGACAGTTTATTTTAGTTTTATTGCCTTTATGTTGGGAGGATGCTGTTTTCTCACTACAGTTCAGGGTTCAGAGTCCTATTTATGATGTAAGACCTATTTTCTGCAGATAAATAATGTACCTATATCTGTTTCAGTTTTGTAAACACGAACAGCACAAAATAAATGTAAGTTTATGTAAATATTTAGTGTTGTGTAATCTCAGCACAGAATAAATGCGGATAACATTTTCCGTAACTTACCATTCCTCTGCTGTGTGTGTAAAGTTTCTATGGGTGTGGGTTGTGGAAGTGAGCAAGAGCCATTATGACAGCTCACCTGGGAGTGCTGTACAAGCAGTGCAGAAGGAACTTTACTCTGTAGCTATCCTGAAACTGCCAGCAGCCAACCTGCAGGTAGGGAGTGTTAGAATTGACTTCCCACCATCTAGGTTGTGGAGCTTCCAGATAAGAAGGGCAACAGAATGAGGGGTGCTTGAAGCGACAGAAGAGTTCTACTCTGTACGTGACCTTCACTGTACCTGACCTGGGAATGCTTGAGGGGACAGTACAGAACTTTACTCTGTGCGTGAGTTTTGCTGTACCATGATAATTTTGAGATATTACAGAGCTCAACTCTGTACCAAAAGCTGTTTGTTCGCAAGAGATTCTCAACAGTTAGTTATTTAAATTCAGTTGATTTTATTTACATATTTGCTGATGTCCTTCAAAAAAAAACAGAATTTTCTGCTGAATGTCTTTTTATTGAGGGTTTGAATTTGCATGCAGTGATTGCCAACATATGATATTTGATTTTCTCAACAGTGATCCATGTCGCCAGATCTCCTGTTGGCCCAAATCTGGATGGCATTGGGCTCAAATCCCATATTGAGACTTTGAACTCGCAGTCTTCCTGATGATCCAGTGCAAGTCTGGGTGTGTACTGCATTGTAAAGGGTGTTGTCCTTCAGGTGAGATGTCATCCTTCAAATTAGATGTAAAATCCAAGTCCCATCTGTGCTTGTTCAGATTAAGATTCCAACAGCACTCTAGACAAATTGGTCATTCACTTCATATTTGCGTGTGGGATCTTTTTGGTGCAAATTTGCTTACAAATATACAGTCACTACATTAGCAGGTTCATTTCCTGCGAATCACTTTGACTGATGGGAATGCTGGTCTGTGAGGCTATTATAGTAAATGGCTACAGTCCCCAGCAGAGGTAGAGCAGCAAGAAGAGGCTGAGCAGAGCTAGGGACAGCACCATGTTCCTCCCATTTTCCTTCCTCAGAGACCACAGCTCATGTTCTGTGGGCAAAAAAAGCAAGAGGTTGGTAACCACACAGCTGCTGAAGTGCATCTGGCAGTGAGGGGTAAATCATTCATACCATATCTGGAGACTCTCTCCTTCAACATGGTCTTCTCATCTTGCAGGGACTGTCTACAAATGAATGAGAAAGAGTGAGCAGCAGATTCCAGGAGAGAAACATCCACTGTGAATATGTTGCCTCTGTGTGCACCAACACCTCCTAACTCCACACCAGCAAACTCTTTCCCCCGCCTCCCGAGCCCACCTGCTCTCCATGGACAGCTCCTCCCTGTGCAGCTGCCAGTCTATTGTCTCCAAGTTCTCTTTGCATACAGCCAGACGTTCCTCCAGTGCATCAATCTGTAGAAGTCAGAACATGGGAATATGAGCAAAGAGCTGTAGCAATCTGCCCACTGACAGGCTGGAGTGCTGCACAGGTACTTCAGGTGTGCTGTATTTGTATCTAGTATGTGCCACATGTGTACGTTATGTGTTCAGCTCATGTCTCTGTGCATGCTATGCATGTAGTAGCAATTCATCACTTTACTTGCATACAGTTGAGTGTTGGGAACCAGGATATGGCAGGGAATATTTGGAGAATCACTGCCGGGCAGGAGATATATGATAATAATCCTTGAGTTTGGTTTAAAAAAAACACAAAATATTGCAGATGCTGGAAATCTGAAAACAAAAACAGAAGTTGCTGGGAATACTCAGCAGGTCAGACAGCATCTATGGAGAAAGGAAAGGGAGTCAACGTTTCAGGTCCACAACTCTTCGTCAGAAATGGGGCATGTTAGGAGGGAGAGGCTTTGGGGGGGCTGAGGGCTCTGGTTGGTGGCTGGAGGGAGGGTTGGGGCTATGGGGGGTCTGGGGTTAAGGGGGGTCTGGGGTTATGGGGGGATCTGGGGGTTTGGGGCTATGGAAGGGTTGGGCTTATGGAGGGATCTGGGGGTATGGAAGGGTTGGGGTTATGGGGGGATCTGGGGCTTTGGGGCTATAGAAGGGTTGGGGCTATGGGGGGTTGGGGGCTGGAGGAGGGAATTGGGGCTATAGGTGTTGGGGCTGGAGGGGGATTTGGGGCTATAGGTGTTGGGGTTATGGGGGGGTAAGGGCTATAGGTGTTAGGGCTGAAGGGGGATTTGGGGCTATAGGGGTTGGAGCTATGGGGGTGTTAGGGCTATAGATGTTGGGGCTGGAGGGGGATTCGGGGCTATGGGGGGGGGGGGTTAGGGCTATAGGTGTTGGGGCTGGAGGGGGATTTGGGACTATAGGTGTTGGGGCTATGGCGGCTCTGTGCCCCAATGTGTGGGTTGGGTCTATGGCGGCTCTGAGCCCCAATGTGTGGGTTGGGTCTATGGGGGTTCTGAGACCCAATGGGCGGGTTGAGGTTCTGAACCCCAATTAGGGGGTTGGGGCTCTGAGCCACGATTGGGGCTATGGGGAGTTGGGGCTTTAGGCGTTGGGGATGGAGGGGGTGTTTGGAGTTATGGGGGGCTTGGGGCTGGAGGGGGGGTTGGGGTAAGGGGGGTCTAGGGTTATGGGGGGGTCTGGGGGTTTGGGGCTATGGAAGGGTTGGGGTTATGGAGGGATCTGGGGGTATGGAAGGGTTGGGGGCTATAGAAGGGTTGGGGCTATGGGGTTTGGGGGCTGGAGGAGGGGGTTGGGGCTACGGGGGTTTGGGGGCTGGAGGAGGGGGTTGGGCTATGGGGGTTTGGGGGCTGGAGGAGGGAATTGGGGCTATGGGGGTTTGGAGGCTGGAGGAGGGAATTGGGGCTATGGGGTTTGGGGGCTGGAGGAGGGAATTGGGGCTATGGGGGTTGGGGCTGTGGGTGTTGGGGCTATGGGGGGGTGGGGCTGTGGGGGTTGGGGCTGTGGGGGTGGTTGGGCTATGGGGTTGGGGCTGTGGGGCTATGGGTGTTGGGGCTGTGGGGGGTATAGGTGTTGGGGCTGTGGGGTGGGGTTGGGGCTGTGGGGGGTATAGGTGTTGGGGCTGTGGGGGGTATAGGTGTTGGGGCTGTGGGGGGTATAGGTGTTGGGGCTGTGGGGGGTATAGGTGTTGGGGCTGTGGGGGTGGGGTTGGGCTGTGGGGGGTATAGGTGTTGGGGCTATGGGGCTGTGGGGGGTATAGGTGTTGGGGCTGTGGGGCTGTGGGGTGTTGGGGCTATGGGGTTGGGGTGGGTGGGGCTTTGGGGCTATGGGGTTGGGGCTGTGGGGCTGTGGGGCTGTGGGTGTTGGGGCTGTGGGGCTGTGGGGGTGTGGGGCTGTGGGGGGTATAGGTGTTGGGCTATGGGGTTGGGGTGGGTGGAGCGCTGGGGGTTGGGGTTCGGGGCTTACCGCTGACGTCACTGTACCACGTGGCTGTTTCTTCCCCATCGCTGGCTGCCGGTGTCCCGAGACCTGCGCAGGCGTCGATCTGCTGTGTCTGTCTGCGCAAGCGCAACTATTGGCCGTATTGTGTCGGTGCAGCGAGAATGACACAGTGCGCTTGCGCGGCTCCCTGTCAATCATCGAGACATAGAGTCGTACAGAGAGTGACAGTCCCCGGAGAGTGACAGTCCCCGGAGTGTGACAGTCCCCGGAGAGTGACAGTCCCCGGAGGGTGACAGTCCCCGGAGAGTGACAGTCCCCGGAGAGTGACAGTCCCCGGAGTGTGACAGTCCCCGGAGTGTGACAGTCCCCGGAGAGTGACAGTCCCCGGAGTGTGACAGTCCCCGGAGAGTGACTGTCCCCGGAGAGTGACTGTCCCCGGAGAGTGACTGTCCCCGGAGGGTGACTGTCCCCAGACGGTGACTGTCCCCGGAGGGTGATTGTCCCCAGACGGTGACTGTCCCCAGACGGTGACAGTGCCAGTGATACACAGTGACACAAGCAGATTGACACATTGAGAGTGACACAGAGTGATAGTCCACAGAGAATGAAACACAGAGAACGATAGTCCACGGATAGAATGACAGAAAGAGTGAGTCCACAGTAATAGAGTCCAGTCCACAGAGAGAGTCCACAGAGAGTGACACAAAGTGTCACAGAGCAAAACAGTGTCACAGAGAATGACTTGAGTTACATGAGGGGCAGCAAAGGAGTGGCGACTTGATACCTTCACCTGCGTGGAGTGTGTTGAGGAGTCCCACATTTTGGAGGCTCTGTGCCTTATTTTTTTTGTCATTGTGTTTTGTGTTGTTATGGGGTTACAGCAGCCAGCAGAGGGAGACAGACCCGGACACCCAGTGTCAGGGGCAAGTAATAATAATAATAATAATCCTTGCATTTGATATAGCGCTTTTCACGTCGGGAGGACGTCCCAAAGCGCTTCACAGAACACACTGTAAAGTGAATTGACTGTATATTTGTGGGCGAACGCGGCAGCCAATTGCGCACAGCACTGTCCCAAGTAGCCAGCAGATGGAGTCAGAGGGCTGTTGAGGCGCCATGTGAAGATATTCGTAATACTGTAATTGTAATCCAGTTTACCTTTAGCTCCCTGCATGTCAAGAAGATATGTCAATGCACTCTGAACAGCTTCCTGGGCACCCGAGCTGTGTGTGTGGGGTGGGGGTGCGCGGGAGCAAAAAATTGTGTTTGGGGGTGAGGGGAGGGGACCAAAAGCAATGTCGAAGAGTTAAGCCCCTTCTGCTTGACCAATTTGGGGTTGCTGCCCATTCCCTGTACTCTCCACACCACATTTTGTATCCTACATCTCTCACCTCTGCAACTCCCTCCCTCTGCCTCTCCATCTTATCCCCACCTCCTAATAAGTCTCATGGTAAAACTTGCCTCTTCAATGCGCCTAGAGCCACCTGTCTTTTCCCTCCTGCTCACCTCGTCCCCCTTGCTTGGGATCCAACCCTGCCCTTGAAAACTGCTCCGAGTTGTTAGCCTTACGCTACATGAAAGGTTCTATTTCCATGCATATTGCTGAGTTTATAGTCTGGCTAACAATCCTCCTGTAGATTAATTTCTCATTCACCTCACGGCTGTTTGTGAGCCTGTGCTCTTTTTAAATTGCAACAAAACCAGTCACTACATTTGACAGCAATTACTGTGCAGCGCTTCGAGACATTCCATTGGGAGCAGGCACTGTTAAAAATGCCAGTTCTTCAGCTACTGTGTGCTGCCTGGACCGTCTGATTGATATTTGGTCTCTCCCTGATTGCTGCTCATGTCCCAGTTAATGAGCTCACTCTCACTCTCTTGCTCGTGCTGCAAGCAGCAGCGGCTCTTTTACCCAATTGATTTGAAGGATTAATCTGTTTCCTCATCAGTCTGTTTGATTTGCACTCAGAGCGGCCGAGACGAAGCTCTCCATTTAATTGCTAACATTAGTCTTCGGTTTGATTTGGTTTCTGAGCCTCGACAGTGGAGGTGGAGCTGTCTGAGACTGTGGGAAGCACTTGTGCCTCATCTCCATAATAGGCCTCCTGTCTGTTGTCAGACTCATTTATCCCTATTTTCTGAAAGATTCCAGCGCACAAACTGTCAACCGCTGAACTGGAGCATTAACCCTTGCTGGTTCATTCAGCACTTTGCTGCCTCAAACAAAATAAAATATAGCCCACATATCGGTGTACAAATTATATTTGTGCAAAACCTGTGCATAAATGACAACCGGCTCAGTTGGTAGCCTCTAGGTCAGAAGGTTGTGGGTTCAAGCCTTGCATCGGGGACACAATTGAGGCTTGATGCTCCAGCGCTGTGATGAATGTGTGCTGCATTATCAGAGCTGTCTTACTTTGGACGTCTAAAGATGTCCAAACCAAGGTCCTGACTGCCTGTCCAGGTGAATGTTAAAGATCCTATGACCCGATTTGGGAAGAGAAGGAAGTTTCTCCTGGGGTCCTTGCCAACAATCCCCCAGTTAAATTGCCAATTGTAATTTAATTAAAAAAGTGGAAGCAGAAAGTGTTGTTTTCAAGAAGAAATTAGATATTATTTTCTAGCAGAAATCTATCTCGGGATACAATATATAGTTTAGGACATGATCTGTCAAGTGACTGCCAGGATGATGGAAAGCGAAGTGGATGGACCTTGGTTTTCTTTCACCTAGCAAATTCTTACATTCTTAATTGGGTGTTTGTGGGACATTGCTGCGTAATTTGTAATTGAACACAGAAGCCAAATACACAATCACTACACTGCATAGGAAAAGCTTGTGAATCGTGTTCAATATAATGTGCTACATCAAATGCAAGGATTATTGTTATTCGTGTCTGTTTTACTGATTAAGCACAGAGGGAAAAGGATACAGGGAAAAGGATGCCTCACTGCCTGGTGGTGCAGGAGGTAGAGACAGACACATCTGACTATATTTCTGGATAATTTTTAATAAAAGATACTTGGTTTAATAACAGAGAGAGTTTAAAAGCTCCTGACCCTGTCTAGCGATTGTGCTTTAGTTTGTATTACAATACAACAAATAACAATGTCTCTGGGGGACTCCAGGCTCTGACTGAACTGGTTTCATTCATTCTGTAATCAGACTCGGAGTCCAGAGAGAAGCACAGCCCGAGCACAGCCATTCTGTCACACTCGTACGTCACATACCCAGGAGTGTTGGACACACAGTGTTTCTTTCTCTCACACACACACACAATCTCTTGTCTCTGACTCACACAAAGTCTCTCTGTCGTTCACTCCCACACATTGTCTCATTCAGCGATTCTCACACTCACAAGCCAACCGTCTCTCACACCGCATATATATGTTCACACACACACACAAACACACTTTTCATGTTTTTCATGTTCGTGTGCAGACACATGAACAGTCTTTCATATATATTCTCTCACACACACGGTCTCACACACTTACTAATGCATATATATTCTCCCACATAAGCACACATTCTGTCTCATTCACACACTTACCCTCCTTCACTCACTCTCTTCCACTCACCTATTCTTTCAAACAGTCACTAACTCATTCCCTCGCTTTCATTCACTCACTCGACCACTGACCAACCCACCCACTCATTCTCTCTCTCAAATGTTGGCTGCTACAAATGTGCTTTGGGGTGGGCTGTGCAGGACATGTTGCCGCCCAGATTGGAGTACATGTAAGTAGATAGGCGAGGATGGATATATGGAGCTCATGCAGGAGTGGAGGGGCTGGGAGCAGGGAGATTTGGAAGGGAGACTCAGGTACAAAGCTTACACCATGGACCACTTGTGCTTTTTAGTTCTGTAACTTTCAGAGTAAATAACGCAGCCGATACAAACGGCTCCAGTCCAATTTCTTCTGAGTAAAAGTTGCCTTTCGCTGCGGCAAAGGGTTCCCACACCGCAGCGTTCTCAGTCTTTGGTAACTCGAGACACTTCGGTGTCATATGGATTTAGGACCAAGGATGAAGGGTTTGGTTTGTGTGTCTGAAGAAAAGGAAAATGAGCAAGAGAGAGTCGACCAGACCAGTGACTCGAAAGAGCAGCATCATCTGAGCAACAACAGAGCGACCAGAAGCAGGAGGCAGCGGCTGAGGGAACTGGAGCCCAGAGCAGCATTGCGGCTTTGCAGGAAAACATCTGGAAAATAAACAGTGATTGTATACAACCCCGAACACAAGGAACTGCCACATATACCATATACAGTTTGTGGGACACTTCTGTGAGCAACTGGTTGCAGAGTTTCACCCACAAAATGTGTAGTCAATCCACTTTACAGTACATTCTGTGAAGTGCTTTGAGATGTCTCAATGATGTGAGAAGGCAATGTATCAAATGCAAGAATTATTATTATATACCAGAAGCTGCCTTATATAGATTTGATAGAAGGAACAGTGGAGAAGCAGGCCATTCAATCCATCCAGTCCGGCTGGTGTTGATATTGCACACCTGTGTCATTCTAGATTTTATTCCTAGTCCATTTCCCAGCGATTCCCTCATATCCCTGAACTTTATTTTCTCTTAACAACAACAAGATTACATTTATATAGAGCCTTTCACGTCGGGAAGACTTCCCAAGGCACTGAATCACGTGCCCAGTCTTTTTTTTAAAAGCATACATGGTTGTTGTTCCAACAACTGACTGCGGCAGAGAATTCCATGCTCCCACCACTCTCTCTGGAAAAACTTCCTCCTAATCTCCATTCTGAACCTCCCAGTTCTAATTCTAAAACTATGCCCTCTAGTTCTAGATCCCCAATTCCCGAAAATAATCTTTCCCTGCCCACCTTATCTCAGCCTCCCGTCATCTTATATACCTCTATAATATCCCCTGCTCAGCTTTCTGAGTCCCAAAGAAAAGTAGCCTTTCTCTATAACACATTTCCTCATTCCATACAATGTTCTGGTGAATCTGCTTTGCACTGCCTCCAGTGCTTTTACATCTTTTCCATAATGAGGAGCCCAAAACTGCAAATAGTATTCCAACGGTGCCCTGACCGTTTTGTACAGTTTCAACATGACCTCCTTATACTTATACTCTTTTTCCCCAATTATAAATCCCATGGTCTCATTGGCCTTTTTAATGGCCTTATCCACCTAGGTCACTGTGTTCAATGACCTGTGAATCTGACCTCCTATGTTCTTTTGCTTTTAAGATGTGCACCCTTCAAGTTATAGGTTCTTCTTATGTGAATTACCTCACACTTGTTTTCATCTGCCACTTCTCTGCTCATTCAGCTATCCTATCAATATCTACCTGTATTTTATTTTGATCCTCCTCAGTATTTACTATTCCCCCTACCTTTATCATCTACAAGCTTTTGAGATTTATCACTGGGTCCAAATTATTTATATACAGGTTAAAAGTAGTGAACAGATCATTGAGGAATACCACTCACCACATCTATCCAACTTGAACAACCGTCCTGTTTTGTTTGACCGAGCCATCGGTCACCTTCCTATCCTTACCCTCCCTACCCTCCAACCCTCCTGATCCCAACCCCAGCTCTTGTGCAAAATCCTTGACTGTCCAGCACCTTGGGACATCCTCCCAACATGAAAGGCGCTATACAAATGTAATTTGTTGTTGTTATCTCCTTCCTTGAAGATGGGTATGACATTAGCCACTCTCTAATCTTCTGGTGTGTAATTTCCCTCCTTTGACCTATGAAATATAATCTCTAGGGGCTTCAACAATTTCTTTCCTAATGTTGTTCAGGACCCTCGTGTGTATTCCATCAGGTCCTGGTACTTTGTCTGCCTTGAGTTTACTCATTTTTTTTTAAACTACCTCTCTACTTATATTCAGCTTCCCCCACCCCCATCATATCATCAGCAGCTATTTCTGGTTTGCCCCAATCTCAATATTTCTCTCCTTGTAGCAAAGCACTCATTTAAAATCTCTGCCAATTCCCCTCTCTCCTCAATGAAGTTTCCTCCTTCCCTCTTAGCAGAGCTACTCCTATCTTAACTATCCTCTTTTTACTAATACACCAGAAGCCTCCCCCCCTCCCACATACCACCAACCTTCCTTACACATTTCCACCTTGTTAGCAGACATCGTAAATCTCTCCTTGTCCATTGCTACAGTCCCCAGCCCCTTCAAAACCACTGCCTTCATCCTCCGCCTTGAAAACCCTCCCTCGCCCCTTACACATTCTCAAATTACCAACCCATTTAGTTTCTCCAATCCCTGCCCACAGTACCGAAGCTGTCCTGGTCAAAGTCACCAACAATATCCTCACTATCTGTGAGCAGGGCTCTCCCTGCCTCCTTGTTCTTCTTGATAATAATAATACTTGCATTTGATACAGCGCCTTATTATATTGTTGAGACGTAACAAAGCGCTTCACAGAATATATTGCAAAGTGAATTGACTATATTTTGTGGGCAAAACACAGCAGCCAATTGCACACAGCAGTGTCCCAAAAATTCAGTGACCAAATTACTGTTATTTTTTAAGCCCGGAAAAGTGATCCACCAAATCGACTAATAACCAGGTTCTTACTTACTGCAAGGTAAACAGAGGCGTGTGGAGTAAGGAAACTTGCCTAAGGTTTTGTCTTAAGGTAGCTGGGTGTGGCTCTTGGTGTATTGATCTCTCCCCTACCTTGCCCACCCCACAATCGGCGGTCAGGCCTACAGCCTCTCTGCCCCCGTCCTTTGGAACTCCATCTCACACTTCCTTCGCCTCGCTCCCTCTCCTGCCTCCTTCAGGGCATGTCTCAAGACCCTCCTCTTCGACCACACTTTCAGCCACACTCCTACCCTCCCTGATCCCAACCCCCGCCCACCCTCCCGCTCGGGACCAAATTCCTGATTGTCCTGGGCCTTGGGTCGTCCTCCCGATGTGAAAGGCACTATACAAATGTAATTTGGTATTGTATCATCCAAAGGCAAACATGTGGAACTTCTACATGTATGCAGATGACACTCAACTCTATCTCTCTCTGTCTCTACCCTTGATTCCAGGACAACTGCTGTTCTGACCGATTGCCTGTTGGACATCAAATTCTAGATGAACTCTAACTTTCTCCATTTCTTAAACGTAGACAGGGCAGAGGCTCCCCTGCATGGATCCCTTCAGTGTCTTCCCCTCACCCGATGACAGCATCACCCTGCACACTCCACCTCGATGATGCAAACCCCCATGTACCAGGAGCCAACGCTCACCCCCATATATCAGGAGCCCCTCCTCCAGGAGTCACTGCCCCCCCCACTCCCGCTCACACATCAAGAAAGAGTATCTTACCATCTTTTTGTGCCCACTTTGTGCAGGCTGATTGACTGATGCTGACATCGTCCAGTCCAATGTCTCCTAAATAACCACGCCCTCGGACGGCCTCAAATATTATCTGTCAGTGACGGAATAAAGTTACATACTTACCTCCCCCAAACACATACACACACACACACACCCATCCCCCCTCCCCCTTCCCATCCTCCCCTCCCCATCGTTACACACTGTCCCCCACCCCGTCTTCACACACTGCTCACCCCTCCCCGTCCTCACACACTACTCCCCCTCACACACCGCTCCTCCTCCCTGTCCTCACACACCACCTCTCCTCCCCGTCCTCACACACCACCCCTCCTCCCCGTCTTCACACACCACCCCTCTTCCCCCACTCCCCGTCCTCACACACCACCCCTCTTCCCCCACTCCCCGTCCTCACACACCACCCCTCCTCCCCGTCCTCACACACCACCCCTCCTCTCCGTCCTCACACACCACCCCTCCTCCCCCACTCCCCGTCCTCACACCATCCCCCTTCCCCGTCCTCACACACCACCCCTCCTCCTCGTCCTCACACACCACCCATTCTCTCCATCCTCACACACCACCCCTCCTCCCCCACTCCCTGTCCTCACACCATCCCCCTTCCCCGTCCTCACACACCGCCCCTCCTCCCCGTCCTCCCACATCCTCACACGCCACCGATTCCTGTCTTCACACACCACCAGCCCCCCGTCCTCACAGATCACTCTCCAACCTCACACACCACCACCCCACTTCCCATTGACACACACCGCTCCCCTTCCCATCCACATAAACCAAACCCCCCCTCCCATCCACACACACCACCACCCCCACTTTCCATCCACAAACACCGCTTCCTTTCCCAACTACACACACACGAACCCCCCAATCCACACACACCAACCCCCTTCCCCATCCAAACACACACAACCCCAATTCACGCACACCCCCATCCACACACACCCTCCCCATCTATAAACACAGCCCCCCACCCTCCATCCCTTCCCATTCCCCCCCACACCCCTCCCCACCACACACAAAGCCACCCTCCCTCCCTCTCCATCCTCACACATACACACCCACACACCGCACCCCCCTGCCCACATACCCCTGCTCATCACACAGCCCCTCCGCATCGCCGCCATCCAACCACCCACTGCACACACCCCTTCCCATCCATACCCCCCTCCACCATCACCCTGTTTACCTGGAAGGGTCCGACAGGGTTGATTGTCACGTTTGCTTGTTTCCATTGGTTGCCCTGGTTCCCGCTGAGTGTCCACACCTGCACCTCCACTGTGTTACTCTGTAGAGCTCGAACCCAAACATTGAGAGTCCCTGGAACATGAGAAAAGTCAGCAATGGAGCCACCCCTCCATCCCCACCCATATACCCAGAGAATCATCTCCATCACCACCCATGTACCCAGAGCCCCGCCTGAGAGAAGTGTCTCTGGCACTCACCGATATGTTTGCCATACATGTGGTAGTAGAACCTGACACAGTGCAGCACGCTCACACTCTGACCCCCAAACCTGCGCTTTGCAGTCACATTGTACAATGGGCTGATGAGCCGAGCCTTGTCTCCAGCCGAACGAGGGCTGGATGTCTCTACGTACATGAAGTAGCCTGCAGATGAGAGAGATATGAGCCAGAGACCTCCTCCCCCAAGCCAAGCCAGACCCCTCCTCACCAGCCAAACATCCCCACCAAAGCCAGACACCCCCAAAAGCCAGACACCACCGCCCGCCCCCTCTCCCCCCACCCCAGCCCCTAGAACCAGCTCCCACTCCACTCCCAGACCTTCCTTGCCCTCAATCCATCTCTCTTGTGTTCAGGCTTGAATTCACTTCCTCCCTCTCTCTGTCTTCCTTGCTCCACCATCCTCGTTCCTTATCTCATTCAATCTCATTCCTTCTCTCCCTCCCTTGCTCCGGTTCTGTCAGCTCCCTCCCTCCGCTCTGCCTCCTTCCCTCCCACCCTCACACCAGTAGCTCCTCACCTGACTGCTTGCCGCTCTTATCAATCCTTGGGCCTGTATTCGGCGTCTGTTTTGGGTTCTGAGTTTTATTACTCTGTCTGGACCAATCAAAATTATCTTTTGCATCTTGTGTGAATCCACAGATATTCACATCTTCAAACCCACAATTCCGGTTTCCTATTGAAGAGCGATGTGGTTCAGTTAGCAATTACATCCTACGCACACCTGTAATACCTGCCACACTTAACATGATACCCACATAAACACAACATATGCCCCACGCCCGGTAACATACACACCATGCCTGGTATCACACACACCCACACCACACCTGGTATCATACACATCACAACTGGTAACACACACCACACTCCACACAGGGGTGGGGGGGGGAAGAGAGAGAATTTCAGCGTGTGGGGAATTGTCAGACTTACCTGGAGGCACAGGTGGTGAAGCTGAAAGAGAAAATTCTCAGATTAATTCCTTTTTTATTGTTAACCAGTTTCTCTCAGATTCAGCACATGGGCCTCTCAGTGGGGCAGGCCATCTCTCAGTCGTCTCAAGAAATCATACAGTATACCCTCCCCTTACTCCCCCACCCTCTGTTTGAATTAAAGGGGCTGACTGGGCAAGGAGTGCAGATGACATTGATGGACATATGTACAGTTCATGTATTGACATGTTTTCTGGTTCCGAGTGTCTGACATACTGAAGCCCATCACTGTAATCAGCCTGGTGTCTGACACCTGAGGAAACCCATCACCATGAACAGCCGGTGTCTGACACATGGTGAACCATTACTGTGGTTAAGAGTATCCAAACCAGTCAGAATTCCATATATATATATATAATATATATAAAAAATAATATGGAATGCCACCTACACATGGAAATTTCTCTGTGTCTAAAATGGAAAATGCAACTCTCCCTCTGGAGGGATACCTGCCCTGGTGTACCAAATGCCGGGGATGTTTAGATGAAGGTTGGCAAGAGCCAAGGCTGGTGAACCCCAGAGTGTGCGCTGGGTTAATTTAACCAGCTAAAACTGCAGAGCTATCCATTCAGAGCATTGCATTTAGTGTCCCCTGTAACTGGTCTGCCCCTCCAAGTTCCACTGATGGTCTGGGGGTCCTGGCAGGTGATCTCCAGGCAATCAGCAGGTTCGGAATTCGACCTCCCATTAACAAAGTTGCTGAACCGGCCGGATGGAGAGGGGGCAGGGCGAGTCCGGCTGGTCACAACTCATGTTGTCAAAATCTCTTACAGAGCTTCACAGGATTTACTGTAAAAGTCACCTGCAAAATACACAATCACTACATTTTACAATATAACCTGTGGAGCACTTTGAGACGATTGTCCAATATGAAAAATGTCATTAAAAAATGCAAGGATTATAATGGTTATTATTCAAGTGCTCCAACAATAACAACAACAAAATTACATTTATAGAGCGCCTTTCACTTCGGGAGGATATCCCAAAGCGCTGAACAGACAGGTGTCGGGGCCCGAGCATAGGGGTGGGGGAAGGCAGAGACACTATCCTACGAGATGTAAATGCAAGTTGTTGTTGTAATAGTTGTATTACCCCTCCTACCCTCCACCCCAACTCAACCCCCAACTCAGCTGCAAACACTTAACTGTCCAGCACCTTGGGACGTCCCTCTGATGTGAAAGGAACCATATAAATGTATTTTTTGTTACATTAGTGACATATCTAGGTGAATCCGGCAGCTGACTTGGTATAGCAGTGTCCCACAAACAGCCACGAAGTGAATAACCAATTTTACATGGGGGATTGCTGGTCAGGACACTGGGAGATATTCCTTTCTCTATTCGAGTAGCGCATTAGAATCTTTAACACCAACCTTAACAGATAATGGGGCATCAGTTTCACTTGTCATCCACAAGACAGCGCACTCTCATCATAATGCAGCACATTCTCATCACTGTATTTGACACTGTAAGCCCATGACACGGGTACGTACGGTTTGTATATTGGATGATACGGGTGCTCATGTCTCCAGGCCCGTACGAGGTGAAGGGGGTGAGCGAGAGCTTGTACGTGAGGGGGATGCGCAGGTCGGACACTGTGTAGATCAGAAGCTTCCCAGTCTCTATCGTCCGATTCACCGGCACATACTGCGGTTCTCTCCAGTACGTCGGACGCTCCTGGAAAACACAAAACCAGAAGTCACCTTGATCATGCATATGTCCCATTCAATAAATAATTGAGACGTCTCAAAGCGCTTCACAGTATACAATGTGTATTATGTGCGATGGGGTTTGACTGTGTATTTTGTGGACAAAACAAAACAGCACACAGCAATGTCCCCCAAACAACCACGGAGTGAGTAACCGACTTATTTAGGGGATTGTTGGCCAAGACACCGGGAGAAGGAAACCCCCTTCTCTTTTCGAATAGTGCCATGGGATCTTTAATATCCACCTGAACAGGCAGATGGGAACAAAGCACAAGCCTAGTTCCTGGTTCCCATTAAACAGAAACCATTAAATCATGTTCCCTTTAATCTCAAACCAAGATCAAATCCACATGAAACACAAACCTGGATCGCGTCCCCTCTTTTCACCACATTCCCAGGTTTGGGAATAATGGGGATATGATCACAAGACTGGATTATATCCCTGTCATTCCCAAACCTGGATCATGTCCATTCAATCAAAAACATGTTCATTTCAATCAGGAACAGAAATCATTTCCCCTTCTAACACAAAAAGCCAGGATCCTGTTATTTTCAATCACAACCCTAGAATTTGTCCCCATTGAACACAAACCTGGACTATATTCCTTTCATACACAAACCTGGATCAGGTACCCTTTGAATCAGAAAGTAGGATAATATCCTCTTCAAAAACAAAGAGGGGTCACGGCCCTTTCAATCATATACCTGGACCATGTTCACCTTCGATCACAATCCTGGATAATATCCTCATGAAACACAAAGCTGGATCACGGGCCCTTTAATCACAAACCAAGATGAATCTTGTTCAAAAACAACAAATTACAAAAGTGGAGCCGGGCGAGGGTGGGGTGATTGGGTCACCGAGCCTCGTGTGGGACAGGACACAGGCTGCAGAGTTCTGAATGATCTGCAGCTTGTGGAAGGAAGAGTTGGGAAGACCCGCCCCATGTTGTGCCTTTGTCAGGCTCCTACCAGTTCTCGAATGTCCAGTTTATATTTCAGGACAGCATCTACAGCGTCCGGCTCCTTCTGTGTCCACTGCAGCTTGTATTGGTATCGATCGGCGCTCTGGAAAAGCACAGGGCTGGGGGTGTCAAAGTAGAACTCCGGAGCGTAAGCCCTTCCTGAGAGGAGGAACAACATACCCTCAGCGCACAGTCTGAGTGAGATCTACCCCCCAGCCCCTCCCAACTCCCCTTCCCTCCAGCCCCATCTCCCGGCACCTCCCTCCAGCTCTCTCCCCCAGCCACCTCCTTTGCCCCAGGCTTCCCCTTCCCACCAAGCTCCCCCTCCCGTGAGGCTCCCACCTCACACTGCTCCAGCCTCACTCCCTCCCCACTCGCTGTGCACCGCTCTGGGCACTGACCAGTCAGGTTGAAGCGGCATGTAGCGGTGCCCATTCCGTTAGAGATGCTGCAATGGTACAGGCCGTAGCTGTCGATGGTCACTTGCTCCAGGTTCCACTCCGAGGTCAGCTTGGGTTCGGCCCGGGCGGCCTGCAGCTGCTTCCCATTGAAGCTCCACGTAGCCGAGGCCACCCGCAGTGGGTTCCCCGCCACCAGCAAGCAGCTTAACAGCACCGGCCGGCCCTGGGCCTGACGGACCTCTTGATATCCAACATCCACCTCGGGGGGAACTGGGGAGAAATAATAATAATCTTTGCATTTGATGCAGCACCTTATCACATTGTAGCGAGGTCTCAAAGCGCTTCACAGGACACAACACAAAGTGGAGTATTTTGTGGCAGAGCACGGCAGTCAATCGCACACAGCAATGTCCCACAAACATTGAGAGATTGACCAATTTTATCTGTGGGATTGCTGGCCAGGTCACCGAGGGAAACTCCCTTTTTTTTTTTGAATAGTGCCATGGAATCTTTAACATCCACTTTGAAAGACAGATAGGATTTCGGTTTAACGTCTCATCCAAAGGACAGCGCCTCCAACAATGCAACACACCCCCAGCGCTGCATTGGAGTATGAGCTTAAACTGGGGCTTGAGCCCACAAACCTTCTGACTCACAGGCGAGAATGCTACCACTGAGCCAGGCTTACAACACTGGAGGAGTAAGTGAAAGTGTCAGTTACTTGTCCCTGAGCTAGCGGGCCATAGGTGATGTCACTCAGAGCCACTTCCAGATCCCTGACCAGAGACCTGTGTCCATCCAGCATCACACAGCCCCAAGGCAACGGCATGCCTGACCTACCCTAGGGACAGAGTAGACCCGACACAGCGACCACCCTAAAGAGGCGCAACCCTAAGACCCACACCAACACTACCCCCACCCCCAATATTACCCAGAGCCTCTAGCAGAGTTCATTGTGGGTTTTAAGAAGAAAGTAGATGGGTATATGAAAGTGAGAGGTTTGAAGCACTACGGAGATAATGCAAGTTAATGAAAATCAAAGCCATTGCAAACTGGATGGGCCAAATGATCCACCTCTGTAAATGCTACGATTCTATGAAATTCTTCCACCTGCCTCAAGATCTGTACACACACCTGACCCCAACACTCAGCATTGCCCAGAGGGAACAGAGATTCTTCCCACTCAGGTCCCATTAACCCTGCAAACCAAAGCCCAAAGCTTGCTGGACAAACAACGGGTCAAGCTATGTGGTTCTACCAGGTTCAACTCCAGCAGTTTACCCCGAAGCACACTCTCGGGTCTTTCAAGCTCGTCTCTCTCATGCCAACCTGAACCTAATATTCTCTGGAATTAGGTAAGCAGGGTGCGTTCCTCTGGGGACATTCATTCATGGGGAAATTTCATTCCATTCCAGACACAGGGAAATTTCCATGTGTAGGTGGGATGCAAGGAATTTATCTGGCTTGGATACTCTTAAGCATGGTGATGGGTTTCTGTGCATGACAGTCCTCTGGGTGAGAAAAAAAAATTCACAACAAAAGGACATGGCCCAAACATCTATCCAATTCCATTCATTGCTTCAAACACCTCAAACTGGTACAGTTGCTTCCTTCTGACTGTGTTTGTCTGGACCATTACATAACAACAACATAACAGTCCAGGTGACAGCGGTATCCACAGGGGTTCAGAGGTCAGCGCACCTGGGCACCCCAGGGATCAGAGGTAAGTGCACCAATGTTGGAACATGCTGAATCCCATTGCAACAGAGAAAGGAAGCAGCTTATTGTGGGGGACTGCAGGAACCAAGCCAGTGCTAGATCGATATCAGGTAATGGCTGCCTTGTTAATATCCTGAGCAGGGATCCGGGGTATCGCCTGCATTGCTCAGCCTCATTAAAAGCAGAGAGCCTGAGCCGCAGCTGTAATAGTCACACATTCTGCTGCTAGCCATTCACATCCTCTGCTCTCTGAAACTAACTCGTCACCTGGGTATAAATTCATCAATCTTACAAAGCAAAGCGCTGCCAGGCACCATTGATGAAAAGGAACGCCCACTCTTGCTTTTTTACTAGCACAGAGTCAGCTCCATTCTCCCGCTCACACACAAACACCACAATCTATTATTCTCTCAGAACCACAGTCCTCATCAACACACGTAGCGGAGGGAGATGTTGTCAAGGCCCACCTTCGGGCTTACAATCCCCGGAACGATGCCCCCCCCCCACCCCCTTGGGCCGGAGCAGGAGAGGGCTGGGGTGGGGGTGTGGGGTGGGGGGGAGGAGGGCAAGGGCCTGGTTGGGAAGAAGGGGGGCAGAGGAGGAGAGGGAGGAGGATGGGGGTGGGGTGGGGGGAGAGGTGACCACTAGGTGGGGGAATGAATGTCAAATCCGAGCCTCGAGGGTCTTGTAGATTTGATCTCTGGCCGGTTACTGTCAGACACAGTCACTAGGGCCACGGTGCTCGGTGATGATCTACTTACACTGGACACTTAGCTGCACCACGGCTTCCCGTGGCTTCACGTTGAGTCCGTTGTAGCGACCTGTCCGGCACCGGAACGACCCACTGGCGTCTCGCGTCACATTCTCCAGGCGAAGAATCCCATCGTAGCTCTCGACCTCCATGGCTCCTGTTGGCATAGGAACTGCCTTGTCCGCCCTTGACCACAGGACTACGGGCTTGGGCTTGCCCGTCACCAGACACTGCAGCTCAGCCGCTGAACCCTCCCGAACCTCCACCAGCCCCCCACCTCGGGGAACCACCAGGGAAGGAGGCACTGTGTGGGGTAGAGACAACAACAAATCACGTTTGCATACCGCCCTTCACATTGGAAGGACATCCCAAGGCACTGGACAGTCAACGGTTTGCAACTGAGCTGGGAGTTGGAATCAAGGGAATGGGGGTCGGGGTGTGGCTAAAGATTCAAACAAAGAAGATCTTGAGACAGGCCTTGAAGGAGGGGCGAGGCGATCTCAGGGATGGAGTGCCAGAGCGTGGAGGCATAAAAGCTGAAGGCTCGATTGCCAATAATGGGGCGGGCAGTGTGGCGCACATGGAGCAGGCCAGTGCCCGCCAAACATAGGAAATGGACTGGTTGGTATGGTGTTAAGATGTTGCAGAGGTAGGATAGAGCACGACCATGGAGGGCTTTAAAAGTGAGGATGAGGATTCAACACAGATAATAATAATAATAATATAATAATAATAATCCTTGCATTTGATATAGCGCTTTTCACGTCGGGAGGACGTCCCAAAGCGCTTCACAGAACACACTGTAAAGTGAATTGACTGTATATTTGTGGGTGAACGCGGCAGCCAATTGCGCACAGCAATGTCCCACAAACAGTCGTGGATTGAAAATGACCAATTTATTATTGTTTTTGGTTTTGGAGGGATTATTATTAGGCTCTGTGTGGAGTAAGGAAACTTGCCCAAGGTTTCGCCCTCTGCCTGGAATTGAACTCAGGTCTCTCACTTGCAAAGCGAGTGCTCTAACCACTGAGCTACAGGACTCCACAGATCTACCCAAGTTAGCATGTGGGTAAGACACATTTGATATAGCACCTTATCACATTGTAGAGACATCTCAGAGTGCGTCACAGGATAGATATATTGTAAAGGGGGCGTTGGAAAAATACAAAAGATCGCGTTAGAGTTTTTATAAATACATACTGTCTACACTCGGGTATCCCCCCCAAAATGCATACACCTTAAATGAATATGCGTAACGCAGACTATTTAACTAGCACATTTCATTTCGCTCCAAACAATCCCCAACATCTGTCAATCAGATTTTGGCGTTGGTTCGAAATGAAACATGCAGGTAATTGGTCCGTATTGGGTATGAACATCTGACAACAGTTAATAGGTAAGAAAACAAAAAACTTCGACTGCCAAGTCTTGGATTGTAATAAAAAATAAATTTGCATACAGGGTACGTACAGTGTGGCAAATTTTGCATAGAGGCAGTTATTTTTTTAAATCCTTGCATTTTTGCATTTGATATAAGCGCGTTATAATGTCATTGAGATGTCTCTCAAAGCGATTCAGAGGATTTACAGTAGAACGGATAATAATAATGATCCTTGCATTTGATATAGCGCCTCATCCATTCGTTGAGACATCTCAAAGCGCTTCAAGTGGTGAAAGGCGCTATACAATTGTAATTTTGTTGTTCTTGCTGCTGTATATTGCAAAGTTAATTGACTGTGTATTTTCCGGGTGAAACGCGGCAGCCAATTGCGCACAGCAGAGTTCCACAAAAACAGTTGTGGATTGAGTGACCAAACGGATGAGTTTTTTTTTCCACCCACCGATGCTGGTAGAGATATTGACGTCAATGCTGATGTCCGGCACGGAGCCCCCCCGCAGCGAGGCAACGCAGGTGTAGGTGGCGCAGTCAGTGAAGCGCATGTCAATGATCTCCAGATTGGTGATGCCTGGCTCCTGCTCGTTTCTGGAAATCATGATGCGGTTTCCAGTGCCCACCAGCAGGCGCCCGTTCTTGTACCAGGTGTATCGCAGCTCCTCGGGCGGCACTGCCTCCACCTGGCACGAGATCCTGACCTCGCGCTCCAGCTGGATCCGCTCGGCATCATGGAACGGGTCTGGAGTGATCCAGAACCGGCCGTTCCGGAGCGCTGGAAAAGGCACAGAAACAATTGGCAGAAGAACACTGTGTGCTGCACCCACACCGCCATGGTGAGGAAAGGGGGAGCGCCAGAACGGGAGTGGGGGCTGGGGAGAAAGAAAAGAGTGCAACAGCATGGGAGAGGGGGAGCGCAAAAGGGGGGGGAGCGCAAAATGGGGAGCAGAAAAATGGGGGAGGAGGGGGAGCATGTAAAAGGGGGAAAAGAAGGAGTGTGAAAGGGGGGAAGAGGGGGAGTATGAAAGGAAGGGTGTGAAAAGGGGGAGTGGAAAAGTGGGGAGTGGGGGCATGAAAAGGGGGAGGGTGGAGTGAAAAAGGGGGGAAGGGAGCGCATAAGTGGGTGAGAGGCGGATCACAAAAGGGGGGAAGAGGAGGAGAGCAAAAGTGGGAGAGGTGGAGCGGGAAAGGGGGAGAGGGGGAGTGTGAAAGGGGGGAGAAGGCAGCGCGAAAGGTGGGAGAAGGGGAGGGAGCGCAAAAGGGGAGAGAAGGGAGGTGGGAAGGGGGGGAAGAGAAGCAGTGCAAAAGGGGGGAAGCACGAGATAGGGAAGGGGGAGGTGGGATGCCTGGGGTGTGGAGGGGGGAAAAGGGGGGCTGGGGTTCAAGGGGGAGCACCAAGTACCGGGCACAAGTGGGGGGAAGGAGAAGTGTAGACCCCAGGAAGAGTGGGGGGGGTACACCTACCTCTGACCAGGATGGTGACAGCCTTCTTGACGCGGTTGCCCACTCCATTGGTGGCAGAGCAGTTGTAGGAGCCGCTGTTTTGGGTTTGGACCCTACTGAGGCTCAGGCTGCCCTCCTGCACCTGACTGTTGGGGGGCAGTGGCCCCAGCGAGAACGCCCACTGCACAGAGGGCACAGGGTCACCACTTAGCACTGAGCAATCCACCTGCACGTCCTCACCCGGGTCAACAACCAGCACCTCTGACACCGACAGGCTCAGCACTGGGGGAGCTGAGAGACCAGAGAGAGAGGATAAGTCATATCACTGGCACGGCGCAAGGGGTGGGGAAGAGGGCAGAGGGGCGGGGAAACACCCACAAAGTTGCGGGAGAGAGAAAGACGACTCTAGTGACGCGGGGGAGAGGGAAGAGTGCACCACCAATGGCAGCATGGGTAGATGGAAAGACGACACTGGTGACAAGTGGGAGAAGTGGGAGACAAAAGGGCGGAGGACGATGCAGGTCACCTGGGGGGTGGGGGGTGGAGGACCACAGGACACATGCAGGCTGACCTGTGGAGTTCTTTAGCATGAAGGAGGTTGCTTTGTCGGGGATGCCACAGACATTCCTGACGGACACGAGACAGGTGAAATTGGCGTAATCCTGTGGCCTCAGGTCCTTAAGCTTCAGGACTTTGGTCTCGCCCTGTGAGATCAAGGTGAGGGGCAATTAACTCAGCGCCTAGACCCCACCCATGCTCCCCCCCCCCACCCACACACAGACTACAGGGTCTCTAACACACACACACTGACCACCCCCATACCCACTGACCCCTTACACACAGACCCCCACCCCCACACTGACATCACTCTCACACACTGCAGGGTCTCTAAACCCCTCACACACTGACTACCCCCTCCACAAACACATACACAGACCCTCCACGCACACACTGAACCTCCTCCCACCCACACACACTGCAGGGTCTCTAAACCCCTCACACACTGACTACCCCCCTCCACAAACACATACACAGACCCTCCACACACACATACTGAACCTCCTCCCACCCACACACTGCAGGGTCTCTAACACACACAACACACACACACTGCAGGGTCTCTAACCTGTGTGTAGAGAGGTTCGTAGATGTCCACTCCCTCGTCCTGGTTCTGGGTGACCACCTCAGTGCCACGTTTCCAGGTGAAACGTGCGGGAGGGTTGGAGTTGACGGTGCAGCGTAAGAAGACAGTACGTTCCCTGTAATAATTCTCCCCACGCACATCACTCACACTCTGATGCACCGTAAGCACAGGCTCATCCAGATCTGTAACCCAGATTACACTCAACACAAGCCAGGGCGAGTATCTATATATATGTTCCAATATACTATATTTTTAAGCAATACTGTATATACAGAGTGTCCACAAAGTCCTGTTATCCTTTTTTTTATAGGGCACTGATCAACAATTGAAATATGGAAGAATGATGATAATTGTATTTAGAAGTACTTAATTGTATTCAGTTCAAGTGTTTGACTGTATTTAGACGTCCAGAGGATTGGTGTGTGTGAGAGGCATCATTTTTATGGCAGATAATGATACGTCCTCCGCTATGTTTAGTGCGACATTTTCCATAACATGGATGAAGTGACGAGGCAAAATGCATCCCTAACAGCTTGTTTCAGCTCCTCTGTCGTCTTGTATCACTATTTTGTAACAGAGAGGTTAAGAGGTCTTTGTGGACATTCTGTACATACTGCAATGCCAAAATATCTCAAAGTGTTTCGCAGGGAACTGCTATCAAGTGTTGTATTTTTAGGCAAACGTGGCAGCAAATTTGCACACAGCAAGATCCAGAACAAAGCTGTGAATTAGTGATTAATCTGAATTGTTGGCCATGACACTGAGAGAAACTCCTTTCACTTTTCTGATAGTCTTCCTGGAATCTTTAATGTCCACCCAAACAGGCAGATGGTACCTCAGTTTATTGAAACCTTAGATAAGTTTCCTTACTCCACATGCCTCGGTTTATTTAGCAGTAAGTAAAAACCCAGTTGTTAGTCTATTGGCAGATTGCTTTCCGGGGGTAAAAAATCCCTTCAAAAAATAAATAATAAAAAATAATAATTTGGTCACTCAATCCACGACTGTTCATGGGACACATGATAAAGCGCTATATCAAATGCAATTATTATTATTAATGCAGTGCTCCCTCAGTAATGCACTAGATACAACACTCCACACACCAACGCATTCCACATACAAAATATTCCCTAACCAGCAGCCATCTGACAGGGAACGTACCTGAGTGATCCAGGCAATGAGAGGACAGACCCTGGGCCTTATTGAGCAAGAATCACATGATTATTATTCATTAAACTTAATGAGGAGAAATGGTGGAATAATTTGTCTTTTCACACGATAGTAACTGACCAGCAAGTCGCAGCCTTCAGCCGAATTATTCACATTGAGGGCACTCCCAGATCAGGAGCTTCAGACACCCTTTCACATACATATACACAAACACAGAATCCCACCGCCACACACAACCACACACACACACAAACACACAAAAAAAACAGACACCACCACACACAATCATGTACATACCCAGAGCCACCCCCAACCCCCCCCCACCCACACACACGCACACACACAGAGTAAATTGTTCCCTTTGGCTCAGGCTGCCATGTATCCATCCGGTGATTGGAAGGTGGACACTGAAGGCTGCCCGGTGCTGACTGGCTGGCGTAAAACGTCGTGGCGGCACCAAGTCCATCCGTAGAGTAAATGTCAGCACCTTGTGCCGACAGCCCGGAGTCTGCCCGTTCAGGGCTGGCACAACACCACACAACCCTGAGCCTGGTGCTAACGCTTCCAGCGCCTAGTAACCAGACAGGACTAGGCCAGGCCTCTCGCTGGCCATTGGGGAGCCTGCAGGCTCCAGGGCTGTGCACAGTACATGGAGGTGCCCCGCGGGAGCCACACTTACATTGTACATCTACACGGATGGACTTGATGACCGGCCCCGAGACCCCGTTATCTGCTTTACAGTAATAGCGGCCACCCTGCAGCCGCCCGATGCTGGCAATCCGCAGGGTCTCGTTAAACACCGCCGTCTCCTGGAATTTGTCTGAAGCGCTGCCTGCTGTCTTCGTCCATCTGACCTACGGCACAAACAGCGTCCGTCACCTCCTGCCTTCCAGGGAAACTGTGAGCCAGATAAACAAAACATGTCCAAACACCGCCCTCCCACCCCACCCACCACCACCATGGATCACCCACCATTTCCAGGGAACACTCTACTTCAGCATTTCCCAGGAACACTCGACCAAGCCCCCACCTCAGCCTCTCGGATCCCCCTCCCATCTCCCAAGACCCCAACTTACCGCACCGTCTCCTGGAACATTCCTATCCAACCAAACGGGGACCACCCTACCCAACCAAACGGGGACCACCCTACCCAACCAAACGGGGACCACCCTACCCAACCAAACGGGGACCACCCTACCCAACCAAATGGGGACTACCCTACCCAACCAAATGGGGACCACACAACCTCACTGTCTCTCTGGGCCACAATACCTCACGAATTGTGGAAAACCCTACCCCACTGTCTCCCTGGACCACAATACCCCACCAAATGGGAACCACAATACCCCACCAAATGGGAACCACAATACCCCCACCAAACAGGGACCACCCTAATCCACCCGTCTCTGGGGACCACACTACCTCACCGTCTCCGGGGTCCACCCTAACCCCACCAAACGGAGACCACCCTAACCCCATCGTTTCACGGGACACCAGCCTACCCCACCGTCTCCCGGGACACCACCATCTGTGGGCAGCAGCATACTTACCTTTGGACGCGGGTGTCCAGTCACCAGACAGACCAGGACCAGGGTGCTGCCCTCACGGATAGTGTAGACCCGCTCGTTCACATTCTCCTTCACCACACAAGCCTGGCCCGAGTGCACGATACGAGCGTTTGCAGGAGCTGAAGCAAAGCACAAAAATGATTACCCTGGGAAAAGGGTGGGGGCGGGGGCTGCGGGTGGGGTGGGTGGTCAATCAAACCCTGCCAAGGCCAGCAGACCCAACCCTCGGATCCCAGACACTGCAACGTCCTGGCACACTGATTCCACCCAGCCCACTGCTCGCCTCCCCCTCACTACCCCATCCCAACACAGTACCAAACCAACATTCTCCACTAAAAGAAGCTCCCAAGCCAACACCACCCCAACATCCTCCCAAGCCAACGCAGCTCCTCAATGTGCTCCCAAACCAACACTTCACCTCAAAATACATAACGAACATTGCCCCAACACGCTCCCTCGCCAACAGGCACCAACATACTCCCCAACAAACACTGCCCTCACCAACACGCTTAGGGTTAGCCAAGCCAACACTACCCCGCCAACACACTCCCAAGCCAACTCTCCACCCCCCCCAACCCCAACACTCTCTCAAGCCAATATTCCCCCCACTAAGACACTCCCAAGCCAACACTGTCCCCGCCAACACAATCCCAAGTCAGCACTACCCCGCTAAGACTCTCCCAAGCCAACAATTCCCACCCCCCAACACGCTCCCAAGCCAACACTCCCCGCACCGCCCACCAACATGCTCCCAAGCCAATACTCCCCCTCGTAACACCTCCCAAGCCAACACTCCCCACCAACACTCGCCCACACCAACACTGTCCCCACCAACACTCGCCCACACCAACACTGTCCCCGCCGACACGTTCCCAAGCCAACACTGGCCCCGCCGACACGAGCTCCCAAGCCAACACTGGCCCCAAACTCCCAAGCCAACACTGGCCCCGCCAACGCTACCCCCCCAACGCGTGCCCCCAAGCCAACGCTACCCCCAACGCCCCCCCCCCCCCCCACCCCCACCACCCCCCCCCAACGCGCCCCCAAGCCAACGCTCTTACCCCCAACGCGCCCCCAAGCCAACGCTCTTCCCCCCAACGCGCCCCCAAGCCAACCCCCAACGCGCCCCCAAGCCAACGCTCTTCCCCCCAACGCGCCCCAAGCCAACCCTCTT